TAGATGTCCTTCATTTACGAACTGTTTATGGGTTTATGGGCATTTTTATTTTAATTGAATATGTTATGGGGTACTTCCATGTACCGTTTTATTATAACCGTACTTAGCATTGGACGTTTACAGCAAAAAGGCATTATAGATCATACTAACTAAAGACTTATTATATGCATGGCGTTGTTTTGGTTGCATCAGTACCTGTACCACCGTACATCATCTCACATAACGTTGTAATTAAGCCTCGTGGGAACATTTGACCATTTCAACCCATAATTGATAAGTCAGTGATACCTTGTACGAGTTGCATAACATTGTAATGTAGCTCTATACCCGAGACTGAAAGTTAAAATGGATATGACTTATTTGAACTTATCTAGATGGTTATATATGTGAGATAAAAATCGCACATGAAAAGTATCAGTTATCTTGATTGTGCAAAAATACCTAGATTTGTAATCGAATGATCTGGTTTGTGTTTGTAAATGTTGCCTGTTGCGTTTTCTCAAAAATAATGAAAAATGTGAAAACCAAGCAGGTTGAGTACTTTTTGTTCTGGTTCACATGAAACGTTTTAACAGTAGTTACCATTTTTGACTTCGCAGGTCATATTTTTGGTAATATGAAAGTGAAGATCATCTTGACCACATTTAGGCTTTCAGCGACACGCTTGGTATCTGACGATGATAATCAATCTACTGTTAGACGTTTACGAATGATAGCACGTATAGCTCTGCTGACGAATATACCGGAGAAATGCGTACCATAAATCACTTACATCATCCTTAAGTAAATGTGCCAAATTAGGCAAACAAATGCCGGACCCAAGGTACATGTAGTATATTTGTTACTTAGATAAGCATGAATCTTGGAACATACATGGGTGGCATGGGATTTTTGAAATTTCAAGATCCTGACGTTTTTGACTTTCCAAAACTTAGTTAACCTAGAGGCATGTGTGAGGGTATTCTTCATTATAAAGGAAGAGCAGTGGGCGGGGGATTTTATCGTCAGCATTACAGGCACAAATGGCAACCATTGAATAACATTGACGCAAAGAGGAAGGGGGATGCTATGCTTTGGGCGACCGGCTCCCGCCCTTGTCCTCATTTTTCTAAAGATTGTGTTTTTATGCCCAAATATGGCTCTCAAGGGGGACCAAAGATCCAGGGACTTTTCGAAATGTTTCTGAGGGTGCAGGGTACCCCACTACCCCTTAGACTACCTAGTATAACTCTAAAAGCATGCCCAATAAAATGAAGTATTCAAGTATCATCGTCATTATTACCCCATAAAACAGTGAAAAAAGTCCTTGAGCACCTCATGAAGTGCTCTTCGGCTTACAGGCTGTTTTTCTCAATCCCTTTCGTTACATGTTGTTTTATCGTTTATAGTTATATCAAGAGGATAACATAATCTTAGGAACTAGAGAGTTTTCGAGTAACATTTAGAACTGCCTTATTAATACAACAAAACCTGATCAATTTGAACGTTACTTGAGAGTTGCAAAAATTTTACAACAAATTGCAAGCAAGGATTCAAATTATGGGTGTAGCACGTTAATTACGAGCTATGCCGATCGAGATTGTTATAGTGAAATTGGTCTCGCGACAGGTCGTTCAAATATATGGCGGGGGGACTAAACAGCAACAAAAAAAGAGAAAAGTTTCAAACAACCCACTATAAAGTCATGGTTAATTCTGATATGTGATAAAAATTTGAAATTTTTAAATAATTAAGAATGGACTTTTAAGGAAAATGGGTTCAACTCGAAACATAAACAGTAATTAAGTAGGCCAATAGTAATTCAACAGTTACAATCGAAAACATGTTTGACGTGCTTTAGCAGTAGGACTCCTTTGAACGTGTGTCCAAACATACATGTTTTACTGTACCTAGTACAACCAATATAGCAGATATTGCGACTATAAATACAAACTGGAGCAGCAGTGTAACAGTATCTAGGTCATTTAGATAATCCCTTTTTGTAAAGTAATCTTAACTCTCATATAACAACCTTTTTAATTGATACGAAGAAAAGTTATCGCAACTGTGTTCCATATGTTAAACTAATAAAAGGAAGTTTAACAGTAAAACAAAACTTGAAAGAACCCTATAAACGCGCAAATTAAGGTAAACGATACCATATCTGCAGTTAACGTAACATTGAATGGCGGAAAGCGAAGGCCTATGTTTTTTCAATTTTGTCTCATAGATAGCTTCCATTATTTAATGTCATATCTTGGAAAATATGAAAAGTATGTGAAATATTTAAGATGAACAAATAAAGACCAAATATTCTAGAGAGGAGGGACTATAGAGAAGCCGACCGTCCGTCTAGAACTAGAAATTTTCAAAATGGTTGCTGATTTAAATATGTGTGCCATTTTCAAGAGAAATATAATTTTTTGATCATGAAGTACCACTCCAAATTATATAGGACCTCTACTCGAGGATACATGTACTATAATATTGTGTCACGTCACGTCTGTCTAGTCATTTCTTTCATGCTTTGTAATTTGAAGTGATTCGATAAAATGTCTTTGTTCTGTGGGATTTACTTCTCTGTAGTTGTTCCAGTTTGACACAGGGAGACTCAAAATAACTTTCTCAATAATTCAAGGAACTTCTTGCTTTCAATGTCTAGATAGAGCGTTCAGTGTGGAAGATTGTTATGCTTGCAAAGCACCAAAACTTTAAAGTTTTAGAGAATCTCGTTTTTCGTGGAGACATGCCATGAAACCAAATCACTCAAAACTGTAAATTAGAAATAAAAAAGCGAGTAGAGTCATTCATCAAATTTGACAAAAAATATTTTAGAAAAATGAGTAGATATGACATATTATTGATAATATATGGGAAAGAAATCCAGGACTGGACTCAAATAATGTTTAAGACAGAAATCCCAATTTCAGAATATAGGAATTTTGAACATTTTTGACGATTTCATAGAGAGCATAGAAAAGGATGGAAAACGTGATATCTCTAAATCTCAAAGTTGTTGTCGTACGACAATCTATTATAGATCAAACACTCTCATCTACTGAAAAATTCATGAAGATTGACAAATCATTAGGGAAGTCATTCCAAAATTGAAGGATGGCGTTTTTGTTTCACCCTGAAAAGAAGGTCAGCTAGGCGGTATACATGTACTCCCCCTCCATAAATTTGGCAACCTTAACTTCCCCATTGAACTAAGTGTTAAAGCCTCTTTACCTTTGAACTTTTATTTCCTTAACCTGCGGTGAAAATATTTATACTATTGATGGAAACGTAATTTGTCTTTATTTCCAATACTTCGAAATTTTCTCAATTTTTTCCTCAATTATAGTACGTCGAAAGTTGATGATAAATTTGATGAATTTTTGTAAATCGACATTCCCATGTTAACCAATGGGAAATGGTAGGTTTGCCGCAAGTTATATGACAGAATATCCATCCATCCGAGTCCTTGACACGTTTCTTCAGGTTTAACAAAGTTACAGGTTTTTAAAGTCAAAATTGTTTTTCAAAAATCCTCCCCATTGATATAACACAGGAGGCGAAAAATGATTTTCAAAAATAACTTTGAAGCTCTGTAACTTTAGTATTCATCAAGTAAGCTAAACACTTAGTGTACAAAAAAGTTAGACAATTCAATTTTCTATATAAAAATATTTTTTCCTGAATCTTTTACTGAATAGATATCCTGATTTCTGATTTACCCCGAACCCTCCGTTTCCTATTGGTTTACATGGGAATGACGATTTTCAAAAAGTTATTATTAATTTTCGACCTATTGTAATTGAGGAAAAAATTGGGACATAAAGTCAAATTACGTTTCCATCAATATTATAAGTTATTTCATTGCAGGCTAAGTAAATAAAAATCCAAACGCAAAGAGGCTTCAACACGCAGTTCAATGGGGGAGCTAAGGTTGCCAAATTTTGTAAAACTATACAGGGTGGTCCAAAAAAAGTGAACCCCTGCAACAAGCTACATTTTTCTTAATACATGCATGAATTGGCTCATATTATCACATGTTGTAGAGAAAGGTCTAAAATTTTGGTTGATGCCATAATTTATTCACAGTCCTAAATTTTGAAGAAATTACAAGAGTTGAACAAACATGCCTGAAAATTAGATATTGTACAAAATTTTACAAATGTGATTCATGGAAATTGTTGAAACACATTGGATAATCTTAAACAGCTTTCAGTTAGAGATACAAGTTTAAAACCCTACCATATGACAAAAGGGACACTATTCAAGCAGAAAACACATTTCACGCTTTCATTGATCATTTTGAAGCATTTTTAACTCTTCAACAGTTCAGGGGTATGTTACCTACACCAACAGTTAGAGGGGGCCTCTTATGGAAGGAACTTGCCCCCTGTGACCAGGAAGCTGATAACCCCTTCATCAAATATCTTTAAAAAATCAAAAGAAAATCCAATATTCAATGTTTTGAGCCATATTTCATTAGAATTGGTCAATGATTTATGAAGATATTGACATTTCAAGATCATATAGGGGTATGTTCGCGATTTCACTGGAAAATGTTTTCGTCTGTGGAAGCTTAGCACATTTCTTTGGATCACAATAACTTTGCAACTAACAAATGTAGGATGCTAGTTTTAAGCCATAATGTGCAGGATTTAAAATTGAACAAAGTCAGAAAATAATAGTTCTTTAAGACTGCAGCTTAAAAAATTCTCAGGGGAAAGGTGTTGAAGGGTTGAAGAATCGCGGATATTGAAAATCACATTTTATCCATTTTCAGTAATGTTTGGTTAGGGCTTATAATTTCTGCAAATTTCAAGACTAAGAAAATGTATGGTACCAACATAAATTTTTAGACCTTCCTCTACAACATGTCAAAATAAAAAAGAATTCCTGCAAGTAATAAGGGAAATATGGCCAATTGCAGGGGTTCACTTTTTTTTGGACCACCCTGTATATGCTTCCGTCTTAGATAAGTACTACAGTGTATGGACTCCATTTGAAACGTCAATCAACAAAAGAACTTCTATATTAATCGGATTGTTTTATTAAAAACATACATAATCTGACTGTTTTTTTCTGACTGCTTTTGTAACCTATACGGTAATTTTTACATAACTACAGTAAGGCCATGCAACCTCGAAGAATCTTGAGCAAATCGTGAATACACAATACCGTTTGTATGAATGAGTACATGCGTTTACAAGATCCTACATTTCTGACGAGCTTTGGCAATTCTTTGAGAGTAACAGTGAAATAAAGCGAATGAAGAATGGACGATTTTGCAGAATTACTCATGCAAGAAACAAAATATGACTTCGAGTCATGCGCCCCTTGTGTGAGTCATTAATTTCAACTTTAACAAAATTGAGCAAAACAGCTTCAAATTAATGGAATTCATTTTTTCCATTGTTACGACATCATGACATTTGTTGAAGTATTATACATACCTGTATATGTATATTATATGTATATAATGTATCTGGCATATCTGATTGTCCTACTAAAACATGCAGCATATGAGCGCATATATCTAAAGCCCGGTATACACCAATGGGTCAAGTTGGGACCTCCATAGACTTAACATTGCGTGGGACCTTGTGGGACCTTTTGGGATTTTGCCCCATGAAGTCCGTGGGACTCCGACCATGGGACTCCGTGGGATTTTGCCCCATCTTGCCTCATCGAGTCCCACGAGGTCCCATGAGGTCCCATGAAGTCCCATGTGGGACTCGGTGAGACTCGATGGGGCAAGATGGGGCAAAATCCCACGGAGTCCAATCGAGAATGAACATGTTCATTCTTTCCATGTAATGGGGCATCGTGGGATTTTCGATCATATGACGTGTTGTGTGAAGCCCGACATACACCAATGGGGCACGGTGGGATTTGATGGGACTCCATGGGGCTTGATGGGACTCCATGGGGCAAAGTCATCAAGGTCCCATGGGACTTCGTGGGATTCGATGGGGCAAATTTGGATTCGATGGGGCAAAATGGGACTCGATGGGGCAAGTGGGATTTTGCCCTATTGGTGTATACCGGGCTTAAGATGTCATATATTACACTCAAGAGACCAACCTATGAAGTTGGTAATTTGTACATATAGTTTAGTTCGATTTAGTAGCCAAGCCATTTATCTCGTTTATACTGATCGTTTTCATGCACCTACAGCTAGGTTTGAGTCGTACTTAGCACATCTTCATCCCTTTCATCAATACGATGATATCCTCCACGTGATATTTTTCGAGATTTCCAAAGTCGATATGTCTGATACATTGCACAACACATCAGGATGAGAGATGTGACTCCTAAAGCAATAATAATTGCTTCATACTTTTCAAGTATTTCTTCCACTGCAGGCTCTGGAATCGTTTGATGCTTACCTGGAAGTAAAATGTATCACAACTGTTTCAAGCCAACCAATTCAAGTTCCATCGAGTATTAATTGACGTTCAACCCCAATACAAATCAAACTGTCATTTAAATGTATTTCGTTTTTTCAGCATCATATCTTAATGCACCCGAAATGACGTCACGACGTGCCTAGAATCTAATCTTTACTTTCCGATAGGTGGCGGCAGTTTTTCCCAAAATTGAACGCAAAAGCACATTTTCTTCATATTCTTATATTCTATTTATCAAATATAGATCTATTTTTCAAATCAATCAAAAGCATTACGATAGTAATAATTATAGCATGACAAATCTTATCCTGCGAACTTACTTTAACCAAATCCTTGTTTGGGTTATTAAAAATGATCATTGCGAAACTTACTTGTTGTTTTGGGCCCACCTTTGGCCCGATTGTTGATCAGAGATTGAAATTCTTCTCCAGAAAACTCAAAATTTCCACATGTTTTCATATTACTAGGCGCTGTGTTCATATCTGATACGTCCCCGGCTTTAAAGATCAGTGCCATGCCTTCCTCATTGTGGAACTCTATGTGACAGTGGGAATACCAGAACCCTACAAGTGTGACGGTGAAGATACGAGACCATTACAAAATAGTGTGGGCTTATACAACAACATGTAAAAGTACATGTGATAATAATGGGAATCGTGACAAGAGAACTGCAACATGCAATTAAACTCAGTACATACTTTATAATGATGCACATGTACAAGCCATTTCCTAACAGTTTTACGATTACGCAATCAACAAGTGAGATAAAAATAGGACCCACGGTCCTGTGCTCACACAGTTTGGTACCTTCAGAGGAATGTATATCCTGACTTTAAAACAAAAATATTGATTTGGATTTGTAGTCTTGAACTTTGAGAAATCAACTCTGATCGCACAGTTGTGTGACCTAGTTTGATGACCTTTGACTTTGAAAATTTGACTTATTCAGAGCTCAGTAAGGTCTTTTGTGATTAAGCTGACCAAAATTTACATCCAAAAATCAATTTGAAAAATCAACTTTTTTGACCTTTCGAAGGTAACTGAAGGTCAAATCCTAAAACTTATGTCAGATTTGAGCTCCTGGCAACTTGTAGATGATTTTCAAAAAAATTTGGTCAAATTGAAGCAAGTTGAAAAATAACTTATTTTTACTGTTTTTTGACGTCAAATATCTCAAAAAAAAAAATTTGATGCTGACATATATTGAGCAATATGTAGGGAATGCTTAAATATAGTAATGATGTAATTCATTGCAAGAAATGATCTAGTATAAGGCAAACTTTGAGAAACTTGTCAATCACAAAACCTGCCATTGACTTTATACATGAGAAAGTTTCCTGAAAATGACTACTTTTTGCCAATTTTTAAAGAGTAAACACCAAAAACTGTAATTCCAAGAGCTTTGAAATCTTCAGAGGACATAAGTTGCATATACAGCAACTATTAAAAGTTATTTGAAAGTTCTACTTCAACAAAGTGTCTAGTATTTACAGAAAATTTGACTTTTTGACGTCAAAATCCGCAATTTCTCGGAAACTGGGCGAACTTGGGAAATGGCGATGATAGGTCAAATAGGCATTACGGATATGCATAAAATGAATGTAGGTACGACTCAATCCGAATAGCAGTTTTGATTTGTGCGGCCAATGTTGACGGACGGACGGACGGACGGACGGACCGACGGACGGACGGACCAACGGACGGACGCCTGGTCGATCCCATAGGCTCACTGTGTGAGCCAAAAAAAGATGAAAATCTCAAAAATAGATGGAGAGATAATCAGTGTATATTTTGAATATCTCCTTTTTCCTGATATAGATGTCATCCATACTATAATTTGATAAAACAAAATACAAATTTTGTAAAATGACAAATATGTAGCTTAGCATACCTGGGTTATCAGCCCTGAATCGTATTACAACGTATCCACCTACAGGGACCAAAACGGTATCCTTTAGTGGTGGTCCTTCTTTGGTCATACCAGGTATATCTCCGCTGTTCCAACTGGGATCTGCCCAAACGATGCCATCATTGCAATTATCATCTACAGTGCAATTGAACTCCTTGTTCATCTCAAGTTGCCTACCAGTGATAGGGTCATACCTTGGGAAGCCCATCTTGACTACTTGGAAGTTGTGCCCGTGGATGTGAATGGGGTGGACATTGCCATTTAATACTCCATCTGGAAGAGCTTTGAGAATGTTCATGTAATAGACAAATCTTAACTAATATAAAACTGGGTTAACTTCTAAACAGCTTATCATACGGGGGTTATGGATTCATGATCAGTTGTAAAGAAAATGTTAAAGATGGTTTGATATGTTTATGGCGGCTGCAATGAACCTACTCGAGATATACATTTTCGGTAACTTGATAAATATTTCTTGAAGAGTAATAAATAAGAAGAAATAGAAGGGATGGAAAATGATAAAGGTTGAGAGCGGCTAGCTATATAGCTATATATCATAGCATATCTTCCGTTAAACAGAACATGGCAATTTGGGCGTTTCATTACATGCAATGTGCCATTCAAAGGATGAATGGGAAATGTCAGACTTAGTATAGTAAAACATTTGTACATTGAACATTTTTGCCAAGAAAAAAACGTTCAGCGTTGGTAGACGTTCACTACAAAGAGGGTAATTCATATAGGACTCAGTAGAGTATATGCGGTAGAAGGGTGTCTATACTGGGGACATGTACTCACTAGAGAGAGGTGTTCACTAAGACAGGTTTTACTGTACATGTATATTTTGGATTTAAATGTCCGGCTATCGGAACAGCCAATCTGATCAAAAACCAAAGTTCCATTCTCTGGTGAATCATTCAGTCGATTGGTTAGCTTTGAATTTTATTCTTCCTCAGAAGCGACACCAATTTTAAAATTATCTCTCTAATTTTTACCTTGAATATGCAATATTGCAATGGATCATGAAGATTCTTATAACATAGCGTTTCGTAAAAGCGGAAAATATCGTACTTACTCAGTGGAGGAGAGACGGTTGTTAAAAGGGTGATCTGTATAATGTGTCCGAGTGGCAGGTCTATAATATGTGTGCATGAAATACCATCCTCTCCATGTTTCAGTGTAGCAGGGCACATTTTCTGGCTAGCTTTTGCCATGATCTCAGGTTGGATCTAAAATAAGAATGTTCTCTCAGCTCGATAAGAAGATCAGTTTTTAAATAGACATTTTCCTTGGAAAGGCTATAGTATGGAGTTATAATTATCAATCTGTATGTAGTATTTATGTATTTCATCACACTGCAATATGCAAAATATATTTGATATTTACAAGGAAAATTAGTTTACCATAACAGGCGAAGAAAATTGTTGGTGTTGCCTCCCATTGATAGTTGATAGCCACCTTCCAGTCGAGTGAAACCCAGAGAAATGAAAGTTCAAGAATTTCTGGGTGAACTTTTCTGTCTCTGGGGACAGTGTAGGAGTCGGAAACGAGTCCCTCAAGTCCGCAACAGGTATACATGTTGTATACTCTCCTTTCGGATAATATCTGAAGAAAATAGACTGAAAACTATAATTTGCAACAAAATTTCAATGATTAATTATTACATATCATTATCGTACATGCAATACATTGTCTATAATATTAAAAAGGCCATTTTAGTGAATCGTGTATTACCTGGCAATTCATCTTGGTGTAAAAGATAAACTAAATATTCTCACAAGATTCCATGTTGTTTAAAGGAGTCGAAATGCGTCAATCACTAACAGTGAAACGCAATGAAGTATACTGTAATGTACAGTAACGGGCCAAATTACAACTCACGATGTAAAACCTAGTTTTGCTAGAAACGTGAAGCCAACGCAGAACGCCTACAGCTGGTCTATGAACAATATGTAGCCTATGTCACTCTTCTTGGTGGCGACGTCTTTAAACCGAACTAAATGATTACTATGACAATTACTGATGACAAATACAATACTTACTTATATGGACAATTCAATACTTTGCATCCATTTGTCCTTCTGCAAGGTCGCCTATCTGTTTGTGGAATCCTCTTATTAGCACCCTTATATCTTAATATTGCATATGTTCGCCCAGGTAAAATAGTCTGAAAGCAAAGACCAGACCTCTTTATAAGGAGTAGCAAATCTAATGTATTTAGGGTTACTCGGAGCGAGCGTAGTACGATGTAGCGAATGAATCTGATCAAATAGCAATTTAAAACTCTAAAATTCTATCACTAAAAAAGTTATAACTGCGACTAAACTAAAATCAAAAAAGAAGCATGGTATCTGATTGTGCATAAACTGATAAACTCAGATGGTCCATGGTCACTAGACACAACTTGCAGAATGTGAGGCGGATATTTTGTTTTGTATTATTATGACTAAAAATGGAGCCACGGATTACCAAATCATTGCGACGCCAATCAGACATATCTGTCCCTATCAAGAGGAGATCTGAAGATCAGACTTATAAAAATAGGACTTACTTTGTTTTGAACATATCTTTCCAGTGTTTCAAACCGCACCCAATAGTTTCCTACTCCCAGAGGATCCGTTGCATTTATCCAGAAATCATACCTCTCTCCTCCATAGACGATCACTGATTGGACAGTCGTCGTGATCACGTGATTTCCGTCAGTTGATATCACGTGAAGTTGATGATAATCAATGGAGACACGGAAAGCATAATACATTGCTGCGTTTATCAGCCGGAATCTCACTGCCCCTCCTTTATCAGTTGACGGTGGGTTTACATGAAATACTTCAATGGGCAGTCCACGTTTTTCTATCTTTTGACTGTCGTAAGGGGATATATGATGATAACCTAAATCAACATTCAAAGATAAAGGGTGTTTAAGCTTTCATATAAAATCGAAACGTCAACCTATACGTATGACCAATGCAATCGCCCATACAAATGAATCGCTCAAATATTTTCCGTTCACGTTTAGGTTCTGAAAAACATTGCAAGCTTCAACTCCCTATTGATTACTACTTGATAATTACAAATAAGTTTAAAAGAGTACAATTACTACTAGTGCTCGGTGATCCCGGATTCACATGGCCAACCCTTTTTTGGTTTAATTAAGTGATAAAACAATGACTTCGGTGTTTAAGTGTATCATTTATTTACCCTTTCCATTTACTAAAGCTGATATGAATGGTATTATTCCTGCGTCTACTCCGTCAACTTGCTTTGTGGAGGAGAAGCGGTTTTTATCGAATCCATAGGCAAAGCTAAAGCACAAGAAACAGGATTAGGGAAAACATATTTGGACACACAATAAACGAAACGAAACGGTCGATATAATTATCAGTAAAATTTGTCAAATCCGAACGCCTCTGAGACCAGCCTAAAGTGTTCAGATTAGCAGGCCACGTTTCAAGAGGTTTTGAATATGGGTCAATGAGAGATTATGGGACCAAGGTGAAAATCACATCGAGAGTTGTTCTGATTAGAGAAGTGTTCAGTTATACAAGTTTCACCCAACGATCTAAATTGCTTAGAATTTGCTCATATAAATTTCTACTCTGGTAATAGCAAAACGATCTTACACTCCCCCGGGCAACCCCCCCCCCCCTCCGTCTATTTGGCAACCAAAAGTTTTTATTGGCCAGCATATCAAAGATTGTCAATATTTTCATCTTAGTTTTTTCCTTAATTACAATTGTTTGAAAGATAAAAAAGATAATTTCTTTAATTGTCAAACATTAAACAGGATTTGATATCGATTGATCCAAAAGGTGGCTCTGGTTGACAAACTTATGCAAGGGAGTGTACAAGCAGTGATCTCTGGAACCATTCATTTTACTTATTCAAAAGTATTATCAATTACTTCGCGGCGTCTATGCTGATGAGCTCTGACACATACAACGAGTCTCTCCTCGTCCAGTCTTGTACGATCATGTGGTGGTCACTAAGAAACTCGGGGAGTTGATCAGCACCCTAAATATATAAATAGAAAAAATTGCAAGCGCTTAATAGCTTGTCACCGTTCATTTTCACTGTAGTATATAGCAGTGTAACACCACCGTAACGGTTTTTGAAATATTACAGACATCTTGACAAAAAAGGTGGCAAGGAGTGGTAGCATTTCAGACAAATCTATAATCATTATTACAAGGTAGGGGAGGGGCGTCAGTGTTCTTTAAAATTTGACAATCATTTCAACACTTGGATCAGCAGGGCACTCCGTGTCCTATCATATTCTCATTCTTCCTTCTAAGTAAAATCATTCATAATCTCAAAAATATATAGCGTGTATGAACTTTATCCTATAACATACCCTCCTCCTAATCTGGTCTTTAGGTCTCTCCAAGACAACCAAAGAACCAAAGATCCCAGCGCTTCGTTGAGTCCCCAGATGGGCATGGTACCAGTTGGTTCCGATATTTGATGCAATGAATCTGGAAGCACAGTAATACGGGGCATGGTTATGAAGGGCTTCAAAAGCACGATGTCCGTATATTGGAATTTATTTTGGCCGTGATTATGGACAAAGTTCCATTTTATATTTTGTTTCTTAAAGAGCACCGCCATGTATGATGTCGTGATGAGTTATAGGACGTTTCTCATGTCACGTATGCTTCGACAACTAACCTTTCTAAGATCATAACTTAAATTGGCTATGAAGAATACATTTTTTCAATATACAACCCTACAATCAATTTCTTTTCAAACTGACATTTTTGATTATCGAATGTGAAGCATGTCAAAATACAAGTTTTTGCATTTCGTAACGTTTTCATCAGGCTTATGAAACATCTTGACAGCATTCATCGGTGATTATTATTACCCTTTGCATTCGTTTGACTTCACTTCTTAAAAGAGAAGCTTCGTAGTTTAACTAGACTATGCACGGAGGGTAGTGATTATAGAAGAATGCTCCATATAATTATGATGACACGCATGTGGATTGTAACATTTTGACCTTGAGAGGTGCCATTGAAATTCTTCAAAAAAGACATTTGAAAATACGATTTTTTCGAGAATCCATATCATATTGATCCTCGGAAAATCCATATTCCTCTTCTCTTTAAAACAGCGTGTATGAATTGGCAGAAGAATATTATACAAGTAAACAGATGTGTTAACATCGAAATATGAAAATATGGTGTATTACGTACCTATATGTGAATGTTTCGTATGGGTTAATCGGGCACTGCGACACCGAACCCACTCCATCCATCCACGGGGTATTCCGCTGCTCAAGACCGTGCCAATGTATCGTCGTTGCTTCGTTTGTTAATAAATTAGTAACGTGGACAACCACCTAAAATAAAATTGTTTAGATATAGCTACACATGGGTATGAATATAAATAGGATAAATTAGGCTTCTAATTTGGCCTTTCTTAGGCCAAATTACCAAAAAGGGGCCTTAAATGTTAAGGATATGGGCCGGTTTTAGGGGCCCAAACTTTTTTCCGAGCAAGCGCGAACATTCTTTCACGACTCAAAATTTGCCTACCCCCTCTTGTTAGCTTCTGGATGTTGTAAAGTAGATAGGGTGGGGGAGGGCTCAGGGTCATGATGCTAGTCTCGACTAGTAGGGATCAAAAGCGAAAGATGTAAAAAAATCGAATCAACCACATCTTTCAAACTCGTGACCATGACTGAATAGGTCGTATATACCCTTTTTCCCAGAGTTATTCCAGTATACATGTATGTATATCGTTTTGATACGTCATGTGTCTATGGTGTCAAATTCAACAATGCTATTGATTATTGGTGTCTACCTCTTGGCCCTCGTACACCACCATAGGGGGTCCTGGCATTGACTTGTTTACCATCATTATAAGCTGGTAACTCCCATCCGCATACACGATGGAATCCGTATCTGCAGTTAGAGTAAAATAAAATTTAAAAAAGGCTTCGCCTAACTCAAACAGGGATGAAACTTACTGTAGAAAAAATGTAAATCTACCTTAACTAATTAAAAGTCTCATCAATGGTGAAGATTACTACCATCCTGAGCGAAGCAATTTTCTTCGATTTCGCATTTCTTTGCAGAAGTTTACAATTGGAACTTTATTAGCTAACAATTTCATGGCAAAATATTTAGAATCAAGATTTTCTTTGGCTTCGCTGAAATCGAAGGTTTGTCGATATCGAATTCATTTTTCGGATTCTGTTCTATTTTTGAACATAAACAGGGTGAGCCAAACAAGGTAAATCATGTGGTAATTTATTTTGTTAAAAATTATTTAATGATAACTCAAATATGTTTGCTTTGGTCTGGTTATCTAATTCTTGGCTTATAAATAAATTATACAAAACTTATATTTTTCATTATTTGGGGTTGCCCAGTTTTATACTGTAGCTGTACTATTTGACCTTTGCAAAATATATTTTACTAACTATCCTCATTTACTGTCTCATTATCTATTTTCTTTTCAAAGTGGCCTCTATTGCCTTGCTTATTGGCTTTAGTTGTTATGACGTGCATGAAACTTCATAGTTGATTTTGCAAAGTTCTTACGGATACATTTACATATAGTCAAGGGAAGGTAATTGTATGAGGCATAAAATTGATGCAATTGCCATTGACCAAAACACAACACATGTTCATCTAATAAGCACTGCATAAACACGGTGTTATAGCATGACGGTTACGACACGTCTGAAAACGAGATTAGACGACTACGATCACTGATTTATCCAATAAAATGGCCGCGATGGAACAGGAAACTAAGGTTGGTGCATTATTTTCTTCTACAGTGTATCAATGAAAGGATGAACGATTTTTGTAGGTATCGCATTCTGTGGTGCATTTAGTAATGTATATTTTGAACGTATTCTTTGCAAATTGATGCCCGGGGATAACATGAAATAAGCGAAAAACTGTTGAGTTTGAAATTCAAAACTACACAAAATTTAGTAATTTTGTTTATTTTTGTCGTTAGGGCATGGTCTACATTGCCTAACGACCTTGGGGTATATAGATGTAACCTACATACGATCATAAAAAGCCAATTGAGCATTTGAAACCACCTAATATGTTCTACTTAAGCCATAATATTGTATTTTTAATTTACGGTACGCAAAAAATTGATTGACGGTTACGCGATCTCGTTCAAACATGTATCCCAGATTCATTGTTATAAATTTTGTCGTATTCATCAGTACTTGATGCTAATTCTTCTTTTGCCTCTTCATTGCTATCTTTTTGACTTAAATTGGTTGCATAAATAAAGCAAGATTCAATTTTTTCCTTGCCCTATAGAGGCTCATCAAGAGCGTCTCTAGAGTTACGCGGTATATGGCATACATTCATGGTTGCGCGGTATTCGTGATACGGGTGAATATGCCATACTCACCTGCGGTATATGGCATATTCTGCAGGTGAGTATGCGATATTCCGCAGTGAATATGCGATACATTGATTTCAGTGAATACCCGATACTCACCTGCAGAATATGTCATACTCACTTGCGGAATATGCCATATACCGCAGGTGAATATGACATATACCGCAGGTGAAAACGTGATACAGAAAGCCTTGATTTGATTGGTTGCGAAAATCGACTCTAAATGTAAAACTACGCTGGATTACCAATATAGTCAGTGCGTCGAGTACTAATATATGAATCCTGGTTTGATTGAGAAAGTTTATTACGCGAGATTGGTGACTGCTACTTCTGCTAAGTTAATATATTCGATACACAGTACTGTTGATTCAGTAATCATTATAATAATTTATAACGTTTTACTTGTTCGTTCAATCGATGTAATTGACAATTGCGTACTTCCGTATCGCGTTCTCATTGGTTAGTATGTATGCCATATACCGCAGGTGAATCTGTCATACACCGCAAGTGAATATGCCATATTCGTTGCGGAATATGACATATTTTTGTATCGTGTTTACCGCGTAACATCTAGCGAGTCCTGAAAACAAAAATATAATCAATTCAATATTACATTTCTTACCCATTATAACAATTACATGGAAAAAGGCTATCAGAACTAGCAACCTTAACTTGAAAGATGTACATGCACGTAACCGTCCGCTAAATATCTAATGTACATCTAATACAATACGTTACCGTCCATAGAATTCATACGTAGTCGTCTAACGACATTGCGTTTGAAACTTTATTATTTACAATATGACCACTGGCGTTCCTGTTCTGGATTTGTCATTTTATGGCTTGTTTATACACAGTTTACTTACTGTTAATAGTTTGAGATTGAGTGGCTCTGAGGCACATATACTGAGAAAACACGAAAATGGACTAACAATTATGAACTTGGATATCTCAGTCGGTAGGTTTACAGCTTATATTCTGCTTCTTGTAGACCACCTGGCAGATTTGACCCAGTCTTTATAACCATCCATATATACGTCACCGAATGGAACTAGTTTAAAAGGAAATCTTATCTGTTAATCTTGCCTACAGGCGAGAAAGAGGACATGCTGCCTTTCCAATTCGCCATTTTTTGTTATCGTTACCGCAAAATTTTGCAAATCGCCTTGTCGTAACCGTCATGCTATAACACCGTGATAAAGCAATTCTCTGCAACGATTGTACTCAGTTACTTATTCATTGTTAGTGCGTTCCTATACTGGCCTATATTGTGTGGAAGAGAGTGTACGAACTTTCATAGTTTCAACCAGGTTTTAGTGCTTTCTGACCAATTGTATCATCAGACTTATTCATTTCATGATTTTGTAATACTACTTATTAGTTACACAAGTCTTAATAGAAAGTTTTGTTAAGACTTTTCAAGAAACAGTTAAGCTCCGGGGATTATACATCCATTTAAAGTTTTGTATTACTGCCTCATACCAAAGTTCGTAAGCCAAAATAGAAAAATAAAAAAGATTACAAAACGCAACATTAAAAAGAATCATGAAAAAATATTTTCACTCATTTCGTCGTCGTTGACATTATTGAGGGTATCATCACATTTCACATGTCAAGTATAGTGTCATTAGCTCAATTTTCTATTCATACTGATTAGGCCTAACATCTACTTTAGATTAGTTCAATTTTTTCTTGTTATTAGACCCCAGGCTTCTATTTAATGTAAGTTACTGCTTGTTCGCTTGGAAATACTTGAAAGGTGTATTCAAGAATGAAAATATCTGATATACCGCTTGGCAACACATATATATCACATGATACAATGGTCACACCGGAATAGCCGGACTACGGTAAAGTCAGATACCGTTGTCACAAATGGCGGACATTCCAGGCTATTCCGGGGTGATGGTAAAACCAATGGGCCAAAGGAGCATGTCAAATTTCCTGAATGGTTAACTCCGGGGTCCAGTTTCTATTTTTGTTTATCTGGATGAAAGAAAGTTTACGCTGGACATATTCAGGGATCCAAATATATCAAATATCATGACCTCAGGAAAAGACCCGGGGTCACTTTGACTTACGGTGCAAACTATCCACATTTAATGGGACTTACCATTATCTGCAATAGGTACCAACTTATCACCAGAAGAGCTACGATGGTAGATGGATCCATTTTGTTGAATAATGACAGGTAGCATCTTCGACCCAACTTGTTTGGTCATTGTAAAGCCATGTTCCAATTCCAGCCAGAATTCACATACTGGCTCGCCCTCATCACAGTTGGACACGACATTGTTTTGTTTGTCGGTTAATGCAATTGTCGTAGGCGACATCCATAAAAGTACAATTAAACATGCAGTCCAGCTGCATATATTCCACCCATGTCCCGGTTGTTTTCTGTTAATATACATGTTATATTTCGTATCCTAAAATGTTAATGGCATCTTCATTTGGAATCGCAGATTATTATTTTCAACTACTTTCATGATCGTTCCTCACACATGTCACATGGTCTACATCTTTCTATTTTGCCTAAACGGTTTAAAATAACATGAATGTAAGCATTACACTAAGCTTCATTTATTCGTTTTACAAACTCCTTTCCAGTACACTTTCCATTCCACTGATCAGCTATAGGACTTAAGGGTATATTTGCTCACACACAACAACGTCCAATATAAATATATTTACTGACCCTTTTCCTATAGTACATAGAGGTAATGCTAAAGGTCCCGGGATATTACATGGCATGTAAAAATGTTTTAGATGCAGAATATCAGTATTAATTAAATTACCCTCAACGTACACCCTGAGCGTAGAGTTTAGTTCACAACAAACGAAGACGATGAAGCTCTCTTTTAAGAAACGAAGTCAAACGAATGCAGAGTATTTAAAGTGTGAAGACTTTGTTCATTAATCTCGTATCCTTGTTAATGACAGTGTATTTCTTCAGTCGCAATATTATTTATATGAATCAAGATGTACAAATCTGCAAATCCTTTTTAGAGTGATAGGCCAGTTTCCATTGTCACGTGGTCGATGATGAACAACGTATGATGATGAATGAACGTATAAAAATCCGTTTTCAAAGTAGAGTCTATTCATCGGGCTTAGTTCAAATAGTTCAGGGACCTGGATAAAGGGTCAAATAGTTTCTTGCACTTAAATTGTTTTCTCGCATGTTCGTCAAGGTATTCCAGACTAAGCCATTGTATGCTTACTTAAGTAATTATATGTCTATGACTAACATACTCTCAGATGACTGCAATGAGCTTCCCGAGCAGCAATTTGAGTGAAAGTATAAAAGATGCCCATGGTTAGGTTTAATTCATTACAGGTACTTAATCCCAAGTTCATTATATGTTTACAGTAAGTATATATCTGATAATCACCGAGTTATCCGCCGACCACCAGAGTCCACAGTCCAAGCCAAGAGCTACTTAAAGGTAGTTACTTACGACAACAAATCATCGAAAAAAATAATGAAATCTGATTTCGTATTTGAGCATGAAAATATCCCCATGTTGAGGTTCAAGAGAGTAGGGGGACGTAATTTATACAAAAGCTAAAAGACGGGATTGTTTTCATTTTTGCTCACATGAGAGGTTAATGAAGTATAAAACTCAAGAATATGAAATAAGAGGCCTCGATTTTTCGATTTTTCGATTTCTCTCTAACACGCGTGTCTAAGCTGGCAACGTGATAAACAATACGATATTTGTTGGCCGAACTTTCAAACTTTTGATTTCAAAGAGATACTCCTGTAATAATTAGGACAAGTGACCTTTACCCAAAACAAGAAAATGCGCTCATAGATTTTCTCTTCCGAGGTAAAATGCGAAAACATGCGACTCTTCCATTCATTTTGTCAATGTATGAAAATCAAAACGGTGAATTGATATTTTAGAAGCAAAACGTTGGTATATTATTATAAGATAATGTGTTATGCGCAGAACACACGCGTGGTCTCTTGTAATTTAACAAGTTTTCGAGTTTCAGCCATAGCTTTTTGAAAAAAGGTCAGGGAAACATCAGAAAACAAGACGCCAGACATTTTGGTGAATGAAAACCCAAAACCAATTCAAAGTATACAAATTATTTTGCAATATTCGCACGGTTGTCCTTTGATTACCTTTGCATGAAGTTCGATAGACTTAAAATGAATTCATAGTCTCAGACTGAGCTTGCGTGTTTGTATGCAAAAATCAGACCCCCATACTTAAATTACGCACGTATTGCCCGTATTTACACGTGGGGTTGAACATGAATGAATGATACAAATAACCCATCCAGTTTCCAAAAGTCTGATTTCGTCTACAAAAAGAGAGCTTCATCTACACTTAATTTACTAGGCTCTTACATTCAATGTTGGCAAAAAAACTCCAAAAATAGTGTTACAGTTCAAGGAATTACAAACATGTTCTTTGGAATCGTGCCCTAAAGTGTTTATATGGCTGTAAATGGTGAATCAGGAAAATTGAAAAGGGGGTTATTATAAACATAATTCTCTATCAAAAAATGCGTTGAAGCCATCCTCTATGTTATTGTACTAAATGACTGTTATCTTGAGATTGGAATAAATTTTATATTGGAGACTAAGCAATGCGTATAAAATCGAAACGGAAACCTGTACTTACAAATCGCCCTATACAAATGCATGTAGTTTTATATAAAACAATCGTTCGGTTAGTTTTTACTTAGTCAGTTACTTAGACTACATTCATCGTGTAGTATGCCATTGAGGGTTATAAAGCTGATTTTCTATGATACATATTTTAAACAAGCTCGTTTAGTAAGATATTTGGAGCTAAAACATGTATGAAATACATCATTTTCTTCATTACACTGTGCATCGAAATCAAAATTGTCAGCATAGTATTCAAAATACATGAGTATAATGATTCCCGTTGCCACCAACGTGAAATTGCAACTCCCGTTGTAAACACAGCTCTAAAGCTGGTGATGTGGTATCTGATGTAGACTTATAAGCGCTTGTTTTGATTCATGGACTTTTTGGTTCGCGGTTACGTTGTGAAAAACAACTTTATCTTAATGTCTCCATTCTTAACATTGATGACGTCAAATATATTGTTTTATGGGTAGATCTATAGTTTAGTAATTTTGACAATTTTAGAGGTATTTGGAATAATTGAAAAAAGAAATATGATAGTTGAAATCAATGAATTTTCTTGAAACAAAGTGTGCGCTTTTTGATGTATGCCAACTTGATTCACATAGGTTTCAGTTGCTACAGCTGCTATAACAGTTGCTATAACAACCTTGGAATTCAAAGATGGATCAAGGGAAAGATCAATACCCGGTGATTTCAGCGGGAAGTGGCGTTTCGTTCATTGGATGAGCTGCGCGCGCACGCATAAATGTGATTATCCAATATAATTAGGGGAGGGCTCAGGGGGGGGGGGAGATTTCCCAAAGATGCCCTATCATATTAGCACGTTCGAAAACAAATTTTATAAACAGGCCTCAATTTTCCGTTGAAATGGATCTCCAAATGTTCACTGTAGTTTTATGAGTATTCTCTACAAGTATGGATCGAGTAACTTCAATGGTATTGCCGTAGGTTTGAAATGACGATGTTGAACTGATGTAAACGCCATTCTCACGATTTAAAATTTAACTCTGCGCATGCGCAGCACTGAGAGAGCATGTGCCCATGATTGTTCACGTGATCGAATCCTGCAATTTGATTGGAGATGATGCAAGAGATGATGTAATGGGGAATCCCCGAATACGATAGAATATGAAAGAATTATGGGAGCTACTCACTCCTCCTGGGGAGGGCTATTTGAAGTAGTTTTTGGTCTCAGGCGCGACCCAGGGCTGTTGTCTTAAGGACATTTCGTTGAAAATGAGCCATTCGGCTGATAATTGGTAAGAGTTTGCGATCTTATAATGTATAACTGTTACTCAGACACATATTTTGACACGATTCTGTTGGAAATAAGCTTTGAACCGAGAGATATTCACGATTGATATGCACATTTTTGATTGTGCCATTGCTTTTCTATTGCACAATCCATGTATTGATAGAAGAAACATTAATAATACAGATTGGTTTACCTTCAATACATGGCAGACACTACATATCGGTCTATTAATACCAGTTTGTGCCTTAAATAGTTTTATATTTCCATCCACGACCAGGAGCCTGGGTGTGTTTGTCTCTTATGTGTATGCTTGTGCATGGACTTCTAATCACTAGCAGAATTTAACATGATGCAAACTCGACATTATAACTCATGCTGTAACATTTTGACTTCGCTGGAAAACAATAGGAATTATTTTTCTTGCCAATCAATCATGAATCACAATCAAAATTTCAGAATGATCAATCGGGCAATAGTCCAAATCAAGTTATAACATTATATGATATTCAGCAAGAAGTCCGGTAGAAATACAGAATATTTAAACATCAAAGCTGAAAGTTAAAAGCTGATCTGTCAATTTTCTGTCTGCAAAAGAGCGTCCCAAGAGCGTTTACATTTGACACAATAACAGACTGAGGCTTTGAAATCTAGGATTCCCCAGGAAAATATGACGTCATACTAATTAGCATAAGGATTTCCCTATTGGTGTGGGTCGAGCCTTGTTCGAAAACACAATCCATAAATACATGCTAATTTCTAAGGAGATTGGAAGTGTTTAACGTGTTTATCGATTTTGTTTAAAGATTTGATCAATTATCAAATTGTTTAAGTGGATAAAGTGGTCACACTTGCTTCAATTCATAGCGAAATCGACGGATAGAAACTGACCGAATTCCCGGTATCCTACCCCGTATTACTGTAGGCTATAAGCACAGTGACCTACAGAGGGCGCTATCACAAACAAGTACTGGACGAACCGATAAATTCCCGGGTATTGTAACGCCCTTGGATGGATGTATGCATGAACTTAATAAAAACACATGGGACTGTATCGAGTTTTGAAATATTGTGAAATACATTGCACACGTTTTGAAATATTGTGAAATACATTGCACACGTTTTGAAATATTGTGAAATACATTGCACACGGATTGAAATATTGTGAAATACATTGCACACGTTTTGAAATATTGTGAAATACATTGAACACGTTTTGAAATATTGTGAAATACATTGCACACGGATTGAAATATTGTGAAATACATTGAACACGTTTTGAAATATTGTGAAATACATTACACACGTTTTGAAATATTGTGAAATACATTGCACACGTTTTGAAATATTGTGAAATACATTGCACACGGATTGTACATAACATCTGATGGATACAGCACAACATCAGGATGAAGTTCAACTATAAGTAAAAAAAAATGTTTAACTTATTTTTATATTTCTATATGTTTAAAACACAACAATTCTCAATAAGTAAAACCTTGCATAAAGATTCGAATAGTATTTTTAGATATTGCTCAGAAAATATCTACAATGTTACATAAACATTGCTAGACTTCACTACAATATTACACTTACGTGAATTACTCATCAATAGATTATCATGCCTTTAAATTACAAAGGCTTATTGAGTCTTTTTAATCTCATTATTCTTATGACTAACTTTAACTAATTATTGTCTTTCTGACACCTTAAGATTCTTAACTTTAGCGTAATAGTTGTCCTACTCGTACCTCTGTGCGTTAAGTCTTAGTCACATTTGCTCTATGGTGGCTGTACGGAGGCCGTAGCTTCACAAAATCACTATGGGAAATTTACATCATACTGCTTATCCTCATATTTCATTCTGTATATTTCTCTCGATTTTTAGAAGCTATGTGCGCAGTACGGGTGCCGTAGATCAAACGTGACTTAGGCATTTGTGTCACACCAAGATTCCTTCATCTAACTTCAAGATTCCCCGATGTCACCTCAAGATTCCTCAATGCCACATCATATTGGCAAAAAAAGATTCCTAATGTTACATCAAGATTCTTCAGTGTCACGATTGAGTCCTAAATGTCACTTCAATATTACCCAAATAAAAGCTAAAGATTCCTCAATATCACATCAAAATTCCCAAATGCCGCATCATAGAGGTTCCTATACATTGTATTGTATTTCAAATAAAGTTTCCCAATGTCACATCAAGATTTCTCAATAAGATTCCCACTGCTACAATAGCCAATGTTGTATCAAGATTCCCCACTGCTACAAACATAATGTTGTATCAAGATTCCCCACTGCTACAAAAATAATGTTGTATCAAGATTCCCCACTGCTACAATAGCCAATGTTGTATCAAGATTCCCCACTACTACAATAGCCAATGTTGTATCAAGATTCCCCACTGCTACAATAGTCAATGTTGTATCAAGATTCCCCACTGCTACAACAGTCAATGTTGTATCAAGATTCCCCACTGCTACAATTGTCAATGTTGTATCAAGATTCCCCACTGCTACAATAGTCAATGTTGTATCAAGATTCCCCACTGCTACAATTGTCAATGTTGTATCATCAAGATTCCCCACTGCTACAATCGTCAATGTTGTCTGTACATACTGAAGTCATCTTTGCTCTCGGGAGCCTGTTTGTGGGCAATATAGAGGAATCCTATACTGGATAAGGCACTGATTAGAAATATCACATCAAACCATCTGTGGTAAAAGTTGAACTGTAAATCACCCAGGACCTCAGTTATAATCATCCTGAAATAAAAAGTAGTTCACCGCATAAAAAAGTTTGCCGCATAGAAAACACAAATGGTGTGTAAGGGGTGGCCAGAAGAAAAACATGATATCTGTAACTATGCTAATCTAACTGCAAAATCACCAAAAGGCCAGATAACTGTCAGGCCCGTAGCCAGAATTTTCCAAGGGGGGGTCACTTTTCCCAAAAATTCTAGGGGGGGTTCACTTTGGCAAATTTGGCCAAAAATCACTCAAGAAATAGTCAGAATGGTGAAAAACTGCATGATTTTGAAAGAAATTTTGGCCAGGGGGGGGTTCACCCGAACCCCCCTCCCTGGCTACGGGCCTGACTGTTTTTACCTGGCGAACCTTCATTAATACATATATTATGCTTATTTACCTGTATTCTGATGGCATGTTCATCCTCATTAAAAGCACCGAAGACAAGAAATACATCCCCTGCAAGCAAAAAATATAAACTAATTAGAATAAAACTGTATGTGAATAGCTTTCTAAAGTTAACGGATTGAAATGTTTCACACATTCAGTCATATAATCGTTTGTATCTGCATTGATTCCATTTTAGTAAATTAATTCTTTGTGTAGAGATGAGAGGCCAAAGGAGTTTTGGGAATATATTGAAGCTGGATTTTAGAGTGTTTGTTTATACATTGTACCATTAGATTGTGGGGATCCTTGAATGGACATTAAGAAGTCATGAGTTTCTTATAAACATGAACAGATATAATTGTTATTAAGACTGTATACAGACATGTATTTTTGCCTCTTCAGAGATTTCACTAGGTTTTAATTAAAAAGTTTAAAATTATAATTTTACCCAATTAATGCATGCATGTCCTCATACTGTACTTACCATAATCTGGGCAATGGCTAGAACTATCACATTGGAGGATTTACTACTCGCTATAGCATAGAAGAACTGAAATAAACACACCATAAATAAGTCTGTTCTTCATGTAACACCAACTTTTGAGGGTACAAAATCAGAAACTTCAGAATCTTCAGATTATAAACAAAAGAAAAATGCTTTAATGTTTTTAAGTAAACTCTAAGGTCTTCAAGGATATATGAAAACAATGAGTGAATAAAACAACTCAAAGGTTCTCAATAATGAATACAATAACAAATTCTCAAATCTGTAGGAAATTACACTGCAAGTGACTTAGAAGTATTTGTGAAATAAATTAATCAAATAAATGAAGCAGAGTTTGGTACCTTTGTGAGTGTGATGAGCAGGCCTCGTATAGATGTCACTACTATTATACCAACAGCCCAGAAAGATATATGCTGTGACCAGAACTTCACCTGAAAAGATTTAGATTTGGATAGAACTGCATATGAAGCCATGGAAAGTAAATATATTCATCAGTTTAAACTGTACAGGAGTCAATTGTTGAATAGAATATATTATGCATAAAAAACTGTCCAAGAAGTGTTGGTGTTAGTCCCCCTTACCTTTCCAAAACATTTATTTGGATTTAATGATATGATATGATGTATAACATCTTCATGCATTTGAATTCTGATATTGCAACTATAGATAATTAGGCTCTTGTATTCTTACATCAAACTGTATTCCTAGGTAGTCCACTGAGATCATGATTCCTCGAGTGATCGGATCAATCTTCCCCACTCTGTCAAACACAATATTAATTGTCGACTGGAACAAAATACAATATATTGTAAGAGTACTTGAAATTTGGAATGCTAATAATTGTAAACTGAAATTACAAAACTGGATTTCCCTTTTAAGTAATCTTGCTTTTTTGCTCTAAGGAAAAATTACATGGGAAAATTTCATTTTCATTACAGTTTTTGTACATGACACATGTTCATGTGAATAAATACAAAAATAAGCAAAAATTTGAAAAGTATATTTAAATTTTCAATATGATATTGCACAGTTGTATATCTGTTGTATATGTCTGTGACCTTTGAATTAACTCTTAGCAGTCTAAACTAAATCCCAGTATTTCCTGCCCTGGTCTGAGCAAAATGGACAATGTGACCAAAGTAACCATTAGATTTTAAATTTTAGGCTACAGTTGGGGACAAAAATAAATGGCAGGTCGATTTTCGATCACCATTTCCTAATTATGGTGGTCTGAAAGCCCATAATTTCCAATATTGTCTAGATACATATCCCTTAAAATTTGTATATTTTACATTTTGTATAATCTCATCCACTGATTTATGGCCTCTTGTAAATTCTCTTATTTTTAACATGGGAAATCCTCACTTCAGCAAATCCACCTGTCATTTATTTATGTCCCCAACTGTACAAAACAATATATGGGCATCAAGTGTTGGGTATGTATTATCAACACAATGCATATTTTTTGTTTCTAAATGAACTTTAGCATAACCCCAAGTACCCAAAGTGCGACTTATCTCATTGGCAGACCCCAGGGAATGTCTGATTTTGCGAAGTAACTCATCGTCAGACTGCTAAGAGTTAATATAATAGCTCATCGACAGATTTTACATAACAACTTACAATAAATATTTTCCATATGCAGTAAACAGAGAAGAAATATCCAAGAATATTGAAGTATTTTCCTTTGAATGTTTTTCCTAACTCTATCCTCTCCTGGAAGAAAATACACAAAATATATAAGAGATGACATCTATACTGGCTCCTACACATTAATCTCTATAGCAAAAGACATATTTACATGAGACTTCGAGTGATAAATACAGTAAAACCTTAAGTGAAACACCTTTGGTACATCTGAAAAGTGTTCAACTTGGGAGGTGTCCCACTTATAGAGGTTCATTTAACATTAATCAGTGGTTCTTTGAACTCTGAGAAGTGTTCCACTAACAGAGTTGTTCCACTTGGGAGGTGTTCCACTTTACAGGTTTCACAGTACTGCATTATATACATCATTCTTAAAAACTTACTATTTGTTAAAATCTTCATAATTTGAAACTTGCTTAGTTTCACTCAATGAAAAATAAAATGTTGAACTAGATGCTGGATTTATGTTCACTTATAATGGATGGCCAATATGATTTTGAATATGGAAACCCCTGCCCACTACAAGAGAAACATCACAGTGGAATCTCAATAACATACTCTTGTGTTCTGGGAATCCACAACTTCTAGAAAGAGTTGTCTACTGAGTTCCTCCAAAGCCCCACATTCTTGCTTCAGTGCTGAGATATCTGAAAGTATACAAATGTATTTTAGATAAAGATCTTACGTAAAGATTCTTAACAACAAAATTTCCTCACATTTCTCCCTGATTTTTCCCAGATGCAGAAGAATAGAAAAGCAATTTAATCTTTGCACAATGTCTTACATTTGAGGTTCCTCCATAGTCGGAAAAGCCCACCTTTTGTCTTTTGTATTAATTTGCTCTCCAAATTGGAGGAAATAAAGAACCATACCATACCATACCAATCAGAAAACAGAATTACATCACGAAAATATATTTTCTGACAAAACCTTAACAACAATTTAAATCCTTTAAAATTCTAGCATCTTCAGTTTTTCACAATTCGTATGTCTTCCTTTTTCCTATTTCTTATATTTCCTATATTGGCATTTAATCTAAAGAGTCATACTAAGCTCTTACTCTCTCCACTATTGCTTGTAGTAACTGTTTTAATCATGCCCCATATTCCACCATGTTCCTTATTAAGGCCTGGTCGCTTCATAGAGTCACGTTTTGCAAGGGCAATTCTCTTCTTTTTGGCTAGAATCATGTCCTGAGTTTGCATTAGCCGCTTGATCTGAGCATTCACCTCTTCATCTGTGATGTGCCTGCAACATTTAAGATTAAGTTCCAAGCGTTCACTAAAAATTCATAAGTTTCAGATGTTACATATGAAAATCAATTTGAATGTTTGTTGTAAGAAAAGGGAGGGGTGTTCAAGAAAGAATGAAATTAACAATTCTGATTTGTTTTTTGGTTGAATTCCACCGTAAACAGTTTTTCATTTCACTTTGTACAGATCTGCAAATTGTCTTGTAAAATAAACCGAAACAAGGCAATAACATGCAAAATGTCACCACCTGCCATTTGTGACAGACACCAAACACTCACCAACAAATACCATCAACAAAAGGACTGACACAATAACAATATGTCATCACTTCTAATGGTGATATAAAAACTGTGTATGAAAGGGTTTCCCCGAAAAATATTCACCTGACAAAGTAAAACATGGAAGTATATGGATAGTTGACAGCACCAAATCCAGAGAGAAATGCCATCACAGTGACACCTATAACTCCAACACGCCCGATACATTGCTCTATGGAAAATATACCTACAAATACAAAAGTTGAAACAAAGTGAATGTTATAGCAATTACAATTACTAGGGGGGAAGGGGGGTTGTAACAGTACAATGCAATACAATACAATACAATACAGTACGTATCCAATACCTGACGTTTCAGGGACATTTTAACTGGGAATATATTCCATATCTGGGCAAATATATTTCATATGTCCCACTCCAATGAGGATCCTGGATATACACAATGCAGTACACTGTCCTCATACAAAAAACAACAAAATAATGCACTTTATTTCAAAACATCATTTGAAAGTACAGCTGTATAAAAAAGAGATTCATGATTAAAGATGTCACTTACATCAATAATGAATGTTGTACTTTGCTGTATGGAGGAAAACTAAAACCAATTAATTAACAATATCTTTATTACAGTATGTATCAAGAGAAACTGTATTGTACTATCCCTCATATTCCAATCAAACAAGACACACAGTGCCTGATGAATATTACCCTTTTAGAGTAAATTCAAATGGTCACCAAGTAATTTACACAGCATGCAAAAACCTAATCAGATCTATAAGCACAAGTGGTTTTCTTGGAATAATGATGTCAACATATTTGTGGCACCCACCTATACAGACACACACAGATGCAAGCCCACCAGCAAAAGACAACTTAGCATATTAGAATTGTACAATAAAAATACTTTGTACAAATCTTATATTAGAAATATTTAATTTATTTCTTGCTATATTTGTATCATATACTGCAGGGTTACCTTTTGGTAAACATGATAACATTTCACTACCTATCTAAAACATATTCAAAGTAATTGAACTCTGACATGTAAAATGCAAGTTTGAGACTTGTATATGGATGTGACTCATTAAGAAGTTAATGCTGTATCAGGCAATTAATCACATAAACTCAACAAACTGTAATTATAAAATATTTTATCACAACTACTCATATTATATGATATCAAAGTAGACCTAAAAGCTGTATATTATTTGCTATACCAGGCAAGTAAATAAAAGAATATGTTTCAGTCTCTTAATATGATCCCAGTGTATTTTGGGTAGAATGAACCCTTTTCAATTTAATTTTATTTTCCTTCTTTAGAAGAGCTTTATCTCCTTACTATCAATATCTGAAGAGTGTAGAAAATAGATAGGTCCAAAGTTAATTTCAATTGAAAATATTATTTTGCAGTGGCCTTAACATAAAAAATTATCACAAAATACCAAAGATACATATACACATGTAAACGAGACAGGACAACAAAACTTAAAACTTCAAAACTTTCAAAATGACATTTTTCAATGCGTTGGATATATTGGAGAGTAGTGGGAAAAATGACATGGCTTATGTGACGGACTTTGCAGCACACAAGATTGTCTACCTGCTGACTGTCTATCTACCTCTGCTAATGGGAAGCTTCCTCTACTCGCAGGAGTATCTAGGTATGTAAACTAAGGGGAAGGAGTAGGGGAAGTAAAGAAGAGGGGTGTGAATGAGGGGAGAATCTGTGGAGATGAAAAGAAAAAGGGGGTAAAAAGGTATGGGGTACAGGGTGAAGGCAGCTGTGGGGGCGGGAAGTGAAAAAGTGGACAAGAGGGTAAAAGGAGAAGCTTTGGGAAGGGGAGGCTGAAATGAATTAGGTGTGAAGCTGTGGGGAGGGATAGAAATCAAAAAGAGGTGAAGAATGCTCAATCTCCCCGTGCAAGGCCACAGCAGCTACTTTTGGGGATGATATGATATTACCAGCATCAAACCGGTGTATTTATTTTCTCTATCTATAGAAAAGAGGGGATATGATAAGTCTCTCAGCCTTGGGTTATGTGCTTTCCCAAACTGCAGTTAATATCTGTTTGGTTTCAGGCAGCAAGATTGCCTGTTTCCCAACACCTGGGATGTCCAAGGATACACTAGAGGCTGTAAATGTACACTGCTGGGTTAAGGGTTACTACACAAGCCTGGACCTGAACAATACAACAATGACATCACAATTACAGCAAGTTCTCAGCCAACCACAGCGCTTCTTTGCAATCTATCTTGGCATGCAGGCTGTTCTATGCACACTCCCCCTGCTGTTCTGGAATGCTACAATGAAATCTTCCCTGTTGGGCATAGTGGAATCAACTGACCATTTTCTGCGAGACCTCACAAAACTCTTAACTGATGAGTCCCAAAAGCTTGCAGCAATAAAGGACAAGTGTTCCGACAGAATCAAAATGTATTATGAGGTCGCAATGGACTTTGCAAAGAACTCAAGTATAACTTCACGATTTTTCATACGAATGTTGCTTGAATTCATCATATTTGGTGCTTTGATTCTCCTACAGTTTTACATCTATGATTACAAGCCCGGCAAAAATTACTATTGTATTATGCCAGATGGTCAAGTTTCTGATGCACATTGCACAGTTGCAATGTTGGATCTCCTCGATAAAATCTGGTATGCAAATATTGGAGCATTGGGTCTTGCAGGGTTAATTGATTGTCTTTACTTAATAGGGGCAGCTATCAATATGTGCAGTGATTCAGCACGGGAATTTTTCAGTGAGTTACCGTTTGAGCCCTCTCTTCCCCAGCTCACACGGTGGAACACGTGCACCCAAATGTTCTCATTTAAGATGTTAGTGTTGCTATTTCGCGAAAATAATGCAGTTATGAGTCAGTTGTATGTCCTGAAATCGGCTGTGGTTGGAGACAATGAAGCAGGAGTTCCACCAGTAAATAATGGGGATCAGAGAGAGGCTACTGGGACATTTAATCGCTTCAGTGACCCAGCTAAACATGTGACTCTTGAAACTGACACATGGCAGAGGAGGAGCCAGGTGATGCAACAGCAGCAGTAAAACAGCATCTTATTTTACATAATACAGTGTCTTTATCATAATTCATTTTGAATCAAAAGCTTTTGAAAGTACTGTGATATTGGTATTTTATATTTGACAAATTAAATAATAAATTAATCATTCTGATTCAAATGTGTATAACTTGTACTAGATAGTATAATAAAATGCATGACTTCAAAATGTTCATAGGTTTCCTATGCTGCCCTTTGTGCTTTGACTTTTGCTTAAAGTCCGATCTATAGATCATATATTCTTCACTGAACCTGTAAAGTGGATCACCTCCATTTAGTGAAACGTTTAAAGTTACATGCAATAAACCTTCCTCTGTAAATAGAACACCTCCAAAGTTGAACACTATAAAGCTCCCAAAGGTATTCAATTTAGAGAGGTTTAACAGGGAAAGCTCAGAACAAATCAATAATAGGTCTGGATAAGTGATTTCAATGTCCTCATGGATGTGTTGTTTTTCCAAATTGAATCCATGCCACATTTTCAAGTTCAAGTAAATTAGTTCAAGAATATTATATATAGCCTCTTATGGATATTAAGAATATCCCTGAGAGGACATACTTTTATTGGCAGATATATTGAATCCAATTTGAAACTTGATGAACTATTTTTGTCCAGTGGTATGATTTTGGAAAAAATGTATATTTCAAGAAGAGCCAATATATGCCTTTTTTTTATGACATTTAACCCAAGTACAACAAGCTCCCTTTAAAATGATATTTGGCTCATCATTTGGGATTGGCATATCAATGTAAATACACCATGGTGTCTTGAAATGAAAGGCACAATCCAGAGGATGAAATATGGTAATTGTAAAAAGATAAACCATTAAAAGTATAAATAAACATGGACTGATTAGAAATGATTTTTATATTAATGATTGACTTATCAAAATGATAAATATATTTTTTAATTGAGTAGAGTGTACATTTGTTAAGTGTATTCTTACAAATATTTCTAAATTCAAATATAAAACATAAGTCATTTTCACAATTAAACACAGACAAAGAAATACATAAACTTTGAACTAGAGTAAAATCAAAAAGGCATAATGGTATTCATCTGAAGAAATCCATAAGGAGCCTGGATATAGTGAAGAAGTGGATCTGAGCTAGAAAAGACAGTGAACCACTAGTCACAAAAGACAATTGAAAATACCAGAATCCGAGAAGCCGGACAACCAGCAAGATGTTTCTAGAGGCATTAGAGATCCTAAAGACAACTAGTGAGGTTGATATGAGCTATGTGACAGATTTCTCTGCCCATAGTGTGGTGTACATGTTGACAGTTTACATTCCTATCATAATGGGGGCCTTTCTCTTCTCACAGGAACATATAGGTGAGTTAAAACACTAGGTTGTTTGTTACAAAGAAAAATGAGTTAAGACTAGGGATATTTACAGTTCACCAGTAAGCACAATTGATTGTAAAGGCCTCAAATCGAACCCTATGTAAGATTAATATCATACATGCAGAATATTGCCACTTGATTACATACAGGTAAATATAAAAAAAATATTTGGGTCCTTATGTCACATATGCCTCTGAATGATATTATTGCAACGAGTCACACAGAAAATCTTTTCTCTCTTTAACCAATGATTTCTGAATTTCCCTTCCAGGTGACAAGATCTCGTGTTTCCCGCCACCCGAGATGTCAGAGGGGACCTGGCTTGCTGTCAATTCTCACTGCTGGGTGAAGGGGTACTGGACCAGTAGATCCCTTCATAATCTGACCAATGTAGACCAACCACTAGAGCAAATCCTAACCCAGCCACAACGCTTCTATTCCATCCTCCTGGGGGCACAGGCAATGTTTTTCATTCTTCCTTTAGTACTATGGAACAGTCTCACAAAGTCTACATTACTTGGGATTCTTGAAGCGACAAATCATTTCCTTGAAGATTTGGCCAAAGGAATGAAAAGCAAGAAGAAATGGGTGAAAATCGAGAAGGAGTCTCACGATAAGATTTTACAGTTTCATGAGATCACTATGGACATGGCTCACAGTTCTAAATTAGCGTTCAGTTTTTGTATTCGGATCGTTTTTGAACTGGTTTTGATTGGTGTTTTTACATTTATTCAGTTCATGGTTTATGATTACAACCCAGGGAAAAAGTTCTTCTGCTTGCTCCCTGAAGGTGTTCCCAGTGACATCTATTGTTCAGTTTCAATGTTAGATCTATTAGACAAGGTCTGGAATGCGAATGTGATTTGTCTCTTTATAGCAGGTGGAGTTGACATTGCTTACTTAATCATGGCAATTTTGCGGATCAAAATGTCACAATCAGATTTGTTTCAGTCGCTTCCGTTTGATGTTGGAATTCCGCAGCGTTGGAAGGAAACTTGGCAAAGTTGCTGGACTAAGTTTTCTTACAAACTGTTGATGCTGCTGTATAAAGAGAATAATGCTATCATGACACAGCTGTATGTCCTCAAGTCTATGCCAAAACAACAGCTGTGGAATGATCACAAAGACTAAATGAATTGCAGAGTAATACTTATAAAAATAGTGATAAGGATGGTATCCAAATATTGACCATTGTGGAATCATTTAGCTATTTTCATTATATATCATGACTTAAATCTCACCCCTCCCAATATACCAAACTTTCAACATACTGATTTATGATATATGAATGAATTTTATGTATTTTTTATTATGTGGCCGAAAGTAAACATTTATATATCCCAAAACTATTGACATTTAATGCCATCTTTATTCGGAAAATACTATGGATTTACTTCAGACGGACCAAACACTAATACTTTTATAAAAAAATTGTCTGAATTGGACCAACTGATATAAAAACTTACAAAAATTGCATTGAACTGTTTTCATATTTAAAATAAACATCAATGACTTTTACCTTCCAAAACAAGTCTCTTGTAGTTATATATTAATTAGAACAATTAAATATACACTTATTAAGAGGCATGGGGGCATGTGGTACCAGTCTAAATGAGATTAGACCTTTCACTAAGAGTTACAAGTTCAAATATCGATCACTAATCCAAAGAATATTATCTTGAAATTCATTTTTGATTAAAATAATGACCAACGAATATATTTCAGATATCAAGTGTTATTGGTATTTTTCTATATGAGGTATGGTGTTTGGGATGGTCCCAGATGACGCAATTTGAATAAATGTTGTTCAGTAATATTGTTTCCCATGCATTCTCCTATTTTTGTGAACAGGGTGCAGTGGAACATGAAGATCAATGTGAATGAGGCATAATTTAATAAATTATGGGCATTATTTCATTCAATGTCATTAAAAGATGTACAGTATAAAGTTATTAAAAATTTATTATTTTCTGTTGATAATGGAATTTTCATATTTGGAACCCCCAAAATTGTTCACATTTAGAAATGTTCATTCCTCTTTCCCCTTATCCATATAAACTGGTTTTAGTGTACTATGAGAACTGTCCACATGTATTGAATTAAAATCATTAAATTAAAATCAAACCATTTATATTTGATATTGGTAAAGGTCTTGATGATATACATTAATTAAATGATAGTATGAAGGTTTTTTATGACTCTATGAACTTAAAAAATTAATATTTAATCAAAATCTTTAGTTTTAAACACACAGTGTTATGAGACATGCTAAACAAATATATTCTCACAAGTACATGTATATAGCTGGACAGTAAATTGAGAGAGGAGTACTTCAAGGTAAAGCCATATTTATTTATTTTTAATTTAAAGAATACAAAATGCAGCATGAAAAAAGGAGTTATGATTATTGGTAAAATTTAGAATTCAAGTGGTATCAAATATCAACATCCTGCTTCCTGATACTCATCAAATCATTTTAATTGGTAAATAACAACATTCAATTCCATTCAAATTGATTCAATTTCAATGATTTCAAGTCTGAGAATGAAGGAAATGACACACCATCATGGTGCAACAGACACACCATCATGGTGCAACTGACACACCATCATGGTGCAACTGACACAAATAGGCACAAATGGGGTTATATTTAAAGGATTTCTTGTGTTAAACTTCACTTTTCAGAACATCAATAGAACAAGAGTAACAACAGAAGGGTAATGAGTTTTTTCGGTGCCCTAGATATCCTCAGTAGTGGAGGGGATGGGGAGACATTTGTGACAGACTTCTCATCATTTAAGATTGTCTACCTGCTGACAGTTTATCTACCTGTATTAATGGGGGCTTTTCTATGGTCCCAGGAGCATCTAGGTAGGTGGAGGGGGAGCTGATTTAAATATATTGATTTGAGTACAAAGAGTGACCTTAATAGGACAAACCTCAAATATGTTTAAAGAACATTTTGAATTCTTAAATTGTAATTTGTAATTCAAAAATATTCTATACTCTTTGTTAATCACGGTATGAGTTTTGTGACTTAAAGAATAGTGACATATTTCTCACAATGTCAAACCTTTTATATGTTTAAAGAAAATTCTGAATTCTTATATGGCATTAGCAACCTATATTTTAAAATATTCTATACTTATTACTTTTAAACATGATGGCTAAAACAATAGTGACATCTTTCTTACGAAGCAAACTTCAAATATATTGAACAACATATTGATTTCTTATAGAGCAACTCCTAAAGTATTATTCTGCACTTTTTGTACTTTGACTTCCAGGAGCCAAGATAGCATGTTTCCCGAATATAGCTCTTGGGGATAACCAGAACAAAGCTTTAAACTCTCACTGTTGGTCTGAGGGGTTCTACGTCACGGACCCGACTGACATTACAAAATCATTGAAAACTCAACCACACAGGTTTTTCGCTATTTACCTGGGAGTTCAGGCAGTCGTGTTTATTGTACCAGTCTTGGTGTGGAACACTCTTACCAAGGCAACATTATTAGGAATACTGGCAGCTACAAAGACATTCCTCAGCGACCTGGCTGATTTGTTAATAGATGGCTCTGATGCCGAAGATGTAAGGGAGGCTGGGATCGCTATGGTGAAGATTCGAATGCGTATAGCACAATATTATGAATCAACCATGGAGTTTGCGTACAATTCTAAAATAGCAATTAAATTCATCGGGCGGTTATTACTTGAAATGGCACTACTGGTCACATTCATTGTTATACAGCTTTTTGTTTATGACTCAAGTTCTGAAAAGAGGTTTTACTGTGTCCTCCCGGGAAACTACACGAATCAAGTTCACTGTACGCTCCCAATGCTAGATATGCTGGACAATGTCTGGTATGCCAACGTAATCGCTCTTGGTATAGCACTTCTTATAAACATTGTGTTTATTTGCGGTGCTATCAAAAAACTGTGTCAACGTTCTACTCCAGATATTTTCATGGAGCTCCCATTTGATGTTGATTACCCGAGTAATTCAGTTTGGAAGACATCTCAAGCGAATTTGTCGTATAAACTTATGTCATCATTGTTTTGGGAAAATAACCCAATCACAACGCAGCTTTTTATGGTGCAATCGCTCTCAGCCAATGAACAGCTCAGTGAGAATTTAATGAAGATGAACATTCAAGAAAGTAGTGCTTAGATAAAGCAGGCTTTATATATAGTAATATAAACATTCGAAACTTGAATAGATTTTCACCTTCATGATTTAATGTACATCGAAAATCCTCAGATTCAAAGGAAGAAAAGAGAAAATGGATAGAGGCTATATCACCTTAAAAATGAAAGGTTTATCCAGAAATAACAATCATGAATAGAGAAATAGCAATTTACTCTGCAACATATCCCTTCTTCTTCACCAAGTAAAAAATGAAAAAATACAATTCAATAAAAATGACATTATTATTAAGCAATCATATGTAACATGATCAAAATATACAAATACAATATTCTTAACAGATGCAAATAATATGTAAATTATAATAAGTAAGGTTACTGACATGACTCGATCTCTGTTGTAAATTATACATCAAGATTAGATTATTTTATTAATAAAAGCATAAGGTTTTGTTTGCAATGATCTTGAATGTAGTTATTATACTTTACTAAAAAGATAACACATAAATTACTGCTATAGTAAAGTAATATATTATTTTGTTTTCATGTAGGGGGTCATCTCACTATTTTGCTAAATGTTTACATGCCAGTAGCCAGTGGTGGGGGGGGGTTTCTCTCCCCTGGCCAAAAATTCTTTCAGAATCATGCAGTACAATATTTTACCATTCTGAGCACTTTTCAACCGTTTTGGGGCCAAAGTAGTAAAAAGTGAACCCCCTGGAATATTCTAAAAAGTCATACCCCCTTGGCTAATCCTGGCTACAGGGCTGCATTACTAAACAAGCATTTGGTAAAGAGCCCTAAAACCATTACCAAGAATATATACTTCTGGTAGCCTGACTCAAAATTGCCCTTTAATCAAGCAGCATTCTCCAAAGGTTAAAAATATGTTATTCATTCACTAACCCTAGCCTTATTTTCAACTATTGCTAATCTAAACCCCCTCAAGTAAACTTTGCCCACTCTACTAAAGGTTCAGTCAAACTTGCAACCCCAGAAAAAAACATTTTCACGAGTTTGATTTTTTATAGACTTGTCTGTCTCAGTCAGAATACTTATTACTACCAAAACCAAAAGAGGTAAACCATACAAATGTTGTTAATTCAGTCCAGCATGGGTTTATGGTCATATTTTGTATGATTGAACCTTGTTCAGTGTTCTTTCATTCTACAAAGTTTCATTTGTCTATATCCAATGGTCCTTCTTTTATTGCCATTTTAAAATGTGCTCCAAATGCCAAAATATCTACAGTATACAGGCCTAAATTAAGGTTTCCCCACAAGAGTTATCCATATTATTAGAAGATAAAATTAATATTGTATTAGATAGATATGACTAATATGTTTAAGAGGGGTTTTCTTCAAGCAGGTGCAAATTTTAATTTTTGCATTTCCGACCTGTGCTATCATGTCAAAATATGGCAATTTTTCATGATTTTCTTAGTAGGTGCAAATGGTTTTTAAGTCGGTGCAAATTGGATTTAAAATGGGTGCAAATTGGTCTTCAAATATGTGCAGATCATTGGGTTTCAAGTGGGTGCAAATGGGTCTTCAAATATGTACAGATCATTGGGTTTCAAGTGGGTGCAAATGGGTCTTCCAATGTGTGCAGATCATTTGGTTTCATGTGGGTGCAAATGGGTCTTCAAATGTGTGCAGATCATTGGGTTTCAAGTGGGTGCAAATGGCTCTTCAAATGTGGGCAGATCATTGGGTTTCAAGTGGATGCAATTGGGTCTTCAAATGTGTGCAGATCATTGGGTTTCAAGTGGGTGCAAATGGGTCTTCAAATGTGTGCAGATCATTGGGTTTCAAGTGGGTGCAAATGGGTCTTCAAATGTGTGCAGATCATTGGGTTTCAAGTGGGTGCAAATGGGTCCTCAAATTTGTGCAGATCATTGGGTTTCAAGTGGGTGGAAATTGGGTCTTCATATGTGGGCGGATCATTCGGTTTCATGTTGGTGCAAATGGGTCTTCCAATGTGTGCAGATCATTGGGTTTCAAGTGGGTGCAAGCATATGTCTCTTGTGTTACTTGCTTCAGTGCTGGGGAGATCACTGATGTACCCTGCTACATTTGTAAATACAATGTGATAATCATTAAACATATAAAGGATCATTAATCATAATAATTATAAAGGAAATCACTGTAGCTTTCAGCTTTTTTCCCTGTTGCGACTATGGTTGTTTAAAAGAAATGTTACTCGTATGTTCTGTATATAGCATACACGGATGGACAAAGTAGGTATGGAATTCTTTAACTTTTATATCAATTTTATTTCAATCTTGAAACTTTCCCCAGACAGACCTTGTACTTCATCATAGGTGGCATATTAGCTTAGACTCTCAACCAGTGGCCAAGTATTGCAAGGCTCGGTAATATGTTATCACAATCAAACATTTAAGAGCAATAGTATTATAGTGATATCTACCGGAAGGAAAAACAGACATTTAAGGTATATAAAAAATATTTGACACATGCATACAACAGTACACGTACATAAAAAATGAGTTCCATCGTCACAACCAGAGAAGAATCATTAAATGGGAAACTACTACAATAGCAAGATATTTTGAAGCTGAATTTTTGAAAGATGTTTTGAGGTGCATCAAAGAAAAAAATTGTTTGTAGGTTAGGAGAGGTGGGGTGGTAGATTTATTAAGTACTTTCTCAGATAATCATTTATATTATGTTATAGTGTATAATGGGTTCAAATGAAAAACATTATTTTTTTGAGTATCAAGCAGGTTTGAAAATCTATGAAGTACTTAATAAACATGTTTTCTTGTTGAGAAGATTCTGCAAAGACTTTACAGCTACAGTATATAAGGACTCGGGTAAGGATTCATAGGACCAGGTCATGGGAATCTTCTGAATGAAAAGGCAATATTTGAATAAGCTAGCTTATCCAATTTATTAAAGATAAATGGATGGCTATGAAAATGTTATAACAAAACAAGGCATTAACATGTAGAATGTCAACTGCCATTTGTTACAGATGCCAACCCCAAAATACCAACCACCAACACTGATCACTGGACACTTTAACAAAAAAGTTGGAGACTATAACAATATACCATTTCTGGTGGTGACATTAAAAGCAACAGTTTCAAATGTTGACATACACTGTATATTTATAATTATAATGTTAAAAAATCAATGCACGGCACTGATAAATATATGATGGCACTATTATCATATATATGTCCAAAACTTGAGGATAAAAAGTACTACACACAAGGTTTCATATGATAAATATAATCTTAGGATTTATCTATATACATGTATTCCATATGGTTCATACAGATGTCATTCTGTGGGTTATTTCAAATCTTAAACACACAAAAGTAATTACTCAATCATAAGACTTTGATAAGATTTTGATAGCAAGACAGTGTATGAATTTATAGTATCTCCAGTATACATGTATGTCATAAACAGGGAGAGACTTAAATACATTTTTCATTGAAGGGACAATTACAATGCTACTGGAAGCCTTAGAAATCCTCAAGAGCACAGATGATGATGTCACAGCTCACGTCACAGATTTTTCCGTCTACAAGGTCGTCTATATTCTCACAGTATATGTTCCTGTTGTCATGGCAACTCTGATGCTCTCTCAAGAATATCTCGGTCAGTATTACTTTGATTCAAACTTGTAATTTTAACTAATGAAATTATGTCATCTATTTTACTAGTTGGTGGATAAAATGTCTGTTTAGGGAAGTATATACTCATCTGGTAATTTAACAAAATGAAACTTTTGGATTTTTGACATTATAGAGGAAACAACAATTATTATAATTCCAATATGCAATGTAATTGAATTATTTCAGGTTCTAAGATAGCATGCTTTGCACCAGAATCATTTTCTGATAGCCAATCAGAAGCCTTGAATGAGTACTGCTGGACCAATGGCTACTGGATTGCAAATGACACTGCGATGGAAAGGTCATTGTATACCCAACCTCACAGGTTCTATCCCTACTACCTTCCCCTACAAGCCATCCTTTTCGTCATACCAATACTAGTATGGAACGTCATGACAAAATCACGACTTTTAGCAATTATTAAAGCAACAGAGCAATTTTTGGAAGATTTGTTGGAATTATTAAACCCGAAACAAGAAGAGAAGGAAACTGATGAAGAAGTTGAGAAAATGCACATTAAGGTGAAAGAAATGATCGGACACTATCACCAGATAACTTTGGAATTTGCCAGGGATTCAAAGCTGTCTGTCATATTGTGTGTACGTCTCTGTATAGAGCTGGGTTTCCTTTTGTTATGCATAGGAGGTCAGTTTTTTATATATGATCACCGCAACAAGGTGTATCATTGTTCTTTGCCTTCAATGGGTCAAGATGAGGTACTCTGCGTCGTACCAGTTCTCGACCTACTGGATATTATTTGGACAATTAATTTTGGTGCGTTATGCATCGCTTTAGGATTAAACTTTCTATTCATAGCCATGACGTATTACTCAATACATCAGGAAACTGTAGTGGACTTATATGAAGGTCTACCATTCACTTTTGATATGCCAAAAGTTCAATGGGAGGATATATTCATGAAGCACTCGTATGAGTTAATGTGTGTAATCTTTGAAGAGAATAACAACATCACGATGCAAGCGTATATATTACGGACAATAAAGCCCCCTGATGCCATGATGTTTAAATCTCCAGCAAACTCTGAAACTACAGGATCAACCCTAAATCTTACATTTGAAACATCAGATTTCAAACCGGATGCTGCCGGCTTCAAAACTAATCAAGATTCAGAACACATAAATACTACATCTGATGTTTACAATGTTGACAATTGTCAAAAGAACCCTGATACTGAGTTAATACGATACGAATCAGACAATGTTAAACTGATTGATTTTCAAAATAACAATGAAAGTAATCAATTAAAACAGTTTGATGACAGGGATGAGGATGACCAATCTATTTGTTCCAAATCTTCAAATAATTCTGAGTTGGTACTTACTGAGAAAATTACTGTATTTCCTAAAGTGAACAGTGAGCCTAACTCACCTACTGAGAATGGACCTGTTAGGAAGCGAACCATTCAAGAGAGTGATGTCTGAGTACCTAGATTTGAATACTGAACATGGATTTGTCTAGCTACAAGGTCTTGTAACCACCCCCCCCCCCCCCCTCTCAAATGCATATCCCAACCTGTATGAGAAGGTGTGAAGTCAATTAGAGGGAGGGGGTCACAAAGGCTTGTAGCTATACTAAACATGGATTGCAAATACTTGTAACTAAAAGTTAACTAAAAATTCTTTCAAAATCATTTTGAGCACTTTTCATGTGATTTCGGCCGGGAAACCCCCTGGAAATTTTTAAAAAGTGAACTGGCAAATCCTGGCTATGGGCCTGAGAGATATTCTGATCATTTTTAGAATATTACATTAATGGAATGCCAGATGAAGAGAAACTGCAGCCAGAATAAAAGTTTTAGAAGTGATCTTCTGTTAGAGGAGCTGTTGTTTGTGTCAATGGTCATTTGAACCTTATTTTAACTTTAAAATCAAGTTCAATGCTTAACATTCTTTGCAATGTATATAAATATTGCATGGATGTATAAATACAACTATTTTCTTCTCTGTTGTTAAGTTTTGTAAGAAAATGTTCAAACTGCAAAGTGTAAATATAAAAATATACATGCAATAAATAAAAATTGAATAAAATCATTACATACATCCTTCGAGATCGGTCCAATCACTATTTTCATAGCAGATCATGTAATGCAATGAATTACTCTTGGGCCAAGGATGCATTACATATATCATGGGCTTCTCTTGAAAGCCCATGCATATATTAAAAGGACATCATCAAAAACTATAAAATGTGATATTGGCCAATTTTTGACCAGCAAGTGGCATTTTTATCATTCCCTACCTCCGGCAGAAGGAAACTTAAATGCCATCATGCCAGCTGTGAATAGAACAATCTAAAGGTGAGTCACTTACCATGTTTAGGACTGAGTATGGGGAATGGGTCTCCGATCTTCCAGAAGAAGAAAACAAAGATTGCCCACGATGTGATTGCCAGAGTGAGACGAACATGCATCTTCTTAGAAACTGAAATATAAACAATTTCACAGTCCATAAGTATTGTTAATAATTGTGACACTGCTGTACTTGTACACTCTCATATAAGAAACAATTTGTACTTCTTAACATAAACCTTTACTCTGAGAGATGCACAAATATTAAAGATTACTAAGAATCAATAACATAAAAATTACTTTGAAGTTTCTCACATTTGATCAGTACGTACGAATGTGCACACATCCCTGGTATTTACCATTATATAAGTCAGATATGTGACTTAGATAAAAGTTTGTAGTTTTCCCAAAAGAGGACTCATAAAACTATCAATTTCAAAGTAAAATACATTTGCATCGCTCACAATTATGTTAGATATTTCAAAAACTTTATATAAAATGGGTACAGAAAATACACATATGGAAGAGTAATTGATATACAGTGCAATATTTGAAGCTGTCCTTACTGAAGCTGACATTGCTGCAGATGTAGTACCCGATATAGAAAGGGACGATGACAATAACCATAAACAGCATGCAGTATATTCCCATCATCCAGTGGAACTTACGAGAGCTGAAAAAATATATAAACTATACTGAATCAAAGTGGCTTGTACAAAATATACATTTATATGTATATATGGTAACTTACAGGATGTCAGAGATCAAAAAGCGATGAAATCCCTGATTATAAAATATTTCTCATAAAAATATCAAGTTGGATTCAACAAGGCTATAACTTTAGTTTTTTCCACAACTAATAATTCCAAGGTACATGTAATACCATTTCATGTATACTACATAGTTTTCTATTCTTAATGCCTCCAGCTTTCAATTTTGACCTAAACTTTATTTTCATATCAAGAAATGCTGAGCTTCGTTTGGGGAGGTATTTGGAGGGTAGAGTGCTGCTAAAGTCCATAAAATTCCAATGGCAATGGTTCTGATTAACTGGTAAATTGCAGAGGATTCTACATCAATACACAAAATGTTATGTATGTTATCTTACCTTGCTTCTAGGGCCCCCAGGATTTCAAAAATGATTAACTCAAACATGGTACAAGAGAGAGAAAAACATGCTGAGAAACTGAGCAACACTGTCAGGTCATGCACCTGGAACAATAAATACATGTAACTATGTCACAAAGTTTTTATTCCCTCCAAATTTGGAGATCAATAATAATAGAGTAGGTCCTGTCTAATCCGAACACCATTGGGACTGGCTTAAAGCCTTCAGATTAGGAGGTGCTCACATTTTAAGGTTTTTGCATTGGTAAGATTCTGGATTTTTAGGAAATGTGAACACATTCTAAATAAATATTTTTAGTTCTATTTACACATAGCATGTATATGGCATTGGAATAATTTGAAAATTAATTAGTTATGGTAGAAAGACAGATTATGATTGAAGCCATTCAATATTTTTACAAAAGTTTGGATATTATAATAAAAAAGTGATTAGTAGAAAATGTTTGAATGATTTTGGTAGAAAGCATGCTATAGATTAGACAGGTTAATTTTACAAATATGATTGTTCTTTGTTCAAATTGGGAGGTGTTCATATTTAAGTGTTTTTATCATGGGAGTCAATGGGAGGAAAAATGGGACCGAAAAAAAGCGTTTAGATTGGGAGGTGTTCGGTTGTTCGGATATACAGGTTTACTGTAGTTTGAATGAATAGTGATTTAATGTATAACAAGTGCATATATTGATCTATAAAGACCACAATTGTAAAGTTAAATCACAATCTCATGTTAATGTCAACAAGATCAACTAGTTGCATGCTAATGGAGTTTTAATCGATAGAAAATATTTGAAAAATTACTTTTGTAAGTTTTCACCCTTCGACATATAAAGTAATGGCATTTTAGTCTGATCTTAGCAAAACTATTACTGTCATCTATTTTTCCATAGCGATAAATTAACCATAATATTATTTTTACTGAAAGTAGTCTTTGTAGAATTATACTCGCTATTACAATAAAACAAACCTCATAATCTTTAAACAGTTTCTTCAAGAAAAATACCCATCCTCCACAGAAGAAAAGAACCTGCAATATGAAATATATTTTCTGAAATAAAACATTATCCAAAGCTGGAATAGCGTAATATAAAATGAGTTTTAAAACAAGGGCTGATCAAAAGGTTTCTTACTGTTGGCTCTAGATTTTGTAATAAGAGAACTTGGATGCTCAAACCTTTACATGAGACAGCAGGCGTTTCATTAGCAGGAGGTAACAGGCGATTTTCACCGGTTGTTTTCACAAAATTGCCTGTTGTTTTTAGGGACTTTTCAATTTTTCCATGTTAAAGGACGTTATACACCCGCCATTGGGATCTCCCCATGGGAAAAAAATAATTCATCTGATTTTTCAAAATGAGTATTCTGCTTCAATTATTACATTTATATGCACACTAGTATCTTGTTGACCTATATTCAGCACTGTATTGATGTATAGGCCACTTATTAGGGTCATAATTCAATCATGAAGTGTAGAGGTATAGATTTCAAACCAGGAAGTATTTTTGTGTCTGTCAAAATCCATTTACATCCTACGCATCCCTGCATCTTATCCAAATATGTTACTACATAATTAAATATAATAGTATAATCTTTGGTTTTACAAACTTGTATGATATTTGATAAGTGTAAAAGTTGTTTTTGGAGCATTTTTCTATAGCCATTTTGTAGGGAAAAAAATGATGAAAAAATGTACAATCTTTTAATTTTAAGTATGACCTGAATCGATTGCAAACTTCATATTTGCACATTTGATGAGATAAACCATTTGTGTCGTATTGTGAAATTATTAAGTTTGCAATCGATTCAGGTCATAGTGTATTTTTGGCATTTCTGTGATAATCAATTGAAACCAATGGCCTCTATTGGGATCTGCTGATATCCTCATGTTAAGTCAATGGTGCACATCCCCATGTAAGTCAATACAACCTTACTGAACGAAATGATCCATATCTCAGCTTATGTGTGTCCGAGCACTTTAATATTTTCCAAAGTATTATATGACATTTTATTCTTCATGTTACACCTACGAATGATTCATTTTGACCATAGGGATATTTGTCAATAATTGCACATCGTCCTTTATGATTTCCATTAATTTTGCCTGTTATTTTCATTTAATTAGCCTGTAGTGAGAAATTATTGTGAAACCCCTGAGACATGGTAATACGTTCGCTTTAAACACTTGGAGTTTTAAATAAATTGGTCCATTGGTAGTGACACAGAGTCAATACACATTTTCAATGATAAAGTTAGGTCATGGGCTTTCAACTTTCTAATTGAAAGCCCATGGTTAGGTGGAGCAGTTTTTTTATAAAAAATTGTACTAAGCAGCAGTTTTAAAAATTTCTAACACTAAGTAGTGGCATTTGTCAACAGACTGTAGTAGAAATCATGTTTAAGTAGGTTTTATGAACCAATTTAAATGAAACTCGTACAGTTTCAAGCAAACTGTCCTGTCTCATGTTAAAATTTGAGCATCTAACTCTTTGATCGGCCCTTGTACATACCCAAGTGAATACAGTGTATATCTTTGATAGGTTCAATAAATGAGTGACTACTTACATGGGCTTTCAACTTTCTCTTGAAAGCCATGCTGCTGACATTCAAGTTGCACCACTACATCACACTGCACATGATTTAAAATCTAAATTCAATTCTTTTGATCTCACTCCGATTGTAAATCAGTTACAAAATCAAAATTATCCTGATAACTTGGTGCACATGCTATCTATTGCAAGACCTACGCCTGCCACAACCGTCACCATGTTAATCAGTGTTTTTTAAGTAGCGCAAGGATCCTGCCATGACCGTGGTAGTGTTATCGTGTAAGCCTGGTATAACCGTGACAGGCTGGTATAACTGTGACAATGCTGTATTCTATTGCAAGGCCTGTCATGACCCTGGAAATGTTATCTTGGAAGCCTGGCGCGACCGTAGCCTTTATTGTGGTTTATAAGCGAATGTGAATATTAATGTATAGTAGTAATTTTGATTTTGACATGATTAGGTAGTTAAACACCATGATCATAGTATTAAACTGTTCAATTGTAATGAGGATCACTTAAAATTGTTAAGGATATTCCTGGCATTAATGTCATACATATTTACTAATCATTGCAATACATTATAACGGTCATAGTAGAACTAAGCCTAAATCTCTACATTACCACCCTCATACCTGGCATTGCAATACTATATTACATTGTCACGTTCATACCAGGCTTTGCGATCCCATAATACATTGTCATGGTCATGCCAGGTTTTCAAATACACATTGTCACGGTCAATTATAGCAATCATAAATTTCTACATTACCACTCTCATACCCGAACTTGGAATACTATATCACATTGCCATGGCGGTCATACCAAGCCTTGCAATACTATATTACATTGCCATGGTCATGCCAGGCTTTGCAATACACATTGTCACGGTTATAGCAGTCCTAATCGTAAATTTCTACATTACCACTCTCATACCTGAACTTGCAATACTATATTACATTGTCACGGTCATGCCAGTCCTTGCAGTACTATATTACATTGTTACGGTCATACCAAGCCTTGCAGAACTATATTACATTGTCACGGTCATGGCAGGCATTGCAATATAATACAGCATTGTCGCGGTTATACCAGGCTTTCACGATAACATTACCACGGTCACGGCAGGATCCTTGCGCTACTTAAAAAACACTGAATAACATGGTGACGGTTACGCCAGGCGTTAGTCTTGCAACAGATAGGGTCTCACTTGGTGTTGGGCGATAATAGATGATTTTTAACTATTATAGAATTTACTATTATTTCAAGCATAAAATGAACATATCGGGCTTACCTGAGAAAAGAACATAACACAAGAATCGACGATGAATGACATCTTGCTTGTTACAGTTTGTATGGAAGCGCTAATGAAGCAAAATTGACGAAAGGTTCCACATCATAACAAATCAAAAAGTTTGCCAGAAACTTATTTGATAAATCAAATTTGATTGGTCAGAAATTATTTAATGCTTTCATAGTTCTTCCCTAAATTTAAACACAGCTAATATATTTATGTAATTTGATATATTGTAATAGAATACATGTTAAACATAGGTTTGAAAGATACGATGCATTTTTATTTAAATCACTAAATCAATTGTAATTGAGGAAATTCCATGTAATGTCAAAATCTCATCAGCCAATCAAATGAAGGATAACAAGTACTTGAAGGTCGGCAGGGGAATCCCTTGCTGTTCTGATCAATAGATTTTCTCCCGAAAAACTACGAATAATTATTACGATTATCGCAAAATTGAACACGAAAATCATTACAAAATCTTTTATTATTAACAATAGTGATAATAATAAAATTGTTGTTTCATCCAAATGTATTTTGATACCAGTGTACTATCGTACATTTGAGACGTTCCTTTTACCGGGAAGGTGAGGCTGTTATTCCAAATTCGCCATGTTTTTTCGACCATGACAGTCGAACAGTCGGCTCTTCCACCAGATACACAGGTATTTACCCATCTTATAGTTAATTACCGAGGATGAATCTTCAACATTGTATCATGGACAAAACAGAGTATCTAATGCAAGTAAATTTAGAGTAATCGGTGCAATAATTACAGACATTTTCATTGTCAAAGATTTATGGGTGCATTTTCCTGGATATTTTTCCATCTTTCATTTGCAGTAACTTCAGGTTGTTGATCTAATTACACTTTGGAGGTTATAGCCAACCATAAGGTCGAGTTCTATCGCGATGAATCAGCTGTCATTTATTCTAAAAAAACAGAAAGATAAGGGTAGGTGCTGTTACTAGCATTGGACTTACTCGAGTCTCTAGCTTACAGCTAGACGAAACTTCCTTGATTTCGTATGTACTGTGCTATACGCACCTACACGCACCTAGAACTCATTTTTAATAAATTTTATAAATATTTTTAAGAATATTAATCATATTTAGGATGAAGCGTTGCTTGTCTGGATTTAGATATTTCAAAATTTCATTTCGGAGTTTGACACATGGTGAAATTTTCTCGCTGTAGCTAAAAATGGCTTCCGGTTCTGGACGTGAATAACATTTGAAATTATTCTCGCTTAAAGAAATCAAATATAACTATAGATTCAGACGGGCATGTGAGCTGATGTTCTTCAAATCTGTACATAAAGGTATATTTCATATTATTATGCCATATTTACTGTGCGTGTGACACAATGATTTACAATATTTATAATACTAAGGCAGCTCAATCTTCCTCCTCAAAGCCGGAATATAGAGAAGGCTTTGGACCGAAGTAACATTGGACAACCATTTTTTTAAATTAACCCAACCCCATTAAACTATATATTTTCTGAAAGCTTGGAGTTTCAATAAATATAAAATCTATAACCTAAATTTTTAGAAAATGCATACTGGCCGTGGCACCCATTTAAAGTAGGTCACCCTCAGGGGGTCCAAAAATCGTTTTTGCTAAAAACTGACCCCAACTTTGAAATTTAATTAAAAATTAACAATAAGGTTTATCTTATCATACCTTATATTTTCTTGTAACTCTAACTTTTATTTAACCAAACAAAAAAAATGAAGGTCTAATATAAGTTCATATTATCTAGTTGTAAATTGCAAATTCTGCCCAGACATCTGGAAAGAAGGCACTGTCATCCCAATATTTAAGAAAGGGGACAGAGGCACAATAAGTAATTATAGACCAGTGACCCTCTTATGTACTTTTTCTAAAATATTGGAAAGGATCATCCATAAGAGATTACTTCTCCACTTGCTTGAAAATAATTTATTATACAAACTCCAAAGTGGCTTTTTACCCAAACATAATACAGTGAACCAACTTATTCATATTGTTCATGACCTCCATACTAACATCGATAATGGTAAAAATGTGCGTTCCATATTTCTTGATCTCACGTCAGCGTTTGACTTAGTTCCACACCATCTTCTTTTAAAAAAACTAAAAGCCTATGGATGTAATGACAATTTTATCTCCTTAATGACATCTTATCTTTCAAATAGGAGAATACAAGTACGGGTAAACAATAGTTTATCCAAATGGTCAAAAGATCGGGAACAGCGTAATGCCAATTTTGATCCTAGCCATAATGGTAGTCATAATTTTACCATAAATGCGGGTGTGCCGCAGGGGTCTGTTTTGGGACCCCTATTATTTCTAATTTATATTAACGACTTACCCGACAATCTCAACTCAAAAACTTTTATTTTTGCTGACGACACTTCACTGTATGATGCGTATGATAAAAATGAAGTCTTTTTAAACATTAATCAGCCATTACAAGATGACCTTGACACTTTACACCAATGGTCATTACTATGGAGAATGAAATTTAAAGCTCAAAAGAGTGCTGACATAACTTTCTCGGGACAACGCACCCAGAATATTAACCAATCTCCCCTAACTTTGGGAGGTGAAGAGATACCCATTTGCACAACGCATAAACATCTTGGACTAGTCCTGGATTGTAAACTTAATTTCAATGCCCATATAGATCAATTAATTGGTAAAATAACCTCCCTAATTAGACCCTTGAAAGCTCTCTGTAAAAATTTACCAGGTAAGCACCTTGAAAAAATCTATAATGCCTATTTTTTACCACACTTTGACTATTGTGACATAATCTATAATAAAGCCTCCTTAGCAAAACTACAAGCTCTCGACAGACTGCATTACAAAGCAGCATGCCTGGTGTCTGGTGCTATCCATGGATCAAGTACAGACAAAGTTCTTTCCTCTATTAATTGGAAAACCCTCTCCTCGAGAAGAGATGAACACTTAAAAATTTTCTTATTCAAAGCTCGCTTCAACTGTTTCCCACCCTTTATTTGTGACCTAGTTCGTACATATGAAATCACTCATACCAGAGACCTCAGATTCCAGCATGACTATAGAATTCCGAATCATTTGAGTTCATCTTGTGGTAAATCCACTATTTTTAATTCCATGAAGGTTTGGAATAAACTGCCAGCAGCGATTAGAGTTGGTCAACCCATTTCAAGGTTTAAAAGGTCAGTGAGAGAGTACACGAGCCCTGTCTCTGTATCAACTACTAAAATGACTAGGTGCATGCCAAGGCAAATAGAAATCAAATTCAATAGACTAAGAGCTGGTCTACTTTTGAACAGTCACTTTTATTCTCATAATTTCCTGTCGGTAACAGATCCCAAATGTCAATGTGGTGAAAAATTTCAAACCACTGAACACTTTTTAATCAAGTGTCCACTGCTCCTTAATGAACGTGAAGTTCTTCTTGCAGGACTATCAGACTTGGACTGTTTACGAGATTTTGAAGCATACTCAATTCAAAGGAAAACACATTTTCTATTAAATGGAGATGAAAATTTGGACTTTGAAACAAATGAAAAACTGATTGAAATCACTGCTCACTATACATTTCAAGCTATACTAAGTCTGGGACAGGGTAATTTTTAACATTTGAGCTTGATACCACAACTTGGTACTGGGGAACAAGCAAACCAAACATCAACAAAAAAGAAAAAGCTTCTCTGAACATTTTGTGTATTTCTGAATATCAATTTTTATTTATCAAAATGTTTCAATTGCCGATAATGTTGTCCTGTCAACAATGGCAATTTGTAAAAATGTAACCGATTGATTTTTAGAAATAAATATGAAGTATGTAAAAAAAAAAAAAAAGTTCATATTTTCGTAAATTAGAGTCACAGAGTATCACCCATGGGCGATTTTTGTATTTTTTTTAAAATAAACATTTGCAATGTACAATTTCCTATGTCTCTTTCATTTGGATCAATGGAGAACATAGTACAAATATTTTTTTATTACTTGAGTAATATTCTTTCCATGTATACAAATAGTGTATCTATAAGCTGACACTACATGTATATCACTAAATTGTTTACCATAATATATAATATACATATGTTCATATGTACATGTATTATAGTTTTCAAAAGTCTTGAGAGAGACCAAAATAAAACTTTCCAAGTCGTTAAAACAAGCATGCTGCATTTAGAAATCAATGGTATGAGACATCAAGTGATTAGTGGTATGGGACATCAACTAACCAATAGTATGGGGCATCAAGTGATTAACGGTATGGGACATCAAGTGATCAACAGTATGGAACATCAAGTGATCAACAGTACTGGATATCAAGTAATCAACAGTCTTGGACAATCAATAATCAATAGTAATTAATAAGTATTAGGGAATAAAATAATTAACAGTATGGGAAATCAAGTGATCAATGGTATGGGGTAGTAAGTGTTAAATAGTATGGGACATCAAATGATCAATAGTATGGGACATCAAGTGATCAACAGTATGGGACATCAAGTGATCAATAGTATATCAAAGGAATCAACAGTGTGGGACATCAAGTGATCAATAGTGTGGGACATCAAGTGGTCAATAGTATGGTATACATGTATCAAATGGTCAATAGTATGGGACATCAAGTGATCATTAGTATGGGTCATCAATGATAAACTTTTACAGTATGGGGCATCAAGGGAGGTGAGACTGCAAGTAGTCAAAGTGATTATCCGATGATAATAGATTGGGGCACCTGTAATTACTGAATTATGCATTGGTAATTGTCAAATAATCATACCAACCTATCCACATCGATCCACGTGCTTGATCGCGAGAACAACAACAAACTAATCACGTGACAATAACAATCTTTTAATCTGTGTCTAATAAGTCCAAATTCAACGGACATCGTATGAAGAAGTTTTCAATAGCATATTTGATTTCATAAATATACATTTATTTGAAGTAACAACCATAATTGAACACAGATTAACCAAAATTAACGATTTTATTTTTGCGCAAGACACGCGACCCCGGAAGATAAATATGGCCGCCATCTTGCATGAGAATCGGAAGATTACACCAGCCACTTTAAAAGTTGAATTTCTACATTTGCGCATATATATATCAGTGTAAGTTTTAATTTTTTACGATCTCAAGACTTTAAACTTTACAAATAACTGCTTAATCAAAGCGACCAAAAATTATTGAGGGTATAATTAAATGATTTAAACTTTACCTCGTGAAGTTCGTCCTCGCCAAAAACGATTTTCTTCTATTCTTAAGAATGCGCGAAGACTTCATTCAATTATTAAACAGATTTTATAAAGAAATAACAGCAATTCGACTTTTAACATAGTTAAAATGAGCGACCAAAATTGCATATAAAAGCGGGGTCAATTTTTTAGTGAATAAAATTTCCCGCGAAAACGCGCCATCTATTCGTTGTCCATTGCTACTGTTACTGTGAAATAAATCGCTCATTGATTTCCAGTTTCACAAATTTTTGGCTCCTGACAGAGTCATTATTATGTGTAATTCAGTGGCAGTTCAACAAGCTAAATTGTTTGTATGAATTTTATTGGAGTCATATTGGTTTAACTTCCGGCTATGCATGCACTGCAAATTCTGGATCGATTGAAACCAATTTTCTTCAATAATGTGGGACAGATACTAGAGACAATAATATAGGAACACCTACCATCAAATGATTCGTAACATTTTTGCATTAATGTTCTATTGAAAGCCCATGATTACAGTTAAATGTGGATAAAATTGGTAATGTATTCCTGAGGATGATAAATAAATCCACTTGGAGAATAACATGCAGCTTGTTTAGTAAATACTTGCCAACAGTGTCATATACTGTCGGTTTCATGTTAAAAAAGCAAGAACTTAACTTTGACATATAAGTGTTACCTGATGAATGGAACACTCACATGCCTTCCAAATGGTAGTAAACGGACTCCAGTGTAACTACATCAGCTTATCTTTCCGTCTGATCAACAATAAGTACAGTTATACAAGAAATGTAAATGAACTGAAAATATTCCCAAAAATTTTCCGAATGGCTTGTCATTTCCGGAAGTTATGATACCTTATATTACAGAACATGTGTGAAAATGTTCGTTGTTCATTTTCAAGAGCTTAATAAAATGCGAACATCCGAGCATCGAACAAACATTTCATTTTCACACATGTTCGGTAATATAACGTATCATAACTACAAAAAATAATCAAAATAAATTCATATTGGATGGAGGGGGGAGTGGATGGAGAGGGGGAGTTATATGTCTTTACGATGGAACAAATTCAAAAGAACTCGTGTATTTGAAAAAACTAAACTCAGTACCCAAATAAGAAACTGGATATTATATCTCTGGAGAATGAAAAATGGGAAAATTTGGGGTTATAAGAATTCAAGTAGCATGTCTTATCATGTCTTATATACATGGTCCTCCCCCCTCCATCCACTCCCTCTCCATCCAATATTAATTTATTTCGATTATTTTTTGTATAATGCATGGAAACTAACTTTAAAAAGTGAGCAATGTCATTAGTGTTATGATAATACTGTCCCTTATACCTATTCATTACAGGTCGTGTAGACCATTGTTGCCTGATTTATAGCAAAAACATTGACTTTTGCACGTTGGTGATTATGCACCTTTTTTAATAGATCTCATATCTTAGAAGTGTATCAGTTCAAAAAAAATCAGTTACATGACTGCCAGGAGAAAGAGGAACTTTATCATTTTTATCTTTAATGGAATATTTTATGTATGGCTGAATTATGGTTCCATTTTGTTTACAGAATACAGAATATTTAATCATGAAAATACTTCACCTTCAATTGATTTTTATTGTTTTTCAGAAGGTGCGAGAGCGACTTGAACAAGATTTTGCCCAAATAAGGGAGTTTACAGGGGTAGGAGATCCCAAAATAATCAACAAGGCTATCCAGACATGCACGTCCTCTGCTGGACAATACAATGTAGAGGACGTCATTAATATGCTTTTACCAGATAGTAACAAACAACAAATGGCAGTAAGTATATATATTTTAATCTCATTTTTTCCATACAATCATATTCTGTGTCCAAAAGATAGAGAATGGGGAGGCATTGTCATCCATCTAGGTAATTATCGGACACTCGATATATCCATTTGTCCGACAATTATCTACATAGACAATATTGCGAGTAGAAACAATCTTGATTTACGTCATTAAAAATTTGGTCAAAGTGATGTCCTATTTGAAATCTACATGTAAAAGTACATATAGAAATATGGTTTTGAAAATTGTTTATCAACTTTGAAAATTAAATTTTTGGGGAAAATGTGACTTCTTGTTTGTTGAGATTTTCAAAGTGATTTGACAAAGTTGTCCAGGCAAAACAATTGCTTATTTCCCATACTGCATAGCTAACCCCTCCCTTTATTATTTGTAGGTGATACCGAGTACCGTGACTGCTCTAGCGGAGGGTGGGGAGCAGACTGCAGGTAACAAACCACCTCCTCAAACTGAGACCAGCGCAACTCAAGGTAAGCATGATTTTCATAACCTTCATTCAATTTTGATGAAATTAAAGTTTATTAATGGTGTAATATTTATCCCAATGCAATATTTATCCCAATGAATTAAGTTTGGAAGGGATAAATAAATAAAAGCTGTCTGTCATCCAGTCAGGCCATCTGTTTGAAATAAGTCAAATACTTGTGAACATGATTATTATTTCATATTTTGTTGAAAGATAGCACTATATAATGCATGGTAAATTTTTCATTTGTAACCAAAAGTCATGAGCATTGTTATTATCCCTGTTAATTTGATATATTAATTTTTATTCAGTTTGATTTGCTGTTTCTGTAGTTGTTTTCTAGTTTCTAGTGTGTTGGGATTTTCTACTACATGGTCAATTTTGTTGTCTAGTTGATTGTTTAAAAATTCAGTTTAAAGCAGAACATATATTATTGACAGATACATAGAGTCTCTCCAGGATATTGACTAGACTATAAATACTAGACAGTGTTCAACTTTCGCCTCAATACATTTTCAAAATCGATAGGAAGGTGTGGTAGAGTTACTTGTCGTTAATAAGTTTCCTACATGTCAAAGAAAGAGGTTTTATAAAAAATCCGTTCAATGTTTTTTTTAGGTTCTGAGGCTGCAGCTGGGAATGACAGCATTGAAAATGATGATATTCAAAAAGCCATTGAAGCAAGCTTGCAAGAATCGCAGGGAATTCTGGGAGGTCAGATCCTCTCTCGGGAAGAACAGGACATAAGCAGGTAAGGATTTAATATTAAAGTAAACGTCCCATGATTTTGAAGATAAGGTAACGTGATATTTATCCCGCGAAACAATCTTGTATAAGGAAATTTTCAAGATGACTTGTGAATATAATATGACTTTGTAATAAAATCAGATATTTTCAAAATATTTAGTGCTTTATTGATTCGAGAAACTACAAATATATTATGAGGAGAAAAACACACCAGGCTGTAATTTGATATGCTTTAAAGGTACAGTGTCTGATAAAAGCACAATCAGAGTAACCCCCTGATATTTTGGCTCTAAAAGATGTATAAGGAGTTGTTCTCTATATTTACCAACTATGATGCCTCAACTCATTCGCAACACGATCAATTTGATGATTGTTCACGGATATTACTTTTCTACTGGCTAGTTATAAAGTCTAAATGAAATTGAAATTTCGTTTTTACTATTTTTGAACCACAACACATTTCTGATTATCTTCCCACATAACACTAACCTTGTATTCGCGAATGCAAATAACGGCTATCGGCTACCAGGTTGATTGCAGTAAGATGGCAAACTCATTTAAATATGAATAGTACATGCTGTGCATCCCACTAGTTGCCAGCTCTCGCCTCAAAAGCAATAGCTGACCTAAATAACGATTAAATAATTAATTTTAATGGTATAAAGCAGCAACTAACACCAACTATCGAGGTGTTCGGTATTAGTAAATAGCGGAAGTACATCTGGCGGATGTGCATATAGATGCAAAACACATTTTAAGTTTGTTTGATCATGTGACATTTGTATAAAATTTACATGATCACTGTTAGTTGACAAGCGGGTTGTTCGTAAACTACAAGTTCAAACTGACAGGTTAATTTATGCAAATTAATAGGTTATTCCGGTAGCAGGTAACCATTAGTTGTATTTGCGAATACAAGCTTAGTTATATTTATTACTTTCAAGGGTTTCATAATATAGATTAGATGGTTGTATGTTGATTTGGACTTTTGTGTTTTATCCAACAGTTGGTTGTTCTGTTGATTTTCTCAATATATCTGTGAGTGCCCTCAGTATATTCTCAAGATATACCTTAGGTATGTAAGATATTATATGAGCAATTATCATGAGACTTCAGTGGTTTTCTCTTGGACAGATCTAGGCGACAATGTTCCTTTAAAGAAGGTATTTCAATTTAGATATTAGTTTCGAGCAGTCCAAGGCTTGTGGTTTACTGAAATATTACAAGGGGACAGGCTGCCCTTTTCGGTAAAAAAATTTAATCTTTGATAACTCAAATACTAGTCGACAGATTTGATTTTATATGCTGTTGATGCCAAAGGACAAAGGAGCTTTGCTGAAGAAGAGATTTTCAATTTGGCCCGAATTTCAAAATGGCGGCCATTTTTCATAAAAAATGTAACCTTTGAAAACTTAAGTACCAGTAGATGGATTTGGTTCAAATCTTATGTGCTGATACCTAGGGACATGGGAGCTCTGGTCTAGAATGAATTTTCAAGATAGCGGTTGAATTTCAAAATGGCAGCCATTCTTTGTAACAGAACACTCAAATACCAGTTGATAGATTTAGTTCAAAATTTGTATGCTTATGTCTAGAGACGTAGGAGCTCCACTCAAGAAGACATTTTTATGATGTCTACCAAATTTTAAAATGGCCACCATGTTTTGTAAAAAACATAATCTTTGATAACTCAAATACCAGTTGACAGATTTGGTTCAAATTTTATATGCTAATACCTAGAGACAGTGAAGGAGCTCTGTTTAAGAGGATATTTTCAAAATGACAGCTGGATTTCAAAATGGCTGCCATTTTCATAAAAAACATTATTAATACCAGTATATTATTAATACCAGTATCATTAATACCAGTAGACGGCGTTGGTTAAAATATATGCTGATGCCTAGAGATAAAAGAGCTCTGCTCGAGAAGAAATTTTCAAAATGGCCGCCATTTTTCATTAAGAATGTAATTTTTGATAACCCAAATACCAGTTGATGGATTTGATTCAAATCTTATATGCTGATGCCTAGGGACAAAGATGGCACCTGAATTTCTAAATGGCTGCCATTTTTTCGTAAAAAACATCATCTTTGATAACTCAATTTTCAAGATAATTATCAAAACAATTTTTGTTCGTTAGGATTTGCTTCTCTGTGGAGTTGCTGTTTTCTAGTTACTCTCTCATGTACAATGAAATTTTGATATTTGAGCCTAGTAATGTCTCTATTTCTACTAAACAGACTTTCTAAACCCTAGGCCATTATATGATAATAAAGATAAAGCTCTATACATGTCTGAAAATGACGTTTGGAATATTAATACATTAAAACCTGGACTTGAGCAGTATTTGCACAGAAATTTGTTTACAATTAAAGCAATTTTGATCATAATTCTCATTTCTGTCGTCTAAATATGAAATGCCACACTTTTATCACATTGGCATTTCATGGCATTTAACAAATGAAACTCCCTTATATTTCAGCACAGTTACAAACCTTTATAAAAATAAAAAAAACAATATTTTTTCTAAATTTCCATCGCAGGATTCTTGAACAGAGTATGCTAGAAACAAAGGCTGGGATCAAGAGGAAAAGAGGGGATATTTGGTTTGTTGACCCATTGAACCCTCACGAGCGTAAACGAGATGATAATTGCCCCGTTGGTTTGAAGAATGTTGGAAATACATGCTGGTTTAGTGCAGTTGTCCAGGTTAGTAACCATAGTTACAGTCTCCATCACATTTGCTCTACTGGGGTCCTACGGCCCCTGTAGGTTCACAAAAGCGATATAGAAAATTAACAGATATTGCTTATCCCCATGTATTATGCTGCTTATTTCTATCGATTTTGGGAAGCTATGGTCGCCGTATGGGTGCTGTAGATCAAATGTGACTGAGGCATTGGACGATGTAGTCTTTACCATCTCATTGTGCTTATCCCCCATCTTGAACCATCAAGGTTACATATGACTAAAGGGATATACTTGTTAAACAGCGTGTCACTGGCTTCATCCATTCTAATATCTAAAGTCTGCATCATGACATCGTGTTCAGACATTGTGAGTGATTGTCTGAGCCTGTTAATGATGCACATATTACCTCATGATTATTCAACCTTCTGGCTACAGAGTCTTGTGACAGGATGCAATAAGTCATGTACATTATGTAATAACTTGCTATTAACATAGATGCATTGCTTGGCTGTTCTTCTGCTTGTGTAATACTGATTTACCCGATCTTCTCTCATTTCTATTCATGATTAGAGTTCTATAATTATTTACATCTTTGATAGCTTTATATCAATCATGTTGCATCACAGTTGGGATCCCAGTTATATTTTGGTAGATTAATTCTCCTATACTATATCAAAAAACACAATGCTTTATGTATATAGTAAAACCTGTGTATATTGAACATTTTGTGCCGAGTGTTGATAGGTCTTCACTCCAGAGAGGGTAATTTATACAGAAGTCAGTAGAGTATGTGTGGAGTAAGGGTGTCCATTAGAGACAGATGTTCACTAGAGATAGGTGTTCACTAAGACAGGTTTTACTGTACATGAAAAAAGAATTGAACTTGTATCCATGGGATAAATCAGTCGCTACATTAAGAGGGATAAATCTGCCAGATAAATTAATCACCATGTCTCATATGTCTTTTTTGTTCCAGTGCTTGTTCCAAATACCAAAATTCCGACACTTGGTTTTAAATTTTGTGGCTCCTACAGACCTTTCTCAGGGTAGCACCCAGGTAAGTTTATACAACAGTTGCCGCTATAAATGAATAGTGAACACATTAAAATGATACAATTGGCATACCACGTCACTAAATAAATATTGTTCACTATTTAATTAATACTCTTTCTAAACTCTTAAATGTTATAGACTAGTTGATATACAGGTGGTAGACTATATAATGGGCTTTCAAGAGATAATCATGCAGATAATCATGATTTTTATTTTTGAGTTATTTCTTTAAATCATATATGAAAAGTACAAAATAAGATATTTCTTTGAATATGTACAGGAAGCATTTTTCCAATTTTGAAAAGCCAAGACAATGTTTATGTATGAAATATGGGAAATTGCACACCCTTCTCTTGAAAGCCTATGACTATATTATATGATATATAATTGACGTTTTCATCATGACATGAAATAAATATGTGCCCTATTTACTTAGTACTCTTTCAAAAGTTTATAATGTTTCGAACAAATCAGCACTTGCATAATAGCACTTTGCAATGATTAAGCCTTTACATTTTTACAAATGTCACTTAACGATCAATACAACCAACCTTAATTCTTTAATGTTATTTTGAAGGGAACTGTCAGAACAATTGTTTTTATTATTTTCTAGGAAAGACGCAACCTTTTGTTCATGCAGGAGTTGCGTCAGTTGTTTGCTTTGATGATTGGCTCTAAGAGGAAGTACGTGGATCCATCTAAAGCTGTGGAGATTCTCAAAGAAGCCTTCACTTCTACCAGCTCAGCAGGGGCTTCTGACTGTCAACAGGTATACTCCTATTACAGATTTTTGATTATGAAAGACTTATGCATATTCTCCCTTCTGTGTCAAACTACATAAAACAATTTCCATGTAGTATTTTTATCCCATCGAACGACTTTGTTCGGAGGGGATATAGGGATGTCAGTATTGAAGAAACTCATGGCAGCCATCTTGAAATATGACGACTTTTACAATCTATTTTATTTTACTTTGCTGTAACTTACAAACTAGTGGAGCGATTTTGTTCACATTTCATATGGGAATACGCATAAGCATGACAAACTGTTTTATGACACATTTTGAAAATGGCCACCATTTTTTATGTGTTATTTTTGTGAATTGTTCTGTAATTTGAAAAGAAGTGGAGGAATTTTGTTTATATTTGATATTTGAATACTCATAGGTATACTGTCTCATGACACCTTGGCTAGAAGGTGGCCATTTTGAAAATGACTGCCATTTTTACGTGTATTGATTTTTTACAATTTTTGCTGTTACTTGAAAAGTAGTGGAGGGATTTTGTTCATATTTGATATTTGAATACTCATAAGCATGGCACACTGTTGTATAATATTGATACTTTGGCTAGAAGGATGTCCATTTTTATGTGTGTTATTTTACGTTTTTTAGTGAAACTCAAAGAATAATAGAGCGATTTTGTTCTTATTTGATATGTGAATAGTCAAAAGCATGGCACACTGTCCTATGACACTTTGGCTAGTATGTATGTATGTATGTGTGTGCAGTTTTGTTTAAATTTTATATGTGCCCACTTAGAAGCATATTACACTTTCTTATGACACTTTGGCTACTGAGCAACCATATTAAAAATGGTGGCCATTTTTGTGTTTGTTATTGTATGATTTTTGCTATAACTGAAAAAGTAGTAGAGAGATTTTGTAAAAATGGCAGCCATAGCTGTTCAATGGGATTTGCTATGCTATGGCGTTGCTGTTATCTAGTTTTGAATTATATTTACCATAGTTTTAGCATATTTCATATTTCATCTATTTTTACAGAGCTCTCAGTTTTCACTATTCAATGTGGCTGAAATTTCATGGGAAAGTGGTTAAATTTAATCAATTAGAAGCAGTAAATGTATCCTGATCCATCTATGGGTTCTATTGTCTAGTGCATGTTGACCCAAAAATGAAAACAAGAATAGAATAATAATTTACAATTTGTCATACTCCATTTAACATTTGAGAGCCTTTTCAAAAAATAAAAATTGAACATTTTCAAAAATGTGATAATTCTATTTTCTCTAGGATGTTAGTGAGTTCCAACATAAACTCTTAGAGTGGTTAGAAGATGCGTTCAAGTCAGATCGTTCCCGACCCTCTTCCCCAGCAGAGAGCCCCAGCACTGCTGGAGAGACATCTAATCCCACCAGCCACAACCCCATGGTGGATCTCTTCTATGGTCAATTCAGGTGTGAGGGAATGTACGAAGGTAAGAAAGTCACAATATCCAGTAGGGGTTAGACAGTTAATCAAAACCGCTGAGCTCTGGCCATCAATTGGCCTCAACTGTTCATTCTGTTCGGAATTAATGTGCTTAATCACATGAACATTTTGAAACTATCTGACCTCTAATATCCAGTGATCTTATTGGCATAGGAGCAACTGGATACTACACTTAGTTGGAATTTCAAAATAACATTGCACCATTGAAAATCTGTTTGCATCCAATCAAAATTAATTTTGACACATTTTGAGCAAAGCATGTAAAACTCAGTTTCAGCTTCCTGTTGAGAAAATACCTGTGGAGATCACTGGTGTTAGTTCAAGAGCATTTATTATCACATCTTGTATACAGACTAAATACATCGTTGAAGCCGGAGACATTTTGTCAGTGCTCAGTGAAATCTTTACTATTTAATGTATTGCACTGTATCTTTAATAAAGGTTAACTTATTATGTCACTACCAGAACTGATATCTCCAACTTTTTTTGCATGGTTGTCAGCTTTTGCAGGTGTGTTCAGCATCCGTAACAAATGGTAGGTTGTGACATTTTGCATGATAATGTTTTGTATGCTTTAGCATCCCTTATTGATTTTCTAGGAAATGACTTCTCGAAGCAAGAGACATTTGGACAATACCCATTAAGTGTGAATGGCTTTAAGGATGTACATGAGAGTCTAGAAGCTGCAACTGCACAACTTGAAATTGAGACTGTCAATGGTGGCATTGGAGACAATAAAAAGAACACATATCAAGAGGTAATTCAAAAATTCTCTATTATATTATTACTCAGTAGTATTCCCTTGATTTAATTGACGTGCAGTCTGACAACATGGCTAATGAACAAGGTGCATGTATTACAACACATTTGGTATATTGAAATATTTTTCAGAGGCCTGAAAATCCATTATGTGTAAAAAATGAATTATTACAACTAGTTTGCTTTACTAATTTGTAAAATATACAATATACACAGATGGTGTCACTGGTCTTCATTTAATTATAAGCAGAGCTGATATGAGGAATCATTGTAAATATTTGAATGTAATTCAACCTTGACGGGGGTTGTTAATGAAATGAATGAACAAAACTGATACGCAATACTAAATCCAATCATAGTGTTACATTAGATAGTCCTTTTGAAAAGTATAAGATAGTTTGAATGGTGGATGTTGTACTGTATTTAACATTTGTTTTTTTATGTTGTAGCAATGGTTTACCAGGCTGCCCCCTGTTCTCACATTTGAGCTTTCACGTTTCAAATTTAACACAGCTTTAGGCAGACCAGAGAAGATCCACAACAAACTCTCTTTCCCTGAGACCATATACATGGATAGGTGAGCTGTGGATTATTTTAGTATTAAGTTTTATTTATACAAGATATAGATTGCCAGGATGGATTCCCAGTTCATTGATTGAGAGACAGAACAGGAAATGGTTAGAAAAATAGATGTCATAGAAATAAACCAGCCAATCCTCTTGTGAAGCATGGATTAATGCAATTAGTGTGTTTGAATATTTTGAACCCACTAATCAAAGTTAGGGTAGTTCTTTATGTTCAGAAATTTCAGTTGAGGGTTCGTAATTTTCTATAATTATATGTATGATAATAATGAAACTTCAGCGACCTACTTTTTAAAAGTACAAAATGTAAGTCAGTGAATTTCACCCTTTCTATTAATTCAGTATTTTTACAAATGCTTTACTCGAATTTGAGGAATATATAATGCGCTCTTTCAAAAATCTTGAGGCCAGCTTAGTTCTTCTGAAAATTTTGATAGGTATATGGAGGGAAATAAAGGAATCACTAGGCAGAGAAGGGAGGAAGTGAAAAGCCTTAAAGAGCAACTACTTCAGCTACAAACCAAATTAGACAAGTAAGCTGTTACTCTTCCTTGGTTATTTTCTTGAAATGTTGCAAAAATGTCTCACTCGCAAATTGTATTTGACATTTGATTTGTTTCAAGAAATATTTTTCCATGGTGACAACAAACTCTCTTGTTATATTGCAACTGAATTGTAATTTACAACAGGTATCAGCATGTAATGATTAATAATTTTACGACAAAACATCTTTTGGCTATTTTAAACTAAATATATAAAAAATCAAGACAGAGATAGCATAACTTGTTAAACGCTAAATGCACAATACAACAGATAATCCATTTTAATTCCAAATATCTCACTATTTTAGGTTTACTAATTATGGCTCTGGACCCAAAAGGTTCCCACTCCAAGATGTGTTGCAGTATGCTTTAGAGTTTGCACAGTCAAATAAAGAAGGAGAATCATCGCCGTCAAAGTCTGAAGCTTTGCCATCGACACCCCCTAATGTAGATAAAGACCAGGATGTTGATATGGATTCTCCGCAGTCATCATCAAGGTAAATGATCATTTTTGTGTTAAAATCTTCAAGTATCGTACTTGCACACCTCCGTTGTTCACTCAAAAGATGGATTCGTCTGGTGTGTTATGAAGAAGTGGTCACATATTGTTATTGCAACTACTTTTTGTCAGCATTGGTTGTAGTCCGTGTTTTAAAGATAGACATAAATGACCTTTTATTGCACAGAATCCACTTATACTATTCTGTATCAGTTATTTATTTCTCTCTCATCCATTCCAGTATGCAGACAGATTCTCCTGGTGTTACACCTACAAAACAACCAGCCCCTCATCCTGATGTTGTCATGACAACTCCCACCCCCAAGTCGCCACCATTTAGTAGAAATATGCCCCTTGTGTTCCATCCTGCCCCTCGGCATGTCTCAGCTCAGGAGCTGCGGGTGCTTGAGACTTGTTTACATAGGTGGCGCACTGAGGTCGAAGCTGATGTTAAAGGTCAGAGAACACTCTGTATTTTATGTGTGTATTGGTGAACAAGAATTTTCATAATTTGCAAATATAAGTCTCAAAAATGCAAATAAGCTAATAATTTTTTATCACTAGAAAAAGCTACTCAACTTCTTCAATAAAAGACTACCATATAAAATATGTGTGTGATGTAATGAATTGTAATGAATTGTATTGGATTGTATTGAATTTTAGAGTTACAAGACAGTATAAACAGCCTTGATGACAGTGTCAGCAGTATGTACAGTGATATTGAAATGAAGAAGGTAATCTGCCATTAAAATGTAACTATACAGTAATATATAAATATGTAACAATTCAGAATTTAAGATTGTGTGTTTACAAAACAGTAAGTTATTTTTTAAAAGTTGAATTGATGTATTAACTTTTCTATATACAAATAGAATCTAGCTTTTTCATTTGAAGAATTTTGAAAAGCAGAAATATGTCAAAGATCTATCTCCTATATTATCTACTTCTTGTTGAATTTTCACACTGATTCCTGTCATAAACACTAACATTTATTATCTTTTTCAGTTTGCTTATCGTCTCCATGCAGTTCTAGTTCACGAAGGTCAGGCCACCCTGGGTCATTACTGGGCGTATATATATGACAAACATAAAAAGGTCTGGTGTAAATACAATGATATTGCAGTCATTGAGACTACGTGGGAGGACATATTACGTGAGAGCATGGGAGGATACCATAATGCAAGTGCTTACTGCTTGATGTACCTGGATTGCAGTAAGGAGGCATATATTGAAGGTGAATTTCATCTTCTTGGCCTTTACTTTATAAAAAAGGGCTTCATTGCACGTCTACACTTTTGAACATTAACTAATCCTTTTGTGTATACTTACAGAGATATGGCAGTTCAAACTGCCTCAGGTCATCTCAACCCCAAGTTAACTCAACTCAATAAATTCATGTACTGGGTTGAGTTTGCCTGGGATGAGCATTACTGGGGTTGGGATTCACTATGTTTAGTTGACTTGGTGTTGAGATGACCTGTCACCATCCAAAACAGCTTCCAAATCAGATTGAATTGACATGGTGATTGTCACTATGTTTACGAGCCATGGTTCAAAGTGATTGTTCTGGGTATTATATTATATGTAAGTAATTGCAGCAATGCTGTATATGCAATGTCGATGTGGATAAGTCAGTTGGTCTTGTAGCTCAGTGGTAGAGTAATCCCCCAGATAGCAGGGGATTTTGGGTATGCACTGCGCTTGACTGACTTATTCACCAGCCTCTATAAGCACAGGATTTCATTCTATGTTATCATTAACTTCAAATTGATCGTTGTTATTTTTCATTCCAGATGGTGAGAAAAGTGCTAGCTTGCTCTCACTGGATTCTCTGCCAGCAGATCTCATGGAGTTTGTGAAAGAAGACAACTGCAAGTTTGGAGCAGAGATTCAAGAGTGGGATAAAAAGTTATTAGAAAAGCAAAATGTTGATAATGACTGTACTATAGTGGCTGAGAAAAAAGGTAGGTATATTAAAGAAAACATAAATCAACCCTCATTGTCTGGTGTATTGTAGGTAATTATTATGTTGCTAAACCAAGAAGTAGTGAAACATCTTTTATTATGTCACTACCACAATAATGGTGATATTGTTATGGTGTCCAACTTTTTTGTGGATGGTGTTCGGCATTCAGCGATTGGTTTTCTATAAATCTGTAACAAATGACAGGTGGTGACATTTTGCTTGTTGATGCCTTGTGTTAGTTTTGTTGTCCTCATGTTTCGTTAACAAGCAATATATTGGAAAATTAAGATTCCAAAAGTCACATTTTTCAAAAAATTCCAAAACAACTTTTTTAAGTCTTTACAAATTATGTTTAAGGTAGTTAAACAATATTTTCAAACTTTGGCCCATGCCTTTAAATCATTTTGTGTAAAATGTGTCCAGTCTACGCAAATGCCAGGTTCTGAGTATTTGTAATCTTCTTCCTAACTCAACTTTCCCGACTCATAATTGGAAAGAAGAAAGAGTTGAGGCTAACAATAAGATTTTATGAAGGTCTAAATAACTTTTAAACTGTTTCCAGCGAGCACTATATCAACCCAGACTTTACCAAAACCTGTCCCAAAGCAACCACCCTTAGCCATGATACACGCACAATTAGCCCTCACTGATACAATGAATGTAGTTGAGGGGGTCGTCGATGAACTCACCAAACGAGAACAAATGTCAGATGCAGACCCTAAGTTGGATGAACTGTTTGTTCAAGTAAGTGTGGAACTGTTTGTTCAAGTAAGTGTGGAACAAATATGTACAAGTGTTAAATAGAAAAAAATATATAAGTCATTTGGACTAGTTGTCCCATCCTTATTTTTATAACATTTGTGTTTGTTTGTTTGTAGGCGTGCAATGAAGAACTAAAAAGATTACAGGGCCTGTCTACAAGGGCGAAGAATGAAGTCCCTAAAGATGACCAGAGACTTGCGCATCTGATCGTTTACCTTTTGGCTAATGGGGTGGGCAATCCAATCATCACCAGAGTCATCTATGAACATTTTACCTATCTGCAGATCCTTGCCAATGATGAAAAGTAAGTGCGACATTCCTATGTTGTTTTTAGTCTATTTTGGGCCGTAACTTGAATTTGGGAATTCCATTTTCCGTAGGACATTTAGACACCATCTATGACGATATTGTCATCGCTAAATTGACAACCTGGAGACCGAATATGAATTTTAAAACCCATCCTCTGATCCTTGTCTGTGTTATATATCTGGTCGTCTCCTTTTATTAGGAGGCCCTCCTGAAAGGGCCTCCTATAGCTTTTGTAGCTTTTCTTTATTCTTTATTCTTTATTCTTTATTCTTTAATCTTTATTTATTATTCTTCCAAAGCATTTTTCTCCTACTTCCAACTACCTTTCAACTACCTACTATATGATCCTACTAGTAACCTTGGCTGGAATAGGGGGGAAAATATTTTTTATCTAGGTCAAGGTCAAAGGTCAAAATCAAGGTCAAATCTAAGTTTTTTTTCAAGTTTCTCAAGTTTGTCATCATACTTCATTATTTCTTGCGATGAATTAAACTGAAACTACATTTAAGTATTCTCTACAAATTGTTCACTATATGTCAGCATTAAATTTTTACCGTTTTTGAGATATTTGACGTCAAAAAAAGGTCAAAAAAGGTCATTTTTCAACTTGCTTCAATCTGACCAATTTTTTTTTCAAAATCATCTACAAGTTCCAAGGAGTCCAAATCTGACCTCAGATTTGACCTTTGACCTTTAGTTGACCTTCAGTGACCTTCGAAAGGTCAGAAAAGTTGATTTTTCAAATTGAGTCTTTGGATTCAAATTTAGGTCAGTCTAATTACAAAAAGCCTACTGAGGTCTAAAAAAGTAAAAATTTCAAGGTCAAAGGTCAAGGTCATCAAATTAGGTCACAAACTGTGCTATCTAAGTTTCTCATAGTTCAAGACTACAAATCAATATTTTTAATAGAAAGTCAAGATATACATTTCTCTAAGGGTTCTACACATATAAGTCATTGACTATTTATTAAAATTTTGTCCCAGTTTTGAGATATAAGAGCTCAAAAACTGAAAAAGGTCAATTTTTAAAAGTTTATAAGGTCAAATTTTAACTTGCTTCAAATTCACCCAACTTTTTTTTAAAAATCATCTACAACTCCTCAGGAGTTCATATTTAACCTCAGATTTGACATTTGACCTTTAGTTGACCTTCAGTGACCTTCGAAAGGTCAGAAAAGTTGATTTTTCAAATTAAGTCTTTGGATTCAAGTTTAGGTCAGTCTAATTACAAAAAGCCTACTGAGGTCTTAAAAAGTAAAAATTTTAAGGTCAAAGGTCAAGGTCATCAAATTAGGTCACAAACTGTGCTATCTAAGTTTCTCATAATTTGAGACTACAAATCAATATTTCCAATTGAAAGCCAAGATATACATTCCTCTTAGGGTTTTACACATATTAGTCCGTGACTATTTATTAAAATTTTGTCCCAGTTTTTAGATATAAGAGCTCAAAAACTGAAAAAGGTCAATTTTTCAAAGTTTATAAGGTCAAATTTTAACTTGCTTCAAATTCACCCAATTTTTTTAAAAAAATCATCTACAACTTCTCAGGAGTTCATATTTAACCTCAGATTTGACAATTGACCTTTAGTTGACCTTCAGTGACCTTCGAAAGGTCAGAAAAGTTGATTTTTCAAATTGAGTTTTTGGATTCAAATTTAGGGTAAGCCTAATCATTAAAGACCCATTGAGCTCTAAAACAGTAAAAATTTCAAGGTCAAGGGTCACGGTTATCAAATTAGGTCAAAGGTCAAAATCTAGGTCAAATCTAAATTTTTTTTTAAGTTTCTCAAATTTGTCCTTATACTTCATTATTTCTTGCGATGAATTAAACTGAAACTACATTTTAGTTTTTTCGCTATATGTCAGCATTAAATTTTTACCGTTTTTGAGATATTTGACGTCAAAAAACGGTCAAAAAAGGTCATTTTCAACTTGCTTCAATCTGACCACATTTTTTGAAAAAATAATCTTCAAGTTCCCAGGAGTCCAAATCTGACCTCAGATTTGACATTTGACCTTTAATTAACCTTCAATGACCTTCGAAAGGTAAGAAAAGTTGATTTTTCAAATTGAGTCTTGATTCAAATTTAGGTCGGCCTAATTACAAAAGACCTACTGACGTCTAAAAAAGTAAAACGTTTCAAGGTCAAAGGTCAACATCATGAAATAAGGTCACACACTGTGCTATCTAAGTTTCGCAAAGTTCGAGAAGTCCTAGTTCAAAAGTTGAAAAAAGGTCAATTTCGAAATTTTTCAAGGTCAAATTTAAACTCGCTTCAAATTGACAAAATCTTTTTTTTTAAATCATCTACAAGTTCTCAGGAGTTCACATCTGACCTCAGATTTGATATTTGTCCTTTAGTTGACCTTCAAATTGTCAAAAATGCCTAAGAGGGCCTCCGTGAGATTGCTTGCAATCTTCAAAAGTCTAGTTCTTTATTCTTCTTCTTATTATTATTCTATCAAAGCAGTTTTCTCCTACTTTCAACTAGCTTTCAACTTTCTACTATATGCTCCTACTAGATACCTGGTTTGATCTTGATGGGAAAATATTTCATATCTAGGTCAAGGTCAAAGGTCAAAATCTAGGTCAAATCTAAGTTTTTTTTCAAGTTTCTCAAGTTTGTCCTTATACTTCATTATTTCTTGCGATGAATTAAACTGAAACTACATTTAAGTATTCTCTACAAATTGTTCACTATATGTCAGCATTACATTTTTACCGTTTTTGAGATATTTGACGTCAAAAAACGGTAAAAAAAGGTCATTTTTCAACTTGCTTCAATCTGACCAAATTTTTTTTTAAAAATCATCTACAAATTCCCAGGAGTCCAAATCTGACCTCAGATTTGACCTTTGACCCTTAGTTGACCTTCAGTGACCTTCGAAAGGTCAGAAAAGTTGATTTTTCAAATTGAGTCTTTGGATTCAAATTTAAGTCAGTCTAATTACAAAAAGCCTACTGAGGTCTAAAAAAGTAAAAATTTCAAGGTCAAAGGTCAAGGTCATCAAATTAGGTCACAAACTGTGCTATCTAAGTTTCTCATAGTTCAAGACTACTAATCAATATTTTTAATTGAAAGTCAAGATATACATTCCTCTAAGGGTTCTACACATATTAGCAATTGACTATTTATTAAAATTTTGTCCCAGTTTTGAGATATAAGAGTTCAAAAACTGAAAAAAGGTCAATTTTTCAGAGTTTATAAGGTCAAATTTTAACTTGCTTCAAATTCACCCAATTTTTTTTTGAAAATCATCTACAACTTCTCAGGAGTTCATATTTAACCACAGATTTGACATTTGACCTTTAGTTGACCTTCAGTGACCTTCGAAAGGTCAGAATTGTTGATTTTTCAAATCGAGTTTTTGGATTCAAATTTAGGGTTAGCCTAAGCATAAAAGACCTACTGAGCTCTAAAACAGTAATAATTTCAAGGTCACAGGTCACGGTTATCAAATTAGGTCAAAGGTCAAAATCTAGGTCAAATCTAATTTTTTTTTAAGTTTCTCAACTTTGTCCTTATACTTCATTATTTCTTGCAATGAATTAAACTGAAACTACATTTTAGTATTTTCTACAAATTGTTCACTAGATGTCAGCATTAAATTTTACCGTTTTTGAGATATTTGACGTCAAAAAACGGTCGAAAAATGCCATTTTTCAACTTGCTTCAATCTGACCAATTTTTTTTTTAAAAATCATCTACAAGTTCCCATGAGTCCAAAACTGACCTCAGATTTGAGCTTTGACCTTTAGTTGACCTTCAATGACCTTCGAAAGGTAAGAAAAGTTGATTTTTCAAATTGAGTCTTCAGATTCAAATTTAGGTCAGCCTAATTTCAAAAGACCTACTGAGGTCTAAAAAAGTAAAACTTTTCAAGGTCAAAGGTCAAGATCATGAAATTAGGTCACAAACTGTGCTATCTAAGTTTTGCAAAGTTCGAGACTACAAACCAATATTTTTAATCCGAAGTTGAAATATACACATTCCTCTAAGGGTTCTACACATATTAGCAATTGACTATCTAATAGAATTTTGTCCCAGTTTGAGATATAAGAGTTCAAAAGTTGAAAAAAGGTCAATTTCGAAATTTTTCAAGGTCAAATTTAAACTTGCTTCAAATTGACAAAATCTTTTTTTGAAAATCATCTACAAGTTCTCAGGAGTTCTCATCTGACCTCAGATTTGATATTAGTCCTTTAGTTGACCTTCAAATTGTCAAAAATGCCTAAGAGGGCCTCCGTGAGATTGCTTGCAATCTTCCAAAGTCTAGTTTATACTTGTATTTTTGAGAAAATGAGGATGGTTGCAAGTGTAATGCAGTAGTCTCATGCAAAACTATCCTCATTCATATTTCTATTTTCTTCCCTTAGGTGTGCTAGAGTGAAAAGGAAGGCACAGTGCAGCTTAGACACTCAAATTAAATCAAAGTTCCAGCCAGATTCTAAGCATGAACAGATGTATAAGGTATGTGTAGATATAACAGGTTCATTCATAAGGAGTCAGATATATTAGATCTTTGCTTGAAAGCAGCACAAAATAATGACTTATTTAGTAACTTTGACAATAATAAACATTATATTATGTTATGTTTTAAGAAAATTGAATATCTGAACAGCCGTATCGTTACCTTTTAAAAAGCTAATGCCCTATGTTGTATAAAAAATAAAAATTATGAAATCTATTTAATATCCAATTATACTGTACTTTACAGAACTATATGTTCTGTCCATTTGGAAGCCTCCCAAATCTTTTTAGTGTTAACCACTCTATCTTTCTAAAATGTTGATTTATATTATATTTAGAAACTCCAGGATGACTATAATTTCTTCAGACGCACAGTGCAGTACTTTATCTTAGGTTTAGACCACTTTCATAATGAAAAGTAAGTAGCTCATGTAGTATTTGTATTAAGGATAAAACATTTACAAAATTTCCGTGTGATTAAAATAAATGCTTTGCAAATGATATATTTTTCAAACTCTAATATCAATGACAATAGGTGTTATATTTTTTATGAAATGTTTGAACTCATTAAGGATATTAATTGATATTGCGGTGTCTGTTTCATTCCTCAAAAATCTACAATATAGAGTCATATAGAAGTTTCTCATTATTTGTAAATCATTACCTGAATTCTAATTTCGCATGATAATCTCAAACATTTTTGTGGATGGTGTTCAGTGGTTGGTATTTGATGGTATGCATCTGTAACAAATGGTAGGTTGTGACATTTTGCATGTTAACACCTATTTCTTCCTTGTTGAAGTACAAATTGTAAATGTAGCATAGAGTGACAATGATGTAAATGTTATAGGTATGAAGAATCTCTCAGATATTTGCTCAGTGCAATCCACCTGAACAAGCAGTTGATGGCCAATTCAGATAGGATGAAAGGCCTTGACTGGAAGCTATTATATTATTATAGGAGGCAGAGTCTGCTGGTAAGAATTCACTGGACCTTTTTCATTTTAAATTTTATTACAGATGTGGATTTACATTTTATGGTCTACGTAGTTCTAGTATACACTTACCTTTTATTTTCATTTATATTGGGGAAAGGTCTATTTTGTAGAAAGAGCAATTGCATTAATGCAAACTATAATACTAGAAACTGTAACATGTAACAAACATCAAATATGTCAAAATTTAAATGAAATGGCTTTGTAAAAATTAGAATTGCACAGTTCTTGGTACACAACATTGCTTTTTGCAGTTCAGAGAAATCTGGGAATTTTAAGTGATCAGAATTATCAAACGATAAAAATCAAACCTCTGACTGAAAAAGTACATGGAATGAAAAATATAAAAATATATAAGATCATGCAGCCAGTGTATAAAATCTTGACCATTTATGTGACTTTTAGACTATATGTTAAATGAATCTAATTCCAGCATATTCACGAGATAGCATCACAACAGTTTGAATCTGATGAGAATATTGATGTTTTGACGGTGATGTGTGACTTGGTGATCCCTTGCCTATACCATCTCAACAATACACCATTCAAAGATGATGAACAAGCTCTGGAAGAAATCAGGGAGAAATGGTGCCAGTTCTTAGGTCTAAGCTTCTCTAGTAAGGAATGATTTTTATTTTGTCAGTCTCCAAGAAATGGTGACACCAGTTTTTGTCGTCATCATCCAAAATGGTGACTTATCTCCAACCTTTTTGTGGATGGCTGTACTTGTGTTTGGCGGTCAGCCTCTTAAATATGGCTTCTGTAACAAATGGCGTCTGTACAAATGGCGTCTGTAACAAATGGTGCCTGTAACAAATGATGCCTGTAACAAATGGTATGTGTAACAAATGGTATCTGTAAATGGAAATAGAGAGTAGGTTGTTTTTGACTGATATTCAGCATTCAGCTTTACCTTCTAACAATGCCAATGCACTTTATCAGGTTTAAATTCAGAGCATAAAATGTTCAAGAAAAGACACTCAATTTGACCAATGAGTAAGCAATAACTTCAAAATCTTACTTTCCAGGTAAGGAAAAGACAGAAAAGCTTCAAGATTTTCTACAAAAACTTTTAGATGCATCAGAAAAACATACTGTTGTTAAACTAGCCCCTGTAAACAGACCTCAAGATAGTAGTGACCTTATAAACCAATACAGAAGAGTTATTAGTGTTTCAATCAAAAATGGTGACTACGAAGCTGCCATGAACAGTAAATGATCGCAGAAGTCTGTAGTCTGTTTATGGGGATACTGAAACCATGCATGATTTCCCTTTGGGAATGTAATACAAATGGGGATCTAGAAATCTGGATGTGGATTTTGTATGCAGTCAACAGTTGTGGTTGTGAAATGTTCACCTGCAAAGCCCGATTGAAGCAGCTAGGAAAACACTTTTGCAAATCCAGGAGAGTTTTGATTCAGGAAAACTATGTGCAAAAAGGAGCTGAAAAATCAGAAACTAGATTATTGAGTACAGATGGTCTCGAAAAAACATCATGGAGAATTCATGTTGTTATATGGCAAAATCAAGGTCACAAAGAGCATGAAAGTAAATTGTGATATTTATGATCAATAATAGTTAAACCATAGTTCGAAAATTGCATGTGCAACTGGAATCACAGTTCATTTTAAATGATTTTATCCATACGTTTGGAATATAAGTTGGTAAGATACCAAAATCTTGCATGTAAGAAATATTTTTAGTTTTTTGTTGATCAGGGTGCCTCATTAAGATTTCAGACCTACTGTTGTTGAAGATGAAGCAGTTGTATTGTATTGTTATTGTCCTAGGCAGTACAAATGCTTAAACAATCAATTGGACTACATTTATACTATCTAGCTTTGGTGGGGTTCAAGACTAAGGTTGACACCATGATTGCTTCAAATTAACAGTTTGCCAATATCACAACTGGTTTTCCCATCACAAATGATTTTCATTGGCAATGAGGCAACTGCTTATTTTGGGGCTGTTAGAGGCTAGTGCTTATGTCACACCCTGACGTAATGCTCATATATGCAAAGCATATTCCAGTATGTAAATGTATGTTTGTTCAAGTGCCTTTTCACTCAGATGTTGTTTGAAAAATCCTCCGCCCTCCCCCTTTTAGTTTACTTGCCCAATGATCCTGAGAATTGTGGTTTGTAGGAATATAGGGAGAGGAGTTTACTGTAAAATGTTGATATTCTTTGGAATAGATCTTTCCGATAAATCTTGTCACCTTTTGAAATTTTGATATATTGGCTAGCTTGATGATGTCATAGGTTGTAATTTTTGAAATTAGCAATGAGTTAATCTTGTTTTTGCATGGTCAGATTTCTACCTACAACCAATGATGACATCATCAATTTAGCCAATATAGTTTTTCTAATGTATCAAAATGTGATGATCAAAATACTGTAGAACTATGGCCCATAATGTCTGATCTAAAGCAACAGCACTCCATGTGGGAGCACATGCAACTAAATAATTTTAGTGAGGATTGAAGTTCTCAGTGGATCTCATAACTAACATATTGAATTTGAAGACAGTCATCATAAGTTCTCACTGTTTATAGAGTGAGCCACATGTACCATATACTGATCCATTTTCCTATATCCATAATTTTTTTTTAAGTTCAACCAAAAAAGTGTTTGAGATCACATGATGTGGAAGGTTAAAGTGACTTTCACAGACTTTAGAGGCTGAAATTGGGGATTTCAAGAAATACTTTTCAAAAAAAATAGTCTTACCTTTCTATTAAGGTGGGTTCAGGTGCCAAAAATAGCTGATCCATGGATATATATCATTTTGTTTGAAAATAGGAAGCAAGAATTTTTTCTGGAGGCCATGTTTTTTTGACAGTCATGACAGTAAATAGATTCTCAAAACATTAACAGCATCAATTCAATTTTGGCTTACAATATCTATTCAGATATGTATTCTAATAATATTACTTTGATTATTGACTATGTTTTAATAATTGTGGTGTAGTGGAAAAACTTTTTTCTAAAATTAACATTGCATATTAAAAAATACACCTTGGGAGTCAAGCTGAGGCTATGGCAGAGTGGTTAGAGCACTGGGCCTGTAACCAAACTTTTGTAGGTTTGATCCCGGCCATGGAAAATCATTTTCTTTATCTCATTTCTTATAGCACAGTGTCATATTTATTACTTTTTGTGGTTCTAAAATATAGGTAGGATGTCTGTATGTGGCTTTAACATGCATTTGAAAGGTGCTACTATTCTGTACATAGTTGTAAATGTTAAATGTATCATAAATTATGATGAACTCTATAGCTTGTAATTTTATACTAAAGCATTGAATCTATGAGTGACCCCTCTATGTTAAAATTGACAATGTGTCTGCTAACTAAGAAGTAATTTTCTTAATTTCTGTGTTTGGAATTTGGCATAATTGCATCAGTGAGAATTGAAACTAATTGCCTTGAAGCATGTCTGCAATGCATTGAAACAAGACTTTCAGGTCTGCAATGCATTGAAACAAGACTTTCAAGACTATTGAATCAACCCTTGAAACTTTTAAAGCAAATCTGCAGTGTATTGAATCAATACATGTACTTCCAAGTCTGCAAAGCTATTGAAACTTTTAAAGCAAATCTGCAATGTATTGAATCAATACATGTACTTCCAAGTCTGCAAAGCTATTGAAACTTTTAAAGCAAATCTGCAATGTATTGAATCAATACATGTACTTCCAAGTCTGCAATGTATTGAAACTTTTAAAGCAAATCTGCAATGTATTGAATCAATACATGTACTTCCAAGTCTGCAATGTATTGAAACTTTTAAAGCAAGTCTGCAATGTATTGAATCAATACATGTACTTCCAAGTCTGCAATGTATTGAAACTTTTAAAGCAAATCTGCAATGTATTGAATCAATACATGTACTTCCAAGTCTGCAATGTATTGAAACTTGAAGCAAGTCTGCAATGTATTGAATCAATACATGTACTTCCAAGTCTGCAATGTACGTAAATTATTTCAAGGGTTCTTCAGCGTGAAAATTTTGGTCAGCGAATATTTGGGCTTTTACAGTATAGTAGGTTGAAACTTTTGAAGCAAGTCTACAATGTATTGAATCGATACCTCCATGTCTGTAATGTATTGCATGAATACTTTCAAGTTTTAAACTCTGTAATGTATTGAAGCAAGTCTGCAATGTACTGAAGTAAGCCTTGAACATTTTGAATAAGGTCTGCAATGATTGAATCAATACTTGAAAGTCGAAGCAAGACTGCAATGTACTGAAGTAAGCCTTGAACATTTTGAAGTAAGTCTGTAATGTATTAAAACAAGCCTTAAAGCAAATCTGGAATGTTGCAATATTTATGTTGTTAATGTGGTTGAATTTATCCAGTCTGTATTTTAGATTTAATGGGTAAACGTAAATATTATGCTATCAGATCATGTCTCATACATTTCAGGTGAATGCCTTAAAGCCATTCATATGCTTCATATTCTTTGAAAATACATGATATACTATAAAATTTGATCTGAAGAAGCAGTTAGTATGCTTGTATTATGCAAGCAGTGTTTAGTCCTGACTTTAAATTTTAGTATATTATTTTTCACATGTGTTTTTGAGATGCTTTATTAACTAAATGTATGAGTATCAGATTTGTAGGTTTCTTTTTAAGATTCATACTTGGATGGATTACATTATTGAATACAGAAGTTTTGTGACACTCCTTTAGCCTATATATTCCGTATGGTCCAGTATTCAAAAGCTGATATCTGTCATTGTATTGATATTTTAACTGTATCACTTACGACAATAGTTGACATACTTAGTTTTAGGCTAAAATGCAGTTCCTACTAGTGCACTGTTAAGGAATTTTAACTTTGTAAAATAACTGTAGTTTTGGTTGCTTCAATATGATTCATATAGGAAAATGTATGTGGCAACCGGTATTTGATTCAACTTAGACAAGTAATATGACATCGTCTATAGGGTGTATCCTTTTGTATACGCTTCTCTATTTTATTAGTATGTAGGGAAATGACTATGAAATCACTAGCGAATATCTATACAGTGCTCTATGTTTCAGAGCTTTCCATAATGAATGTAATCTAGTTTTGCTCTGATAAAAAGTTGAAATTAGAAAGTAGAAATGTTTTTTTTTCAAGAAGATATGATTCAAAGTGCCATCTCTCACAGGACATAAACAATTAATCTGTCAGTCTGAAGCCTATAAGCAGATCATGAGCAAGCAAAGCAATCCATGGACAAGTAAAGCAATCCATGGACAAGTAAAGCAATCCATGGACAAGTAAAGCAATCCATGGACAAGTAAAGCAATCCAGTTGTTTTTGTTGTTAATTGCAATACATTGTAAAATATGTTTGTAAATATAATTTGTAAATGAGGTGTAAATAAGCTGTATCATATTAATAGGAATAAATAATTGTGCGTACTGTATGCAGTTGCGCTCTTGTACGACATATTATTATTTTTTAAAACCAAACACAGAGTAAATCCTCTAAAAAATGTAACATGCGTTTGCAGTGTCTAAAGATAAGTAATTTTTACTAATTTTAATTGGGGTCCAAAGGTCTTTGAACTACGGGATTTAAAGTAGGATTATGATTACTAGATATGAATTAGTCACGGCATATTCTATAAACAAACATACTTTCCTGAAACAATTTTTGATTGGGTACAATGAAAACCATGTATAATTCAGAGAATATCCGTCTAATCATCTTCAAACAAGGTGAGCCAGAAAAGGTAAACCAAACAAATGTTTGTAGTGGAATTTTTTGAAATTTCCACGTGTTGTGGACTGTCTTACATACTGAAATGAATGTCTTTATAAAGTACACTGGTGAAACTGGGGTCAACCATGCATTCATATAAATTGAAATGATGCCAATTACACTACCCGCAAAAGGATTAGAAAACCTGGAAACTATCCAAAAGATAAATGGACAAACAATTACATGATAAATATATGGCATTCAGATTCATTAAAAACATTATTCCAAATGGAATAAACTTCAGAGCCAGAAAAGGTAAACCAAACAAATGTTAACTCGAAGTCATTTAGTACTCGCAAAATGCTGGTGTCGTGACTGGAGATTAACTTGAACATTTCGGGCGAAGATGTTCACTATATGAGCATAGGCATCTTGTGTAATGGCTCACATTTCCTTCTTTTCTCACGTTCCAATATTGTAAGCGTTGTTCATGCAAGTGTTAGCCTCAAAGATGAAAATCGGTTTTCATGTCGAGTGTGTGTTGCATATTTCGGCATTTTGAGTACGTTTTGTAAATGGCCATAACACTGTGACTTACATGTATAGACCAATGAAATTTGGAAGAATGAAAAACATTAAAAGGTATAATTGTGCCAAATATGATATGAAACTCATGCTATATAATTGAATTATCAACAAACATGTATATGTGTGTGTAGTAACCTTTCTGGCTCACCCTATACGTACAGGCAGAAATCTACTGGATATATCAAGCTGGTTAGTATGGCAAGTTTCTTTCAATTTGGTTGCTATGGCAACAACCTTTATTTGTAAAAATGTTATATTTCGCCAAATATGAATGACCCATTCCGAGACAAATCAAAACAGTGTTTCAAAAATATATAGGTTGAAGTAGCACTGTGTCAGCCTAACCCATTTGCTCAAGTGTAATTTTCAAAAATTACATTTGTAAAAAGTTGTTTTGAAATCAGATTTATCAAACCCTGTTCGTTTTTCATATGGTAAACAATATAAGAATGATATAACAACGATTACCTAGGTTAATTTATCTTAAAGTCATGGCGGTGAGTCGAGTCGGGGTGGTTGCCTCAAAAGTGGCACTAGCGGCGTTTCTAGTATGTACTGGGATTATAGTTGGATATTTCAGTGCTGGTAATGGTGAACCCACACACACACAGGTGACCCTACGAGATGAAACTCGAGAGATATGTGAAGGTGACCAAGATAATAACCGGTTATCAATAGGAATCGATGGCAAATCTTTTAAAACATAGAACTGGAAAAAAATGTTCTTATTGAGAGTGTTTAGATATACACGTTTTACTTTATGTACCCACCCTATACGAAGATCATTGAAAAATAATATTGACAAGCTTTCATATGCTATATGAAATGCCAATATAGTTCCAATAATGCCGAATTACGAATTTATAAAATATAATGTGTTTCCTCTACAATTCAAGAAAAAACCATCGTCATATAAATATTTTAATTTTCGAATTTTGTATTTTTTGAAATATCAATTATCCTCAATTAGTCCGAAGATCATTTTCGGCTTATAACTTTGTTGATTCAAAAAGTCATCAAGTTTGTCATGGACCGAACTATTGTAACTTTAAAAACAATTTTGGGACAAATAACACTGACAGGCTTTGATAATGCTATCCAATGAAAACTTCTTGTTGCTAAATTTATGGGGAAAGTGTATATCAAGTTTATGCCTCGCTTTGATCTAAACATGTCCTGGGCCTTACTGCAACAGTGTCACTACTTTCTCATCGATCTGCATGTTAACCCCCGATCCCCCTTCTATATTATCTATATTAAGATTACAAAACAAGTGTCACATACATCATGATTAATGTACCCAGACTTGAAAGATCGTGAATAAAAGAGTTGCCAACGTCAATTGAATGCAAAAATCAGAATTTTTCGACTTACGAGATCATATTCGGATATGAAGCATTCGGGATCTACTTTGCGTAACCTGTAAAATCGATAAATCATGTTATTATTACAAAATATATACTGTTATAATTTTTAAATGAATTGACATTGACCCCAGGTCACCTAATACTTGGTCGCCGAGGGTCATAACAGCAGAACAGAAGAACTTAAATAACCAAAAACCGAGATAGTGACCTTTGACCCAGGAATGACCTAAGGTTACATAGATGTTGACCTTTAATCTTGGATTGACATTGACCCGCTGCAGGTCAACTAAACATGTATCGCCAAGGATCAAAATTAACAGCCCCAAAGGTCCTTAAAACGCCAAATACTTAGATATTGACATTTGACTTTGAAATAACCTTGACCCATGAACATTGACCTTGGCCTCAGGTCACCTAATACTTGGTCACAAATGGTCACAGCAGTCCAAAGGACCTTAAATCACCAAATACCTAGACATTGCCCTTTGACCTAGAAATGACCTTGACCTCAGGTCATCTAATGATTTGTACTCGCCCCCAAATGGCAAGTAGAACTTTTTGGACCTTTGACATTGTAATGATCTTTGCTTCAGGTGACCTAATCATGGGTGGCCAAGGGTCATAACAGCCCCAAATGCATTAAAACGCCAAATACCAAGATATTGACCTCTGACCTTGGAATGACCTTCACCCATAAAGTTGACCTTTACCTCAGGTCATCTAATCATGGGTCAACAAGGGTAACAGTACAGACCAAGGGTCTTAAAAAGCCAAATACCTATATATCGACATTTTACCTTGGAATGACCTTGACCTTGAGGCAGGCAGGCAGGCGGGCAGGGGGGGGGGGGCAGGCAGACAGGCCACCGTGCTTCAGATTAAGATAATCAAAATACAGTGCGGAGGGGATGGAGCTGATACGATGTTGTACCTTTTTAGCAGTAAGTACAACAATTAAAACGTTCCATACAAACCTTAATGTATTCATCCTTGCCATAACCGTGATTATTTAGCGATATAATTTATTTGCTCAAATTCAAGAAATCTTGCTAGATTGATCTACTGTTTTGACATCATTACCTTCACGCGATCCCAAGCCTCCACGCATAGTCATTTTGATTTTGATTTTTTGTAACAGTTTCAAATGAATGTATCTTCCCAACTTTAAACAGGATTATTTCACATGAAATTATATGTTAACTGGCAATGCGCCTATGTTTGAAGGAAAAGGAGAAAATATCATTTGAGACATGTCACTCACACAATCAATCAAATATGATAAAAACTTTAATTTGGGTAAATACTGAAGTGAAAAAAATTACTCGCATAGAAAACAGCATTATTTTGAAGTTCAGAGGTCAAAAGAAGTGAATTACCACTTTTCACAAATGCCATCTTTCTATGGCATTGCTAAAAACTTGACATTACTTATTATATAAATTGATGGATCAAAAATACTTTTCATGATCTAGTGTCAACTCTGATGTGGTCTGTTTGAGCTGTTCTTGGTGTCAAATGAAAGATCAGGTACTTATTTATCCATTGGAAATACTATGAAGATCAAAAGTGAGACTTCATTTACACACTTTTTCCCTTTATATCTTATAACAATAAAAAGAATTAACACAAAACAACGGCATTTCAGTGGGAACAAATGTTCTGTTTTGGACGCCATATAGGCCATACAATGTATCCTGATGCAAACTGTGTCAGCCTAACCCATTTGCCCAAGTGTCATTTTCAGAACATGACAGTTATAAAGTTGTTTTGAAAGGTAAGATTTATATCAAAAACTATTCATTTTCCACATGATGAATACTATAAGATCAATATTGACAACCATTGGTTTGGTTAATTCACTTTGAGATAATGGCGGTGAGTCGAGTCGAGTTTGTTGCAGCAAGAGTTGCACTAGCGGCGTTTCTAGTGTGTGCTGGGATTATGATTGGATATTTCAGTACTAGTACATCCAGACAGATGACCCTGCGGGATGTAGCTGGAGATACATGTAAAGGTGACCAAGATGATAACCGTGAATATATCAACTTCAAAAAACTAATAAAGGAGGCTGATGGTTCCATCGCAGATAGACTCACACGTGAAATTAACAACAGGGAAATTAAGAAACACCTTAAACTATTATTGTCTGAAGCACCTCCTGTTGGCGGTACTACTGCTGAACTGGAACGGGCTAATTTCATCAGAGACAAATGGGAAACGTATGGAATTGACGAAGTGAATATCGTACCCTACGATGTACTGCTTAGCTACCCCGGGGTTGTGAAAAAGAATGAAAATATCTTGCAAATCCTAGAGGAGGACGGCACAGTTGTGCATGAAGCAACGTTAAATGAACCAATCCTTGGTCAACGAAAAGACATTTTACAGCCGTGGCTTGCTTACACCCCAAGTGGCGAGGTCGAAGGGGAGCTGGTGTACGCTAATCGTGGTTCATTGGAAGACTTTAAGCTACTAACTGATGTGCAGGGCATTAATGTCACCGGTAAAATAGTTATTGCACGTTATGGTGACATTTATCGCGGAGATAAAATAAAGCATGCGCAGGTTTTCGGAGGTAAGGGAGTCATTCTCTTCTCTGACCCCGGAGACGTAACCAAGGAAGGTGCCGGTGTTTATCCGGATTCAGAATATCTCCCTGAATATGGCATACAAAGAGGGACAACACAAAACGGATACGGAGACCCTTTAACACCTGGCTATCCTGCAATTGACATTACCCAACGTATCTCTATTGCAGATGCAGAAAATTCAACAAGGCTGCCACGGATTCCTGCACAACCGATAGGTTATGCTGACGCCAAAAAGTTCTTCGAAAGCATCGACCCTTCAAGTCAGGAGGCCCCTGAAACTTGGCGGGGAAAGATAAACACAACGTATAGGCTGGGTCCCAAGATGGTGAACAATAGAATAGTAAGGCTGGTTTCTAAAAACACTAGAGAGACCCGTACTACACATAATGTAATAGGAATTATCAGGGGAGATATTGAACCGGATAGATACGTCATTGTCGGAGCTCATCACGATGCTTGGGTATCAGGAGCATTTGATAACACACAGGGCACAGCCCTTTTACTCGAACTAGCAAGAGTTTTTGGCAAGTTGTTATTTTGTGGATGGCGTCCGCGTCGAAGTATTATACTTGCGAGTTGGGGTGCTGAAGAATATGGCTTAATTGGTGCAAACGAATTTGTCGAAGAATTCTCGAAAAACCTGGCTGAAAGGGCTGTCGCATACATCAATACAGACGTGTCAGTTATAGGTCGAAAGTTCTTTTTTACGTTAAGTTCTCCTCTTCTAAACAGTGTTATTTATCGTGCCACTGAATTCGTCAAATCACCAGATGCAGAATATAATACACTTCGGGAGTTCTGGAGTTCTCGAGAAAAACATGTATTGAACAATTCTAATGACGAACCAGTAATCTTTAAATTGGGAGCGCGAAGCGACCATGCTCCCTTTTATAACATAATAGGAGTGCCGAGTATGAACTCCGGGCGATTTGGAAATGATACATCCTCGTACCCTCTCTATCATAGTGCATATGAGACTTTCAGAGCAGTGAAAATGTTCATAGATCCCACGTTTGAGTACCAACAAGCGATCGCTAGACTAGTCGGTGAAGTGGTAAGGCTCCTCGCCGAAGAACTTGTTCTGCCAATGGATGTTCGTTATTACGCTAAAGACATAACAACAACTTTTGCTCAAATAAAAAAGAGATTTGGAACAAAACTTGACAGTGAAAATATAACCCTGTCAAAGTTTGAAGAGGCTGTCGAAAGTTTTGCAAACGCAACTGAGTTGTTCAATATTATGGCGGAAAACGTTGACAGACAGGATCCAATTGCCGTGAGAATGTTGAACGATAAAATGATGTTGTTGGAACGAGCATTCATCGATCCACTAGGGTTACCTGGAAGACCTCTGTATCGTCATATAGTAGCCGCTCCAAGCAGAAGCAATGCCTGTAATTCGGTGGGGTTTCCTGGTGTCGTTGACGCTATCGCTGACACCGAAGATTTGGCAGTTGATGATAAGGTTAACGGTTGGAGACTTGTTCGGAAAGAAATTGCAAAAGCTATATTTGCACTCAAATCTGCTGGATCAACTCTTTTGGGTCACGTAAAACTTGGACGCTAAATTATATTTTCTAAAGACAATGGCTTCTTTCGGACTTTGAGATAACACACCATTGTACATAATTTGGGAAAATTCTTGTATATATTTAAGCTTTCCATAGGCAGTTGATGATAAGGTAAACGGTTGGAGTGTAGTTCGGAAAGAAATTCAAAAACTATATTTACACTCAAATCTGCTGGATCAACTCTTATTGGACACGTTAAACTTGGACTCTAGATTATATTTTGTAAAGACAATGCTTCATTCGGACTTTGAGATAACACACCATTGTACATAATTTGGGAAAATTCTTGTATATTTAAGCTTTCCATAGGCAGTTGGTGATAAGGTTGTAGTGTAGTTATGAAAGAAAGTGCAAAAGCTATAATTGCACTCAAGTCTGCCGTATCAACTCATTTTGGACACGTTAAACTTTGACGCTAGATTATATTTTTTGAAGCAAATGGCGCCATCCTGACTTTAAGATAATACACCATGAGCGTAGCCAAGGGGGTGCGATAGGTGCACCATAACCCATAACCCCCATAACCAATGAAAATAAAATTATTAGAAAGAGGAAGAAAAGAGCTTCAAAATGCTTTTTATTTGAAGTTTCTAACTCAATTTTGAAGGAAGTTCCATCAATTTTTTAAATTCAAAAGAAATCTTTAAAAAAAAAGATTTTTGACGATCGCACCCCTTGACCGAATGAGGTATATCCAGAATTATGGCAATGTCTATACTTTCTATACATTGTCTATACTTTCTATACTTTCGATCTCCTTTTTCATACTATCTGCCTTCGACGTTCTATACTTTCGGTACTTTTTCCTATAACTGTCTTAGACAAATCAGATGTCTATAGTTTCTATACTTTCTATACTTTCTATCTGCTATTTCCCAGAACTGTCTTCGATATATCAGATGTCTATACTTTCTATACTTTCGATCTGAGTTACATGTATAGACTTTAGAGAGTCCAATCGTCTAAGACTGAAAAAAGTATCATTTAAAAAAAGTATAGAATATGCCATAATTTTGGATATACATGGACCGAAAGCAGGCTACGCTCATGTACACCATTGTACATAATTCGGGAAAATTCTTGGACATGAAGCTTCCAAAAGAATTATTCATATACTTTCGGGAACAATAAGCCAGACCATTTTCAAATAACATAGAAATTGATCCATCCTTTGGTTGTTTCAAAAAATTCTGATATCTGAATTCTGAAATTCTGAAAGTGTTCGGAACTTCGGTTATCAATGTCAGATATACAGGTTTTATATATAGGGTGGGCCAATTAAAATTGGAACATTTTTCTATTAATTCAATTGTCTTTATTTTTTGCAGTTCAATCCACTAAAATTCAGATAATGGTAAAATGATTATTTGTGAAAATGTTAAAGATAAAAATATGTATGTATGATTATTTTTGGCTTGACAGGGTCATAATCTGTATTCTGCATGTGTCATGAAAAATTTCCAAATTTTCTCTGCTTGAGACATCACTGCTGAAAATACATCTTTCATACCATACAATATGCACCCTTCAAATGGTCTCAACACAATTTCCATCAATTAAAACATATGAAATTGTATTTTTCAAAACTGGCACAATATGTCTAAAACCTGTCATTTAAGCCATGGATGACTGTCAAATAGAGCTCAGACTGATTGTTCAGGTGGGGAGGACAAGAGCATGAAACCCTTGCATTGAGTAAAAAAATGGAACATTTTTTCATTGATTGTAACTTTTTTGTTAGTCATGTATTATCTTCAATAGTTTAGAAAATTGAAACACAATTTATTGTCAACAGCTTCTGTAAATATGAATATACAAGCTCAACATTTAATTACTGAACATGCCCCCCACCCACCTGATCAATCAGTATGACCTGTATTTGAAAATCATGCTTAAATATAGGTTTGAGACATATTGTGCCAGTTTTGAAAAAAGCTGAGGTCAATTAAGCTATTATAATATTATCCTAGGGAAACATGTCTAGCTTCACCTAGAGATAACTACGTAATGCTTTAGTTGATGGAAATTCTGTTGAGACCATTTAAAGGGCATATATAGTATTGTGTGAGATACTGTATTTCCAGTAATGATGTCTCAAGCAGAGAAGTTTTGGAAAATTTTCATGACTTACGCAGTATACAGATCATAACCATGACAAATGTTCCAATGTTCCACCCTGTACTCGCCCTATATACGAAGATTATTTTCGGCTTATGTTTGTTGATTCAAAAATACATCAAGTTTGTCATGGACCGAACTATTGTAACTTTAAAAACAATTTTAGGACAAATAACACAGACAGGCTTTGACATGCTATCCAATGAAAACTTCTTGTTGCCAAACTTATGGGGAAAGTGTATATCAAGTTTATGCCTCGCTTTGATCTAAACATGACGTGTGCTAGGCCTTTCTTTCTCATCTATCTACGTGTTAACCTCTGATCATCTCGCTATATTATCCCAAGATTACAAAACAAGTGTCACATACATCATGATTTATGAGTTGCCAACGTCACTTGAACACAAAAATCAAAATTCTTCGACATGTATGAATCATTCGGGGTCTAATGTGCGTAACCTGTAATAAATCAAATTATCATAATATGAAAACATGTTGTGATTTTTAAATGAATTACAAAACGTTACAAGAAATAATCAAAATACAGTGCGGAGGATAGGGCTGATACGATGTTGCCCCTTTTTAGCAGCCCGACTCAGAAACAATTAAAAAGGTTCACACAAGGTGTATTCATCCATGTCATTATCGTAATCATTTAAGCAATATAATTTATTTGCTCAAATTCCAGAAATCTTGATAAATTGTTCTACCGTTTTGAAATCATCACCTTCACGCGATCCCAAGCCTCTGCGCATAGTAATTTGATTTTGATTTTTTGTAACAGCTTGTAATGGATGTATATGTTATATCTTATAACAATGAAAATACTTAACACAAAAACAAGGACATTTCAGTGGGAACAAATGTTCCGTTTTGGACGCCATATCACAGTGCATCACAGTGTATCGTAATGCAAACTGTGTCAGGCTGATCCATTTGCCCAAGTGTCATTTTTCAAAAATGACAGTAACAAAGTTGTTTTGAAAGGTAAGATTTATATCAAACACTATTCATTTTCCACATGATGAACACTATAAGATCAACATTGACAACCATTGCTTTGGTTAATTCACTTTGAGATAATGGCGGTGAGTCGAGTCGAGTTTGTTGCAGCAAGAGTTGCACTAGCGGCGTTTCTAGTGTGTGCTGGGATTATAATTGGGTATTTCAGTACTAGTACACCCAAACAGATGACCCTGCGGGATGTAGCTGGAGATACATGTAAAGGTGACCAAGATGATAACCGTGAATATATCAACTTCAAAAAACTAATAAAGGAAGCTAATGGTTCCATCGCAGATAGAATCACGGATGAAATTAACAAGACCGAAATTAAGAAAACACTCAGAAAATTATTGTCTCAACAACCCCCTGTTGCTGGTACCCAAGCTGAATTGGAACGAGCTCATTATATCAGAGAAAAATGGTTAAAGTATGGAATTGACGAAGTGAATATATTACCCTACGATGTACTGCTTAGCTACCCCGGGGATGTGAAAAAGAATCCAAATATCTTGCAAATTCTAGAGGAGGACGGTACAGTTGTGCATGAAGCAACGTTAAATGAACCTATCCTTGATCGACGAAAAGACAAACACGACATTTTACCACCGTGGCTTGCTTACACACCGGGTGGCGAGGTCGAAGGGGAGCTGGTGTACGCTAATCGTGGTTCATTGGAAGATTTTAAGCTACTAACTGATGTACTGGGCATTAATGTCACCGATAGAATAGTTATTGCACGTTATGGTGACATTTATCGAGGAAATAAAATAAAGCATGCGCAGCTTTACGGAGCTAAGGGAGTCATTCTCTTCTCTGACCCCGGAGACGTAACCGAGGAAGGTGCCGGTGTTTATCCGGATTCAGAATATCTCCCTGAATATGGCATGCAACGAGGGACAACAAAAAGCGGATACGGAGACCCTTTAACACCTGGCTATCCTGCAATTGACATTACCCAACGTATCTCTATTGCAGATGCAGAAAATTCAACAAGGCTGCCACGGATTCCTGCACAACAGATAGGTTATGCTGACGCCAAAAAGTTTTTCGAAAGCATCGACCCTTCAAGTCAGGAGGCCCCTGTAACTTGGCGGGGAAAGATAAACACAACATATAGGTTGGGCCCTAAGATGGTGAACAATAGAGTTGTAAGGCTGGTTTCTAGGAACACAAGAGAAACCCGTACTACACATAATGTAATAGGAATTATCAGGGGATGTATTGAACCGGATAGATACGTCATGGTCGGAGGTCATCACGATGCTTGGGTATCAGGAGCATTTGATAACACACAGGGCACAGCCCTTTTACTCGAACTAGCAAGAGTTTTTGGCAAGTTGTTATTTTGTGGATGGCGTCCGCGTCGAAGTATTATACTTGCGAGTTGGGGTGCTGAAGAATATGGCTTAATTGGTGCAAACGAATTTGTCGAAGAATTCTCGAAAAACCTGGCTGAAAGGGCTGTCGCATACATCAATACAGACGTGTCAGTTATAGGTCGAAAGTTCTTTTTTACGTTAAGTTCTCCTCTTCTAAACAGTGTTATTTATCGTGCCACTGAATTCATCAAATCACCAGATGCAGAATATAATACACTTCGGGAGTTCTGGAGTTCTCGAGAAAAACATGTATTGAACAATTCTAATGACGAACCAGTAATCTTTAAATTGGGAGCGCGAAGCGACCATGCTCCCTTTTATAACATAATAGGAGTGCCGAGTATGAACTCCGGGCGATTTGGAAATGATACATCCTCGTACCCTCTCTATCATAGTGCATATGAGACTTTCAGAGCAGTGAAAATGTTCATAGATCCCACGTTTGAGTACCAACAAGCGATCGCTAGACTAGTCGGTGAAATGGTAAGGCTCCTCGCCGAAGAACTTGTTCTGCCAATGGATGTTCGTTATTACGCTAAAGACATAACAACAACTTTTGCTCAAATAAAAAAGAGATTTGGAACAAAACTTGACAGTGAAAATATAACCCTGTCAAAGTTTGAAGAGGCTGTCGAAAGTTTTGCAAACGCAACTGAGTTGTTCAATATTATGGCGGAAAACGTTGACAGACATGATCCAATTGCCGTGAGAATGTTGAACGATAAAATGATGTTGTTGGAACGAGCATTCATCGATCCACTAGGGTTACCTGGAAGACCTCTGTATCGTCATATAGTAGCCGCTCCAAGCAGAAGCAATGCCTGTAATTCGGTGGGGTTTCCTGGTGTCGTTGACGCTATCGCTGACACCGAAGATTTGGCAGTTGATGATAAGGTTAACGGTTGGAGACTTGTTCGGAAAGAAATTGCAAAAGCTATATTTGCACTCAAATCTGCTGGATCAACTCTTTTGGGTCACGTAAAACTTGGACGCTAAATTATATTTTCTAAAGACAATGGCTTCTTTCGGACTTTAAGATAACACACCATTGTACATAATTTGGGAAAATTCTTGTATATATTTAAGCTTTCCATAGGCAGTTGATGATAAGGTAAACGGTTGGAGTGTAGTTCGGAAAGAAATTCAAAAACTATATTTACACTCAAATCTGCTGGATCAACTCTTATTGGACACGTTAAACTTGGACTCTAGATTATATTTTGTAAAGACAATGCTTCATTCGGACTTTGAGATAACACACCATTGTACATAATTTGGGAAAATTCTTGTATATTTAAGCTTTCCATAGGCAGTTGGTGATAAGGTTGTAGTGTAGTTATGAAAGAAAGTGCAAAAGCTATAATTGCACTCAAGTCTGCCGTATCAACTCATTTTGGACACGTTAAACTTTGACGCTAGATTATATTTTTTGAAGCAAATGGCGCAATCCTGACTTTGAGATAATACACCATGAGCGTAGCCAAGGGGGTGCGATAGGTGCACCATAACCCATAACCCCCATAACCAATGAAAATAAAATTATTAGATAGAGGAAGAAAAGAGCTTCAAAATGCTTTTTATTTGAAGTTTCTAACTCAATTTTGAAGGAAGTTCCATCAATTTTTTAAATTCAAAAGAAATCTTTAAAAAAAACAATTTTTTGATCGCTCATGCCACGATCGCAAATTCGCAACCCCCCCCCCCCTCTCTGACTGAAAACCGAAATGTTTTGACGATCGCACCCCTTGACCGAATGAGGTATATCCAGAATTATGGCAATGTCTATACTTTCTATACATTGTCTATACTTTCTATACTTTCGATCTCCTTTTTCATACTATCTGCCTTCGACGTTCTATACTTTCGGTACTTTTTCCTATAACTGTCTTAGACAAATCAGATGTTTATAGTTTCTATACTTTCTATACTTTCTATCTGCTATTTCCCAGAACTGTCTTCGATATATCAGATGTCTATACTTTCTATACTTTCGATCTGATTTACATGTATAGACTTTAGAGTCCAATCGTCTAAGACTGAAAAAAGTATCATTTAAAAAAAGTATAGAATATGCCATAATTTTGGATATACATGGACCGAAAGCAGGCTACGCTCATGTACACCATTGTACATAATTCGGGAAAATTCTTGGACATGAAGCTTCCAAAAGAATTATTCATATACTTTCGGGAACAATAAGCCAGACCATTTTCAAATAACATAGAAATTGATCCATCCTTTGGTTGTTTCAAAAAATTCTGATATCTGAATTCTGAAATTCTGAAAGTGTTCGGAACTTCGGTTATCAATGTCAGATATACAGGTTTTATATACAGGGTGGGCCAATTAAAATTGGAACATTTTTCTATTAATTCAATTGTCTTTATTTTTTGCAGTTCAATCCACTAAAATTCAGATAATGGTAAAATGATTATTTGTGAAAATGTTAAAGATAAAAATATGTATGTATGATTATTTTTGGCTTGACAGGGTCATAATCTGTATTCTGCATGTGTCATGAAAAATTTCCAAATTTTCTCTGCTTGAGACATCACTGCTGAAAATACATCTTTCATACCATACAATATGCACCCTTCAAATGGTCTCAACACAATTTCCATCAATTAAAACATATGAAATTGTATTTTTCAAAACTGGCACAATATGTCTAAAACCTGTCATTTAAGCCATGGATGACTGTCAAATAGAGCTCAGACTGATTGTTCAGGTGGGGAGGACAAGAGCATGAAACCCTTGCATTGAGTAAAAAAATGGAACATTTTCTCATTGATTGTAACTTTTTTGTTAGTCATGTACATGTATTATCTTCAATAGTTTAGACAATTGAAACACAATTCATTGTCAACAGCTTCTGTAAATATGAATATACAAGTTCAGCATTTAATTACTGAACATGCCCCCACCCACCTGATCAATCAGTATGACCTGTATTTGAAAATCATGCTTAAATATAGGTTTGAGACATATTGTGCCAGTTTTGAAAAAAGCTGAGGTCAATTAAGCTATTATAATATTATCCTAGGGAAACATGTCTAGCTTCACCTAGAGATAACTACGTAATGCTTTAGTTGATGGAAATTCTGTTGAGACCATTTAAAGGGCATATATAGTATTGTGTGAGATACTGTATTTCCAGTAATGATGTCTCAGGCAGAGAAGTTTTGGAAAATTTTCATGACTTACGCAGTATACAGATCATAACCATGACAAATGTTCCACCCTGTACTCGCCCTATACAGTGTGTCTCAAAAAAAATGTTACACTTACAAAAAGTTCAATATCTTTCATGATTTCGACGTTTCCCCTAAAATATACTTAGATACAATAAGACCATTCTTTCTCGAATAAATTCGCACCATCAGATTCAAAATCCGTCCAAGATTGACTGCACAGGACAGATTTTATAGACGCATGTGAAATCTGATTTGCGCCAATTTCTCAGTGGCTGGACATGTGGTGATCAATTCTTTTTTGGTGTGAATGCTGTGGACAGTAATATCTTGATATGATCAATGATCCAGTTGTTTCTTTCCTGGATAGAAATACAAGATTTCATTGTCAGAGTGTTCAATTTTGTTACGTATGATCGATGGCAACAGGATTGTGCAAAGGCCTGTGGCAGATCGTTTGGTAGAATTCTTTGGAAATCAGAAGATAGCATTGAATTACCCAATGGATTGGAGGGTCATCCCACTTTACACCCTTGAGTTTTTGAAGAGCCTCTGAAAGCGGTTTAGGGCATCACAAACTGACCTAAATGAACTTCTGCAGAAATAATTGATAGAATCAGAGTGACATTGCAATCCATGTGTGCATGGGCAAGGGTACCTCAGATTTGCTTTGGAGAACATGTTGAGGGGACCCCATGTTTATGTGGATAGACTCAATTGTCATATGTAAGACAAATAAGAAAATTACACAATGACTCAGTTTAAGGTCAAGCTTCTACTCAGAAGAAAGTTAAATATTAAAGAAACTGTTACTCTTTTGTCATTTGGTCCATCCAATCACTTAGAAGTTGGCGCAAGTCAGATTTTACCATTGGACACTAAAAGCTGTCATGTGGAGCCAATCAATGACAGATTTTGAATTTGATGGTGTCAAATTATTCGAGAAAGATTTGTCTTTTGGTATCCAAAGTATATTTTAGGGAAAAATAAAAATTATGAAAGATATTGAACTTTTTGTGAGTGTAACATTTTTTTTGAGACACACTGTATACGAAGATTATTTTCGGCTTATGTTTGTTGATTCAAAAATACATCAAGTTTGTCATGGACCGAACTATTGTAACTTTAAAAACAATTTTAGGACAAATAACACAGACAGGCTTTGACATGCTATCAAATGAAAACTTCTTGTTGCCAAACTTATGGGGAAAGTGTATATCAAGTTTATGCCTCGCTTTGATCTAAACATGTGCTAGGCCTTACTTTCTCATCTATCTACATGTTAACCTCTGATCATCTCGCTATATTATCCCAAGATTACAAAACAAGTGTCACATACATCATGATTTATGAGTTGCCAACGTCACTTGAACACAAAAATCAAAATTCTTCGGCATGTATGAAGCATTCGGGGTCTAATGTGCGTAACCTGTAATAAATCAAAATATCATAATATGAAAACATGTTGTGATTTTTAAATGAATTGCAAAACGTTACAAGAAATAATCAAAATACAGTGCGGAGGAGTTGGGGCTGATACGATGTTGCGCCTTTTTAGCAGCCCGACTCAGAAACAATTAAAAAGGTTCACACAAGGTGTATTCATCCATGTCATTATCGTAATCATTTAAGCAATATAATTTATTTGCTCAAATTCCAGAAATCTTGATAAATTGTTCTACCGTTTTGAAATCATCACCTTCACGCGATCCCAAGCCTCTGCGCATAGTAATTTGATTTTGATTTTTTGTAACAGCTTGTAATGGATGTATATGTTATATCTTATAACAATGAAAATACTTAACACAAAAACAAGGACATTTCAGTGGGAACAAATGTTCCGTTTTGGACGCCATATCACAGTGCATCACAGTGTATCGTAATGCAAACTGTGTCAGGCTGATCCATTTGCCCAAGTGTCATTTTTCAAAAATGACAGTAACAAAGTTGTTTTGAAAGGTAAGATTTATATCAAACACTATTCATTTTCCACATGATGAACACTATAAGATCAACATTGACAACCATTGCTTTGGTTAATTCACTTTGAGATAATGGCGGTGAGTCGAGTCGAGTTTGTTGCAGCAAGAGTTGCACTAGCGGCGTTCCTAGTGTGTGCTGGGATTATAATTGGGTATTTCAGTACTAGTACATCCAGACAGATGACCCTGCGGGATGTAGCTGGAGATACATGTAAAGGTGACCAAGATGATAACCGTGAATATATCAACTTCAAAAAACTAATAAAGGAAGCTAATGGTTCCATCGCAGATAGAATCACGGATGAAATTAACAAGACCGAAATTAAGAAAACACTCAGAAAATTATTGTCTCAACAACCCCCTGTTGCTGGTACCCAAGCTGAATTGGAACGAGCTCATTATATCAGAGAAAAATGGTTAAAGTATGGAATTGACGAAGTGAATATATTACCCTACGATGTACTGCTTAGCTACCCCGGGGATGTGAAAAATAATCCAAATATCTTGCAAATTCTAGAGGAGGACGGTACAGTTGTGCATGAAGCAACGTTAAATGAACCTATCCTTGATCGACGAAAAGACAAACACGACATTTTACCACCGTGGCTTGCTTACACACCGAGTGGCGAGGTCGAAGGGGAGCTGGTGTACGCTAATCGTGGTTCATTGGAAGATTTTAAGCTACTAACTGATGTACTGGGCATTAATGTCACCGATAGAATAGTTATTGCACGTTATGGTGGCATTTATCGAGGAAATAAAATAAAGCATGCGCAGCTTTACGGAGCTAAGGGAGTCATTCTCTTCTCTGACCCCGGAGACGTAACCGAGGAAGGTGCCGGTGTTTATCCGGATTCAGAATATCTCCCTGAATATGGCATGCAACGAGGGACAACAAAAAGCGGATACGGAGACCCTTTAACACCTGGCTATCCTGCAATTGACATTACCCAACGTATCTCTATTGCAGATGCAGAAAATTCAACAAGGCTGCCACGGATTCCTGCACAACAGATAGGTTATGCTGACGCCAAAAAGTTTTTCGAAAGCATCGACCCTTCAAGTCAGGAGGCCCCTGTAACTTGGCGGGGAAAGATAAACACAACATATAGGTTGGGCCCTAAGATGGTGAACAATAGAGTTGTAAGGCTGATTTCTAGGAACACAAGAGAGACCCGTACTACACATAATGTAATAGGAATTATCAGGGGATGTATTGAACCGGATAGATACGTCATGGTCGGAGGTCATCACGATGCTTGGGCATTTGGAGCATTGGATAACACACAGGGTACGGCCATTTTACTCGAACTAGCAAGAGTTTTTGGCAAATTGCTAGATGAGGGCTGGCGTCCGCGTCGAAGTATAATTCTTGGAAGTTGGGGTGCTGAAGAATATGGGATTATTGGTGCAAACGAATTTGTCGAAGAATTCTCAAAAAACCTGGCTGAAAGGGCTGTCGCATACATCAATACAGACGTGTCAGTTACGGGAAGAAAGTTCTTTCTTACGTTAAGTTCTCCTCTTCTGAATAGTGTTATTTATCGAGCCACTGAATTCGTCAAATCACCAGATGCAGAATATAATACACTTCGTGAATTCTGGAGTTCTCGAGAAAAATTCGTATTAAACAATCCAAATGATGAACCAGTTATCTTAAAATTGGGAGCGCGAAGCGACCATGCTCCCTTTTATAACACACTAGGTGTGCCGAGTATGAACTCTGGACGTTTTCTCAATGATTCATCCTCTTACCCTCTTTATCACAGTGCATATGAGACTTTCAGAGCAGTGAAGAAGTTCATCGATCCCACATTTAAGTACCAACAGACGATCGCTAGACTAGTCGGTGAAATGGTAAGGCTCCTCGCCGATGAACTTGTTCTGCCAATGGATGTTCGTTATTACGCTAAAGACATTACAACAACTTTTGCTCAAATAAAAAAGAGATTTGGAACAAAACTTGACAGTGAAAATATAACCCTGTCAAAGTTTGAAGAGGCTGTCGAAAGTTTTGCAAACGCAACTGAATTGTTCAATATTATGGCGGAAAACGTTGACAGACGGGATCCAATTGCCGTGAGAATGTTGAACGATAAAATGATGTTGTTGGAACGAGCATTCATCGATCCACTAGGGTTACCTGGAAGACCTCTGTATCGTCATATAGTAGCCGCTCCAAGCAGAACCAATGCCTACGATTCCGTGGGATTTCCCGGGGTCGTTGACGCCTTCGCTGACGCTGAAGATGCGCCATTCGATGATAAGGTGAACAGTTGGAGTGTAGTTCAGAAAGAAATTGCAAAAGCTACATTTGCACTCAAGTCTGCAGGCTCAACTCTCCTTGGACACGTTAAACTTGGACGCTAGATTAGATTTCGCAAAGACAAATGCCGTCATCCTGACTTTGAGATAATACACCACTTTACATAATTCTGAAAATTCTCGTCAATCAAGCCTTTAATTATTCATATACTTTTCAGGAACAATAAGCCATACCATTTTCATCATTCCCTCTAGATATTAATCCATATAATTACTTGAGGTGCAGTGGTACTTAACAGGAAATGACGAAACAGGAAGTGACAATACCATGCTTGATTTCAAACATTTTTTGAACCAAGATAAGAGACTTCTGTTTTGATATCCAGTCAATTTAACTAGTTGCACATATCATTTACATGACCAGGATCACAATGTACATGGTCAGAATGACCCCAAACATGATGAAATAACTTTTTCAGCCCTCTGAAAATGTGACCGAAAAATAGCTAAAAGTAGCCGTTAGGAAAGGTCACTGAACAGAATCTTTTGAATTTTTCAGAAAATGTGCCCAATAAATTGCTCTACATGATACAATCTTTGAAATTTAGAAAATTGTCTGCAATCATTGCAAACAGTTTAATCCATAATAGATTTGATCTTAGATCTAACTCAATTAGAGAAATTGATGGCAGAGATAGAGCTTCAAAGCTAACAATAACTTCTGAAATCATAAACCTAAAATGTATGTATATGCTTTAAATGTAAATGTTTTAATAGACTTTAATAAACATAGTTTTATGTAGTTTAAAAAATATCAACGCAATCGATGCACTGTATGGGCTGTTATCCGAGTTTTTATTACCACAAACAAAACAAGACTTTGTTTTTTTGTTAGAAATTCATCATTTAAGCTGTTTTTAGAAATGATAAGCAATATCTTTAATGTTTATCGCAAGCTTATGATAACCAGTTGTGATGACATCAAAATAGCGCACATCAAATGTCGATTATACCAACACACATGACGCAGGCTTAGGTTTTGGAACTACCAATTATCGTAAATTTGCCCTCGAATAGTAATAATTTTGATTAGTGACATTGTATAATATGTTTATGTTTAGATAATTTATAACATAAATATTTAGTAAGAATATCATATACTATGATGTCGAAAATACTGTATATCATATGATACTTGCATCTCTCTTTTTCCATATTATTTCCTTATTCTCTAGTTCTTTCCAAATATAAGATTCGACTAGAAAAGTATATTAGTGTAGTGTAATAATTAAGCCATTATTTTACAACAGAATATTGTGTAAAACCCATCCAGAATGATATCCAGCGCATTAGATTTATTGTATTAGATATATGTTATAAATTTCTGCTGAGTGCCAAGTTTTTGTAAGAAAGAAGCACATTATGACAATTGTATACATAACATTCCCCTCCAAACGTTTGGTTTCCCTGACTCATCATTTGGAGTTGGACAACGTGCCGAATATTTGAACATCGTCATTCCTATGTTAAATTATCAATTAAATGGGAAATCCTAGTATTGCAAAGATATTTCCCAATATAAGAAATACAAAATTTGAAAAATGAGGAAAATTGAGAATGATGCGGTATTAGTAATTAATAATATCAAAATAATTTTCATAATTTTTAAAACATTGTCACATTACAAAGATTCAAGCACGAAGAAGCAGTGGTAGGGGTTAGGGTTGCAAAATTTTTGGAATGACGCATATATATCGGAGTTGACATGTTCTGTACAGTGATGCCATCTAGTTTAAAACAAGAATAAGAATTAAAACCGTTATAGTTGCTGAACAAGCCAATGAAGGTAATATATGAAATGCGGTACCACAATTTCTATTTTATTGCAGCTTCATTTAATAGTGACATTTCTGAATGTGTTTCATGTAAAAGTCCCTTTCATGTAAAAGTTCAACCGCTTGTGTTAATTTATTTACTCAAAATCATCAAGATCCATTCTGATTTATCAGAGTTCCTCTTTACCTAACGCTTTTGAGAGAACTGAAAAAAAGGATAGTAAAGGCTGTGGATCCCACAATGATCAAGATCTGATACACGTGAAAGTTCTTCATTTCAAAAAGGAAAATTTAAGCGATATTTTTCTTCGGAAATGTTGCATTTTGAAAATAGAATTTTGGGTTTCTTGAACCATTGCAAGATGGTGCATCCCACCCAAGCTAAATAGATAAAAAAAAAGTATATAACAAAGATAGTTTGGAGAATTATGTTGATATGTAGTAAAGAAAGAATCATTATAAAAGTGTACTTTATTTTCCTTATGATGAGTTGTAATTTCAAACAACAATTATCATTTCAACAACTTTTGTACAACACGCATATATTATCTGAAAATACAGTAGATCCAGAACATTTATCTCATGGTGATCCAATAGAAGTGGTGACATATTGTTATAGTTTCCGACTTTTTTGTGGTTTTCGGGGGGGGGGTGTTTTTGGCGTTTAGCGGTTTTTCTTCGGCGGTCAAAGTCTGTAACTAATGGCTGGTGGTGCCACTGGCTCCCATTTTATATTCAATACTTCAATTTGAAAATTGTCGGATTGAGGTTAAAATTTTGCAAAGATTATCCCGAGGAATTTTAAATCTAAATGAGAAATTACAAATATAAGAACGAATAACCGCTTGTCAAAAGTTGCGATGGCGTCTTCAGTCCTCTTTTTCATTCATACCAATTTTTGAATTAATAAATGTAATGAATTAACTGCGACAAATCCGTTGGCATATATTATCTGAAATTCCCACGAATTCCATTACAGTGAGTCCCGTCACCTCTATGACAGCGAACCAGAAATGCACCTGCCTTATAACAAGATTTGCCGTAACCATCTTGACAGATTACCAAGATCATCTGCTTAGCTATCTCCAACACTTTCCCACACTTTGCTGACCCGAGCAACATGATTCATTAAATCAGAAGAATAGAGGAATTACCACATTTGGTATAATTAGTGCTCTATTTTTTAGCACTTGTCCGTTGGGACCAGAAGGATTCGGTAGGTAAAGCAAAGATTTGAATTTGACGTCAGAGCTCTTTGCGTTTCCCACGGTTTGGCTTGTGAAGAGACCATCTGCTTATCCCTTGTCCAGACAGATCATTCAGACATATTATATAGAAAACCGATAGCCCTAGTTTTAATTCAATAACTATTTTTTATCCATAAATTGATCATAAACCTTTAATGGATTTGCAAACTTTAAACAATCTCGTTTCATCAGTGTGACAGTTGACAAAAAGAGAAAAGACAGATTGAACAGGGAAACATAAAAAAGCCATATTATTATAACTTTGTCTCTCGATATAATATTTTCAATTGAAATCAAGTAATCTCATACAGAGGACGATGTTATCAAAATAAGGTTTAATATTACTTTTGAAATGATATCCTTGCATTGTTTCTAAATTTGAATATAATTGTATTTAGCCATCACTGCATATGAGATCAAATACTCTTTAGTCTAGAGATCGATGTTTATCAAGTCGGTATAATAAATGTGTCCAGTTCTTATCTGAGCAGGTGTGGGCGTTTTTAGTCCATAATGGCAATTACCAGACATTCACAATGTCTAATCATCTTTTTGCACAAAATGATGTTTTAATAATCACTTTAAAAGCTTTACATCTCGTTTTTATGTAGTCAATTATAAAATTCTTTTATAATACAGTTCAATAGAGACCTAAAACGCATTCGTCTTGACCCAGTTATAAATATTTTAAAAGCCCTAGAATTAATGAATTAATGACAATGCAACTTTTTATTGAATTCTTAATGAGCTCTATTGCTGGGTTTGCAATTAAGTTTTTATTTTGTAAAAAGGAATTGATTTTGTATAGAATTCTATGTATCCATGGTCTTTTGTTATAAAACCGCTGGCCAGTGGAGTGTTTGTATATGGTCTTAAGACGCGTGTCTGCCTTTAGAATTCTCTTCGAGGCACGTGCAGCATTTTATCCATTTCCGTCTGGGTGCCTCATTGAAGTCATTTAATATGACGAGGGATGAGCATTTTGCACTATAACGGGCTTAATATGGAGCATGATGCTAAACGAGGACACCCTGTGCATTTGTTTGTTAGGGTTTTCCCCCGAATTGCCCCCTTTAATGGATATTTTCTTCCCTGATTTTAAAATAACTCACGAGGAGAGACTGCATTCCTCTCATATAATTTTACAAATGACCATCGTTAAATTCATAACAATATGTGATATCTGGATCTTAACCCGCATCATCCTACCATTCATCGAACAATGGTTCTGTTGAATGAACTATAAATTACACTCAGGCTAGTGACAGGTAATATAACGCAGTGATAAATCACATTGACCATTATCAATAATTAAAGGTGGTGAAATTTTCTATTATCTTTCACATAATTAAAATCATGATTATATAAATCCATAATTTTACATAATACCTACAAGAGGTGCATTTAAGACTTTGTCATTAATTTCTTTGTGATATATGACACACCCCCTTCTTTTTCATCAGTCTCGAGCTCCTAATTAAAATCCATATTCAACAAGGAGTGAATTACAACATATTACATGAGCACCCCTTATGCAGGGGTGTAACGTTCGTTCGTGATCAGAAGTTAATATACTAATACCTCTTGGATATTATGGATCATTATGCAAACATTTATGTGGATATACTTTTAAAGAAATAATGCCCGAAGAAAAAACATGAAAGGACGTTTTGGTTATAATAAATTCAACACAATGTGAATTTGCACATTTAAATAATGGATTACTACAAATGAAACGAGGAAAATGAGGCGAATAGTGAATGTAAATTAGAATATAATATGATGATATGCACGCTGGAAACTAACCGAATATTAGTAAAATTGAATAAATAAATGCATATCTTAATTGCTGATGGTGTTTCATCACATATGCTTCAAGCAAGTGTCGTATATTATGCATGCGTTCAGTTGTTTTTTCTGCTACTAGTGTTCGTCTCACACCTGATGAATACGGGATGAAATAAATCAAAAAACGCAAGACAGACCTAATTATAGGTCTCGAGCGTTTTATATGAGCGCATATACATAAAACAGACTAAAACGTGTACTTTTGCATATAGCCCTTAAGCTATAATGCAAAATATATTAGGAAATATGCATTGAGAATGTCATAGGTAATAGTACTAGTTTTGACTATGAAATGAAACATCTCCCCTCTCATTCGAATGGAGGAGACAACATCCATATACATTAAAACATATGTTTTTAAACAGGGTCTCTTTATGTCTGAGTTTTTTTTATAAATAATCTTCAAAATAACCTAAAAAGAAATTATCACGTGATTTGTACAAAGTTCTTCTGAGGACAACTTTCCCACGGTTTAGCAGACGATAATTTGCGAACAGATGGCGGGAAAAAGAAGATTGAAGATTATTGAGATTCATAAATTCCTATTGAGATCTGTGATCTGTAGCTTGTTAGTCAAGTATACAAAAGGTCTCTTGAGTGGATGACATCAGGCATTGAAGACTAACAATATGATGAATCCGGGGGCTTTTTAATTTTTAGCCCCAAACTGACCCCGACTGTCCTTTTGGCTGGTCGTAAATACCGCCACTTCCCGGAACGATAATCACCCGACATGTCATAAATAATTAAGCCCACTAATGGGGATAATCCATTTATATTGTCACCAAAAAGTAAATATATTCAAAGTGGACATAGGAAAGCTCGAGGAGATGCACGGATAAGGAGTGAAGCAGAGAAAAATTCAAAATATGCTTTCCAAAGAAATATTGCAGATAAAGAAGAACTTTGTATTGGTAAGTGAGCATTAATTGTTTAATTATGATTCAATGAGTAACATTTTTGCATGCATATATCCTGATGTATTTAAGAACTACTATACTATGTACTAACTAGTAACCATGAAATGCAGAATTGAAACAGTTCAAACATACCATTATGACACATTAGAGGATTACATTTTGTTGTGGGTACTTCTGCCAAAATAATCCACTAAATTAAAACAGCATATATTTTAAAAAATAATATACATATTTTGAAAAGAAATAGAGGTTTTGAGAATGAAATATAATAATTCTCTGAAAATGATTCAATGAAAAAGTAGTTTTTCCTTTAAATCACTCAGTTACTCAATTAGGCTGGAAATCGATAGCAGAAGTGATTACCGAGGTACCTTAAGAATGACCTTGATTTTTATGGATCCAAAATAAAATTTCTAGCAAAATCAAATAATTTCTGCCTTGAGACATACTTTGAAAAGTGGGGCAAAAGTGATGGTATATGTATAATATGTAATCTTAGGTTGAGAGATACTCACACATATTAATTGTGTGTCCCCATTTTGCCAAAGCCAAGTCCAACTTTTACAACGAATGTAGAGAAATATGTTTCTCCCATTTTAAGTAGTAGTTTATTGTCTTCGAACATTCATGATTAGTTAATTACACTACTTGGCGATTCGGTTTTTATGAAATGAGGGCATGACATTTTTATATGTTTGACAAATATGTGAAGATGGTTTTAGCAACACCAATTAGCAACACTTTTTAGCCCTAGAAAATCGTAGTATTTTATGTAAACATTTTTAGTGCTCATAAAATACATATGTCGATTACAAATACTGACGCACATAATAAAAGTTTACCGCTGTTATAAAAGCGTATGTCAAAATAAATAGATAAAAAATAAAATAACATTACTCAAAACTTCGGTCACTGCTTCAATTGTCATCGTTACTGTGTATGATTTTTCAGTAGCTCGAGGAGCAATATTTTTAGAAAACCTTTGAGAAAAAGTCAAAAGTCAGAAATTCAATTTGTGGTTACAAAGGATGAACCTACATTGGATACTTTTATCCTAAACAGTCCCCCAAAATAATAACCGCATTTTAATAGCACTTTAAACAAGCAAACCAAATAATGCATATAAAGTCTTCACAGACCGTACCATATTTACCAATCTAATAGATGGTAATAATACAAAGTGATAATATATAATCGACAAGAAAATTACTCAAAGTGCTCATTTAAAACATTTATCATCTTTAACAGTAAGTTTTAACTGAAGATGATTTAAAAACGAAGCGTTGCGTAATATGCCATCTATTTTGCATTGTCAAATGTTCTGGGATATTTATTATGATGTAATGTGCTACCATCTATGTGATGTAGCGACGTAACTTACCATACCTCGTCAAAAAATGCAATTTATATCTAATGATTTAACAAAATATTATTTGTACAAAACGAATTCAGATAAACATGAATCATTAATACAAAATGGGAATGAAAAGATGAAATTGTTATGGCTAATCCTTTCC